GTGATCGTGCCGGGCTCTTCGATGGTCTTATGAACCCCTTCTCGAGGTTCTCATCCAAGTACCTCCTCAACTCGGACATCTCCTTGGGTCCCTTAAGGTATAGGGGCCCTTGAGGTGGCTTCCCTCCTTCTATCAACTCGAGGTGGAGATCATGCTCGGTATGATGGGGCAGCTTGTCTGCTTCCACCTCATCAAACACATCTTGCAGGTGTTGGTATGGCTTTGGTATGTCTGCAGCTGTCACCACCTTATCTACCTCTACCTCCATCTCGACTCCTTTGTCTGCGCCTGTAGGTACAAAACCAAAGGCTGGGAGTGATGATGGTGGCTCCTCCAACAGCATGAACCCTATGGGTCCATCTTCCAGAGCTGCTCGTAGTATGCGCTCTGCTGAGACAAACTCGTTACCATGAAGGGTTGGTCTCCTCATGGTTAGGTCCCCTGCTCTTGCTGCTTCAGGGGGTCTCCTAGGGGGTCGGTCCTGCTCCTGAGTCTTGAACTCCAGCTGGCCCGTATCCCATTGTATGGTGGGTTTGAGCCTCCGTAGCTCAGTGAACCCCAGGATGAGGTCATAGTCTGCAGTGTCGGCCACTGAAGCTTCGACCACACCCAGATTGTGTGTACCAATAGATACCTGCATGCTCGCAGAACTATTGATGGAGAGTTGGTGCCCGGTGACACCATGGATCGATCTTGTTTTTATGGGTTTTGTGGGTATTTGGTACTTACTAATGAAAGAATCTGAGACTATGGACAAACCAGCACCGGTATCAGCTAGTATCCGAGCAGGATGGTCTTGAACCATTCCAGAGAGCTCCAGTACTGCTTTGCCTCCACTGGTAGAGAAACATACTTGACAATCTTGATATATACAGAGTGATGGCGAGGAGGTTTGTAGAGCAATGCATGCCATCAGTGCATCACCCCACTGACGTTTCCCTCATCGTCATCATCATCGTGCTCCTCCTCGTGATCGGGGTCCATGGGTTGCTGGTATGAGCTGAGGTCCATGGCCTCGGGGTCACCCGTCTCAGTACTGCCTGTGTGGCCATCTCCTGAGTCGGTGGCCTCCTCGAAGGGGTCTGCTGTGGTGACCATAACCTTTGGTCCCATGGGTCGAGAGCTAAGAGGGTTTACCCTCCTGCTGGGGCAGTCTCTGGCCCAATGGCCGATACCCTTGCATACATGACAGGTGTTGATACCTGATGGAGCAGGGCTTCCTTGCTTCGAGGGTTGGGTGGGATGATGAGGAAGGGGTCGGTTTAGGTTTTGTATAGTTGCTTGTGTAGTTGCTTGTGATGGTGATTGAGCTGGATAAGGTTGAGTGGGTTGTCGGATGGGGATCGAACTTTGATTTGGCCGAGACCCAGTTCTTAGTGGAGGTGATGTGGCATTTGGGAGTGAGTGTCTAGCCGAGGACTGCTGTAGTAGCATCCTCTGTCGATCGATCTCCTCAACCTCTCGATACCACTCCCATCTCTTCCCAGGTGGATTCCTCTCGAACTTCTCCTGTATGCTGCGAGTGAGACTACCTCTGAAGAGATCAATCACTAGCTCGTTGTCATCTAGGTTGACCTGTCCTTCCAAGTCTCTGAACCGCTCTACATGACGTGTGGCGGCACCAGGAGTATCACTTGTGAGTCTGAGAGCCAACAGCTTGTTGTATGCCTCCATCCTAGCATTGCGTGGGTTGAACTGCTCTGACAGTCGCTCTGTGAAGTAGTGCCAATCATTGAACAACCTTCCTTCTCTAGCTCTATCAATACAGAGCTTGGAGGTCCACCACTCTCTTGCTGTCCCTTCCAGTTGAGCACCCATGTGATTGATCATCCTAGACTGCTCATACACCTGGTTGAACTTAAACCATGCTTCGGCTTCTAGAATGAAGATCTCCATGTCTCGGGGATTGAACTTTGGAAAGGGGGTGGCAATGGGCTTTGACCGGTTAAGCTCTGCCATGATGCTGGTATCCTCCTCGTGGTCCAGGGGGTAAGGGTCCGTCCTAGTCCTGCTGTAGGGGTCCAGCTTAGTCTTGACATATCTTGGCCCAGTAGGTGAAGCATACTTCTCGTAGTTGATGTCCTCCTGCTCATCCAGGTTGAATGAGACTGATCGTCTTGGTCGTGGAGCTGGAGTAGGAGTATGTGGGTCTCCTATCATAGACTCATCTCCTCCTCCTGCTTGGTCTTCTGAGTGAGAGAGGTCCATTGTCTCCTCCCTGCTCAGTTGAGCTCGTTGTAATCGTTCCTCTCGATGACCCTGTCTGGTAAGCTCTAGCTGTGCTTCCAATAGAGTGAGTAGTCTATCGAGCTTATTGTTGAGGTCTGGGTCCGTCATGGTGATCGTGAGGAGCTGCTTGAACGATCCACTCTAATGTCAGGGGTCTCGCGCCTGAAACCCAGGTCGGTCTGTCGAGATACTCGGTGACTATCAAACTGTGCGACAGCTATTGTCTCGAGATACTCGGTGACTATCAAGTTGTGCAGTGACAGCAGGTGGCGTTTGTTGTATATACTATCGTAGGTTTCGGCTGACCTCTGTGGACACTCCGTTCAGGGGTAGCTCGGCACGATCAATATCAATGTTATGATGACACCAAGGTCTGGTGTGAGTGTTGATGATGATGAGGTTGATGGTGTTGGTGATGAGATTGGTGATGTCGATGATAATGAGGTTGATGGTGTTGGTGATAAGGTTGGTGGCGTCAACACGAGTGTCCAGTGTGTTGACTTGATGCTTGAAGTGATCCCCGGACCGCAGTGGACTACTGCCTTCGGTTCTATCTATATCCGGACCGCTAACCTGCTATGGGCGCCTTCGGACGTCAGGTAGTGGTGATACAACACACACACTACGATGAGGAGCAACCTTGATAGATTGCTGCTATGCTGACTGTAACTAATGAGTACTTGTGTTTCTAAAGTATTGACTAGTTGTATGGTGAGTAGAGTGGATGAGGATCCACTCGACCTATGATGATGAGAAAGCATGGTTATATACCTCTACTCAGCATTGCCAGCGATGCTGCTCCTGCTCTCTCTCTCCAGAGAGTACCTTCTTCATCGAGTACTGCTCAGGGGCCTCTCCTGCTTGGCACCCCTGTGCCTCTTGAGCTGTGTCGATTCCTTCGACACTGCTCCTCCTCCTCATGACCTGATGTCAACTCCTTCGACACTGCTCCTCCTCCTTTGATCAGTGACAGTTCCTTTGGCTCTTGTCTCTCGAGCCCCTGAGTGGTAACCATCTGCATGCTCCTTGAGCTTGGTCCTCTTCGTGGCTGTGCCTGCTCCTTGAGCTTGGTCCTCCTCGTGGCTGTGCTTGGCCCTCCTTTGCATGTGAGTCCATAGGAGTCCATGGTCTCCATGGAAACTGCACTACGACCATGCTCTCTACTGATCTCGACTAGATCTTCGATACCTGTGCTCCTTCCATATGAACCCATGACCCTCCTGCTTCTTGAGCATCCAGGCCCATGACACGGTGTCGCCTCCAACTCAGCTGAGCACAGGTGATCATCAAGCGCACGAGATGGGATGAAGCATCTCACATCGCCCACACGTTGCCCACACATCACAATCAACGGGGACAATACTGTACAGTCCCTGTGCATAAGTTTGGGGACAATCAGGTAATTTCCTGATTTAGCTGGTTACCCTGCATTCTCATCATTGTCATCATTGAGCAATAGCACCACCATCATACTAATCAAGAACACTTCAAACACTGATATGGTCCATGGCAATGAGCTCTCTCCAAGCAAGCATGCTTCAATCATTGCAATGCATGATACTGGGCTGCCAATTTGACAAATCACAGAGCTAAGTGGCATTTCCAAAACAGCAGTTCACAAGACCATCCATAACTTTAAGGAGTGTGGTACCTTCAAAACAAAAGCACAATCTGGCTGTCTGCACTCTTGGACAGCTACCTCAGACTGATACCTTCAGTGTGAGGTACTCAAAAACCCATTTCTATCATGGCAACAGCTGTCAGCATTGCTTGGCAGCATTCCAGTTATGCAGCTCTGGAAAGCAGCATACCAGGCCAGTATTAACTGCTGGATTGCACTCCAAAAGCTGTTTCTGACAGCCAAAAACCAGCAAAAATGTCTCAAATGGGCCAAGGCTAACAGCACCACTGATTGGAGGGGTGTGCTGTTCACAGATGAGGCAGCTGTCGAGGTTGGCTACTGGCCCAGATGCACATGGGTTAGTTGCTGGAAAATCACTTGAGAAGACATCAACAACATGGTTCTGACATTCTGTTCTGGCTGTTTCAGCATCCAGGTATGGGCCAGCATTGCATACAACCTTAAAACCCCATTGATTGTGCTCCCATTGGCTCCAAGAAAGAAGCAGCTGGGGTTGGCTAATCAATGGGATCCTGCTGAGAACCTCACAGCTGTCAGATATCATGATTGGATCATCAACAGGCTGCTCTGGGATGCCATAACTGCTGTTAGTGCATACCCTGACAGCCTGTCAGTTGTCAAAGATGGCAGCAGCTGTCATCAGGCTGCTATCTGCAAGCAAAGGCAGGCCAAATACCACATTAAGACACAGGAACACCTGCCAGCTTCGCTGGACCTTAACCCTATTGAGAACATATGGTATGTGTTCAAAAACTTGCTTGGTAAGCATTTGCCAGTTCCAAAAACCTGGGATGAGCTTGCCAGAGCTGCAGAGGAAGTGTGGAACACCCAGATCACACTCAAACATATCAACCCTGTGATCGAGTTGATGGAGCATCACATGGAGCAAGTGCTTACTAAGCATGGAGGTCTGCTCAAGTATTAGTCAGCTCCGAGACTCACTGCAATTGAAAGCCCTTCTTCCAAGCTTGCTCACTGTGTGTTTTGCTCAGTTTGTCACTTATGAGAGATCACTCCTCCAAGCAGATGGAAGGTATGCTATCGGATGGTTGATTTATTGTCTATTGGACCCTGTTCCCAAACTTTGGACAGGGACTGTACACTATAAGGGGAGCTAGGCAAACTGCATTCAATCTTGCTCCTGCATCGGCATCCCCCCTACCTCAACAAAGGAGATATCTAGATACACGATCCGCTTGGCATCTTTTTCATGCGACACTGCTACGGTCTGTTTGTTGGTGTTGACGGCAAGTTTGCCTGCTTTGAAGTCTTTGTCGAATTCTGTTGCGCGCGAAGGCGGCAGTTGCAACAGTTTTTGTTCCTGTTCGTGGCTGAAAGGTAGATCGGCGAGATTGAATGCGAGAAGTACGCTTGTAGACGTAGAAAGGAGGGTTGCCAGGATAAGAAGCTCTGCGTCGCCGTAGAAGCCGAGGTCGAGGATGGAAAAGTTGTCGTCGGTCGAGATGGTGAAATGTGCAGTTTCCAAGACAAGGGCGTGAAAGCGTAAAGCGAGGATGGACGTGGTGGATGCTGGATCATCCGGGATGGATTGGAGCGGGTAGGCGGTGATGAGAGTTTCGTTGGTCAGGTAGGATGCTGTTCTGATGCGGCAAGTGCTGCCTTGGGTGTGTATGGATGAGGAGAGAGAAAGCGCAGGAGTCGGTTCCTTTGTTAGGCTCCATCCTCGGATTGCTGGTGTGATGGAGATGGTTGTTTTCTCAGCCTCTGCTCGGCCCAAATCTCCATCAAGTAGATGCACGAGTTGTTCGCCCAGTACTTCGACTGCCTTGTTGATGACTGGAACGATCGCCAGCGCCGCCTTCTTTTCACCTTGCACCTTTTGCACATTTCCTTTAGCCTGACCAGAAGAGGTCGCTGCCAGAAATGTCCTCGCTTCTTCTAACGCCTTGCTGAGCGACCTGGTCTCACTCGACTTCCCAAGCAAACTTTGCAGCGTCTCGCTCGAAAGAGTGTCGGCCATCCTTGCTCGAAGCTGCTCATTTTCAAATCCTCTGTCGATGTAGCTCGCCACAAAGTGCACATCATACGTCACCGGCAACCTTGGTTCGTCCTGATCCTGCTTAATTCTCTCCTGCCTCTCTCTCTCTGTCCTAAACCATCGATAGAACTCTTGCGAGATGAGCGCTTCCAAATCTACATCTTTCGCCAAACTCAAGGTGGAATCCAAGGCAACTTGCAGCAACTTGACACCTTCCCTTAGACCTCCATCATCAGCACCAAAGAAGCTTACCTGTCCTAGCAGACCGGTCAAACAAACAATACATCTCTCCAGCGCAGGTCTCAAGCTCTCCGAAATCAGCTTCTTGATCGCATACATAGCAGTATGGGATTGCTGTTCCAACCTAGCCAGAACACCTTCTGTCAAGTTGGCCAGCAGAAACTGTTCAGCAGCTGGACCAGCACGGCCGGTGAGAAGGACGTTGATCAGCTCATATTTCATGTCTCCTCCAAACTTAGAGCTGAGGTCGTCGATGTTTTTGGTCCATTCCTTGGTAACTTTTTGGACAACCTCTTTTTGGTACACTTGCTGGAGGGCAGAGGCTGAGTCGAGGGCGTAGCCGAGATAGAAGCGGAGGAGATGACTTGCTCGACTGACCGCAGAGATTCGATGTCGGATACTAGACGGTCCGTAGCGGGTTGCGAGGGGTAAGGGGAGTGACAACTGGCTGCAGAGGATGTTCGTGTCGGCACCTGCTGAGATCGAAGTGAGCTGAGTCATGTCGTGAGAGAGCGAGAGGATAGATGATGAGTTCACTGCGGCTTTCGAGCCCTGTTTTGAATGCTGCTGAAATTGCAGGGAGCCAATACTGGTCTGACCATCAAGAACAAGGGTTGCCCGCGCACTGTTCGCATTAGCGACAAGCACAACTGTCTCCGGCAACAGCGGAAGGGCGCTGTCATCATCCAGGGTAAAACATGCATCGCCGCCCTCGAGCAGCCCGAGGTCTGAGTTCGACTTTGCTAGATACGGAAGCTTTGCCAATGCGCCTCTGCCTTGCAAGGCAAGATGCGATGGATACTGAAAGCTAGGCGGTGGTTTCTGACCGCTCATCTGCATCATTCTAAGCTGATGGGGCATGAGGCTGCCTGTATTACCCGCTGATGCAAAGGTGTCTGCTGCGGGTAGCGCTGGAAGGGGCGGCAGCTTTGCCAGGAGAGATTCGCTGCTACCGTCAACGGCGTCGTTGGAGATGGCAAAGTCGATGTCAAGCCATTGAAGTGTCATCATGTCCGTGAACTGATTTCTGCCAAAATCACCTGCGTGGTGAGATTGCACATCGACGGTGGAGAGCAAACGGCCATCTTGAACCGAATACGTCCTCAACAGTGTGCTGGTACGAGGCGTCGTTGTTGAAGAAGAGGCGACGGGGGACCTCCTCACGCTGGCCAGCAGGGCAACACGATCTCCTTTCGGGCTCCAGGTAAGATCGTGGAGGTGGACATCTTCGTGTTCTTGCTGTGAAGCACGTTGTGCACCAGGCGGCGGATCCATGACTTTGTCAAAGCTGAGCGGCACTGACCAAACGATACTGCTATCATCCCCCATACGCCAGAGCACGAGATGAATCTGAGGTCCACGTTTGGGTTCTGGTGCCCCTCCACCACTCGCTGCTGCTGCACCACGTTGACGAGCTGCGAGCATGCGTTGCACCAGAGCAAACTGCGCGACCGACATGCCCGGTGGAGCAGCAGCAGCTGTGCCAGATGAAGCGGCGGCATCTTTGACGATGAGAAGGACGAGATCCATGCGAGGGTTGGTGGAGGAGCGAAGCAGATTGGACGGCTTGTCAAGAGATTGATCGGCCAAGGCGGGGAAGATGCCGAGTTGGCTTCCGTCGCCGACGACAGAGCCATCGACTAAGGGGATGGGCATGCTGCTAGTGACGTTTGGCGATGCTATCTCATGGTACTGTGGAAGAGGGAAGGAGGTGAGAATGAGTCGAACCAAAAGTGTTGTTCTTTTTGCAAACGAAACTGGTCTGTGCATTTCCTCACTTTTGGAAGCGCGTTAAGCGCGTTCGTCGTATCGCGCATCAGTCGTATCGCGTGTCAGTCGTATCGCGCATCAGTCGTATCGCGTGTCAGTCGTATCGCGCGGCTGGTAGCAACTCATGTTCCGAGTCAGTCAGTCTGCGAGAGAGAAGGTGTAGATAGCTCAACTGACCAATGTGTCGGCACGATTGACACCCATGGAAGTGCACAACAGCCTAGGATCTCAGTATTGGATGCAGAAACAAGAACTTGTATTACGTAAAGCCATGAAAAGCGCTCCTTAATTTACTTGATCTTCTCGAGCATCTCGGGAACAGCCTCGTACAGATCAGCAACCAAACCAAGGTCAGCAACCTGGAAGATCGGCGCATCAGCATCCTTGTTGATGGCCACAATAGTCTTGCTGTCCTTCATACCAGCCAAGTGCTGAATGGCACCCGAGATACCAACAGCGATGTAAAGCTCAGGAGCAATGATTTTACCAGTCTGACCGACCTGAAGAGCATTATCAGCGTACCCAGCATCGACGGCAGCACGCGAAGCACCAACAGCAGCGTTGAGCCGGTCAGCAAGAGGCTCGATGTACTTGACAAAGTTGTCAGCCGACTTGAGCGCACGACCGCCGGAAACGACACGAGGAGCAGTGGCAAGGTCGGGTCGAGACGACTCGGAAACTTTCTCCTCGATCAAGTTTGTTAGGGACTCGACAGCATCAGGTTTGACTTCCGCGGTGGTGGCAGATCCACCTTGCTGCGCAGCAGCGTCGAAAGCGGTTCCTCGGACAGTAAAGATCTTGACTTTGTCAGAGGACTTGAGTGTCGCGATAGCGTTACCGGCGTAGATGGGTCGGACGAAGGTGTCCTCACCCTCGAGACCGATGATGTCCGACACCTGGGACGAGTCGAGGAGAGCAGCAGCACGGGGGAAGATGTCACGACCGACGGCGGTGTGTCCTGTGCAAACGTGGGAGTAGCCGTTGGATTCGACGATCTTCTTGATGAGGGGTGCAAGAGGCTCGGAGAGGTTGTTGGCAAAGTCGGCGTGCTTGGCGTAGAGGACCTTCTTGAGGCCGGGAAACCTGTGGAAGTACAACGTAGCCAAACGAAAGAGCAGAAAGGGGCAATCAGGGTCAGTGACAGATGTTTCGTAGGAGAGATGACAAAACGCGGGGGTAGACATGTGGAGCTCACTTGGCAGCCTTCTCAGCAACCTCGCTAGCCTCTGACTCGCCGCCTACGACGAGCGCATCGATATCACCACCGAGCTTCTGAGCAGCAGTGAGTGCAGAAAGGGTGGCGGGGTTGAAGATGCCCTTCTTGTGCTCCAGGAAGACGAGAGTGTTGGCAAGATCGACACGAGAAGTAGCAAAGCCTCGACGAAGAGGCAAAGCAGTTCGGATGCTGGTGTTGGCGCTGCGCAGCGCAACGCGAGGAAGGATGGCGGTTGCGATCATTGTGATGTACTGGGATGGCGTAGGATGGTGTAGGATGGATGATGTTGATCGTCGTAGATGATGATGGTGTACATGTCGATCAGTTAGCCGGACACACACACCAATCGCAGCTTTCAACAACGATTCCCCTTCTTTGACCGGCTCAGCCCACGACTCGACACCCGAAAATGCGAGCCGAAACGCGCGCAGGGTAAGTCAGCATTACCTAATTTCTACTAAAACTGGACAGAAGAGGCGGTCTAACATCGGATTGCAATGCCCGACTCCCGATCTTTTGTGCATAGTAAGACTCTGACTGATCATGTCTTAGAACCACGCAAGGTCATGGCTAGCTCCTCCTGCCATCATACTACCAAACGCTTGGGATAGCGACATTCCTTTCTGTCAATTGCCTTGGCACAAGCGTCTTGTTGCTCAAGAACGCCAAGTCTTGCTCACCAAGGCTCCTGCAAGACATGTCAGTAGGTCGAGCACTCTGCTCTTTACATCGACTGACACCTAGACCCTTCCACCTTCATCTGTCCGCAGCTTTCCCGGCGAGGTGGCCGGATCCTAGCACCATGTCGAAACGAGCCGCGTCTTCATCCTTCACCACCCCCGCTACTTGCCAAAGCAAGCGCACCAAAGCTGGTCCCTCCACGGCCAAGTCCAAGCGTCCACCCTCGCCTCCCACCTCAACTTGCTCATCAGGACCTATTCAAGTTGCGCGTCTATCATCCACACATCCGGAATGGCCAGCTCCAGCGGCCCGCATGGAAGAAGCAACCTCATTCCTGCATACCCTCGCTGCGTCTCCAGCCAGCGACCGAATCCTCCTTGTCCCCGACAAAGACGCCGACGGACTCTGTTCAGGCGTCATCATGTACCGCACCCTCGTCCACGCTCTCGGCGTCTCCCCCGACCGAATCGATATCCATCTTATGACCAAAGGTAGCAACCCTTCCGCCGATGCCCAACGCGAAGCAATGACAGCATACAACCCAAAATGGATCATTGTTCTCGACCAAGGCTCCCGCAACGGCCCGGCTCTCGTCCCTGGTGCAGAGCACGGTTGGAAATCCGATCGAGAAGATGCAATTCGGACAATGGTAGTCGATCATCACTGGCTAGCAGAAGCAAGTTCAGGGCCGGAAGGATGTCTTGTGCTCAACGCATGTCATCATAAACCCGTCGCTACAGCCTCTCTTCTAACATGGGTTTTATGCCGACCTCTATGGTCATCCCATGCCTCGGCTTCATTGTCGGCAGAAACATTGATAGACTACGTAGCAGTACTAGGAACAATGGGAGATCTCAGCGTAAACGTTTCATGGGATCCACCTTTTCCCGATCTCACGCCAGAAGTTAAAAAATGGACCAAAAAACGTCTGGGTTCCGCAATCGCCCTGCTCAACGCACCCCGCCGAACGCCGGCCTTTGACGTTATCACTGCTTGGTCTGCTCTCCTTTCCTCCACCTCGCCTCTTACCATCCTCGATCCTGCAACGAACAGGCAGGCAGCGCGCTTATATGAAGCACGAGATGCAGTAAGGATCGAGACGGAACGCTGTACCCACACGCCTCCCAAATTCGCCAAAGATGGCCGAGTAGCCTTACTCAGCATCACTTCAGCCTACCAAGTCCATCCTTCTATCGCAATACGCTGGTCAGGTGCACTTAAGAGCAGGAATTTGCAGGTTGTCATGTGTGCTAATGATGCGTATAACCAAGGGTTGGTGAATTTCAGCTGTCGTATTGCACAAGTCGCTAAAAAGCGTGGTGAAGAGGTGGATATTATTCAACTCCTTAATAGCTATGCCGATCGAGATGAGCACTGGAAGAGCCAGCTGATGCAGGCACTGGGTGGCAATCTGTTTAATGGTCATCCTCAGGCGAGCGGTGGAATCTTTCCAAAGGAACATTGGGTTAAGTTTATCCAGTTAATGCAAATCGGCTTGTCTCCTGATAACTCGGAAAGAGATCAAGGCACAGGTCGAGGCAAGAATAGCTTTCCCGTGCAAAAAAATAATTTGTTGACAATGGGCTTCTCTACTTTACCCAAAACCTCCGCCAAGAAACAAAGATTTAGCACCGACACAGTACAATCTGAGTGATACTCACTTTGACATATGATGAAGCAGAATCCCTCTCGAAATGAGGCAACGCTTAACATCTACGTGTTGGATCAAACATGGTCAGAATGTACAAACTCGTTCGCATCATGGAGAGTGACATCTGACTGTCGCGCCTCATCCTGGAACTGTGTGACCAAACCATAGTGCAAGTTACCCTTGACTGTGTCTTGCCAGAACTGTCTATGTTGTGCTAGGAGAGTTTTCTTGAGGACACGAAGGAAGCTGTTCCAATTGATAGCTTCTTCGTATTGCTGTGCTACTTTTTTACCTGCCTTGATACAGTCTGCTACCTTCTCGTAGTGCTTCTGCGCCAGGGAATGGTTGATAGTCGACTGAAGCAAGAGCATAGCCCGAGTGACGTCGTCCTTCTCGACCAGAGAGTTGAAATGTTCTACCGGGTCTGCCAACCGCAACGTTTTCGAGGCTGGCGTGGAAGACGTTTGCCAAGTTTGCTCCGTCTTCGTGCTAGTTTCTGGTGTGGGGCCAGAATCACCTTCGTCCTCAGTAGCAGAATCATCATCGTTTAGAAGAATCTTTCTGTTCTCACGGGTACTGAGAGGTTGGAAGCGTGCCACTTTGCTCGATTCCCCCTCCTCGGCGGTTGTGCGCTGCTCATGGGCATCATCGGCCATAGCATTGAGTGTTCTCTTCTTCCGATCTGCATTTCCCCTCGGTGGAAGATATGCGATGCTAAACCTCTGCCTACACTTGCGCGCTGCATCGCTTGCCGCCTTGCTAACCTCATAGGGGGCCTCCAAGTACTTGACCAACTCTGGATGCGGTGCGGGTAAATGTTTTGCATCTGGATGGATAAACCTGTGCCTGACGGCAGTTTTCAATCCGTGAATGGCGGGGTTGTAGGATTGCAACACATCATACCACTCTCCTGGCAATTCGAGACTGTCAATGAATGCATCCATCGCCTCTTGGTCTTGTTCGTCTGGGATTGTGGGGGCAATTCGAATCTCTGTGCCATCTGTAGTAATGACTCGATCGAGAGGAGGGAATGGGAAGCGGCGCAGATCTTCTCTAAAGGGAGCTTTGGAGTAAAAGAAATACTCATTATGCTTTTCCACCTTGGGTTTAATCACGCCTAGTTCTGGTTCTGCTCCGTCTTTGCGCACCAACCTAACCACCGCCAGAACATCCATCTCAGCCATGGCTCGGACGAGAGTACTTAACTGAAGTTGAGCTTTCACCTGCGCATGGTCAGCAAACACGTACCAGATCTGATCCATATTGTACTCCCTCCGATAGGCAGAGGCGTTGAAGAAATGCAAGATCTGCATGCTCTTATGCGTGTCAAGCGAACCGAAGGATTCTTCGGGGACAGGGATGAGGCTGGCACCTAGCTTCCAAGCACGGGTGAAGTTTTCGTCTGAATTGGGTGGGAGTGGTTGAGGTTCTTTATGAGCGTTTGCGGCCGATACGAGTTGGTCAAGGAGGAAGTATTCTCTTTTGAGATCTGCGCGGTAGACGAGGCAAGATTCGCGTTCTTCCTCTTCCCTTTTGAGCATAGTTGGGGTTGAGGTTGGATTGAGATGGTTGCGTCGTGATTCTTGGCGTTCTCGCTCTCTAGCTGCATCGGAACTTTGTTGGGCTAGTTTGGAGATCTTGCTTTGGGCCATGGGCCGCGCTACATCGGTCATCTTGTATAGACCGATGGGGATTTGGAAAGCGCTGTTGGAGGAGAGATCGTTGGGATCGCCGAAGCTGAGCACTGTCTTTTGGGGTGCTGGTTTCGTAACTTGAAGGTTGGGCATTGCTGATTGCTCGATTGCTGATGCAGCGGTTGCGAATCCTGCTGTGGGGATTTGGGATAGAAGGTATTGCCAGAATAGCTCGTTCTTCTGCTTGACCTTGACCTTGCCTTGTAGTTTTGCACCTGATTCCAGATGGTCAAAATCAACACCAAGCAGCCTTAAGCTGATATTATCGTCAATGAGCTTATTCCGAATCGCCGCCTCGCCATCATGAGCAAAAGCAGCGTGACCATGGGTGACAAGGTAGACGGTTCGCTTCCAGGTATTCTTCTGAGAGGGCTTAATTCCTCCCTTGCGCGGTTCAGAGGAGAGCTGTATCGCATCCACCAACGCAGCAAGCGGATCAGCTGGCGGCGCGATCTGATCCGGATGAACGGCCCTCAAGCTCTGCACCAGATCCAAGGTATCCAACGTCGGCAAGGCTGGCCAAAAGATCTCGTCAATACCCTTGTAGTCGTCTGTATCGGGAATCGAGTTATTGGTGCGTGGCGAGCCATAAGTGATGATCCCTACACGCGTCGTCTTGAGACCACGCAATATGATCTCTGCGATACGGGTCGAGACGAATCCGCATACCCATTGCAAGTGTGTTGTGGATCGAGTACGTGTTTCGATGGTCTGATTTTCGGTTACGATGCGGTCCTCGACTTGACGAGTTTCTCCCATGCGGGAGGAGATGTCGAGGACAAAGAGAGTGATTGAGTTTGACTCGACGCTCATAGTGAGGCTGATGCGACCATCTCCGAGGGTATATGTGGTGGTGGATGATGATGATGATGAAAGGTGAGAAGAGAGAGAGAGGAGAGAGAGAGAGAGAGGAGAGGAGGAGGGAGCAAGAAAGTGAATTGTATTAGGTACACCGCTCTAGAGGCCACAGTCAGGTGCTCTTTTACAGTCAGGTGTGTCTAATTGAGAAGACTTGAATTGTGTAAGGAGGTAGCGACTAAGCTAAGAACATATATACATATTCTCTGCACCTGACACTGCTCACTTTGTCGAGTCATGCCCATGTGCCACGTATCTTCTTTCATAAGCGTTGTCATATCAACATGTCCCCTCCATACCATGGTGTCAATCCTCATGCATAGGCTGTGTTAGCTCCCACCAGCCTCTCATCTTGCTTGTCCTCCTCATTGCCTGATGCCCTCCCGATTCCCCAATCCTGTGAGCTCCCATTTACTATATCATGCACTAGCGATGCTGGTGCCTCTTCAACTCCCCCCCTCAACAGCATATCCAACCCTATCATTCTTGATATCCTTGTTGTGTTGAGTCCCTTGAGTGGCTTTGTGAGTATGTCGGCCACATTGTTGGCTGTTCCGATGAACTCAATTGATATGTCACCATCTTGTACATGATCTCTAATGAAATAGTATCTGGTATTGATGTGTTTGAGTTTCCAGTGTTTGGCCAGGTCCTTACTGACTTGTATACACCCTTGGCTATCAGTGCGTAGTGTCAGCTTGACTCCAAATATTCCTAGATCCCTAAGTAGGTATGAGAAGAAGAGTGCTTCTCTTGCTGCTTTGGAGGCTGTGACCAGTTCCACTTCTACTGCCGATAGTGCCATGCATTTTTGTACATGTGATTTCCAACTAACTGGGCATCCATACACATATGTGATTGCTCCAGATGTACTCCTATGTCCATTCGTGGGGTCAGAAGCCCAATTCACATCAGTATACATAACCACCAGTTGGTCTGCATGACTCCTGTGCATTCCTCCTAAATTCAGACAGTAATTGCTCATCTGATTCAGGTACTTCAACAAATGCATTGCAGCACTCCAAGCATTGTCGATTGGTCCTGACATGTATCATGCTAAGACTCCTACTGCAAATGAGATGTCTGGTCTCACTGTGTTGGATACCCACAAAAGTTGCCCCACTAGCTCTTGATATTGTTTGGACTGGTCTGGGTTGCATTTATTTCCTCCAGCGGTTCCTGCTACACTCTGCATTGGGATCCAGGTTCATTCACTTGTTCTTTCTAGCCACTTATTTACCATGCCTTTGATGTATGCAGTCAGGTCGAGTGTGATCTTGCCTTGTCTTCTCTCTCAGGTGATTTTGATTCCTAGGAATTCTCTTATGGGTCCATTATCTTCTGTTCCCCACTTGTCCATGATCTCAGCTTTAGTGCAGTCGACCTCCCTTCTGCTAGGTGATGCGATCAGCATATCATCCACATATGCCATGATGACCATGAGTTGGTTGCCCGCTCCCCTTGAGTAAAGGCATGGGGCACTTGGCATGCAGTGGAAGCCAATATTTCAGAGGTGGGTGTCCAGTTCGATGTTCCATTCCTGACCTGATTGCTTCAGACTGTAAAGCCCCTTTATGAGTTTCAATACCTTTCCTGGAGGTACCCTGGTTCCTACTGGTGGCTTTAGGTAGACATCATGATGCAGATTTGAATTAAGGTAAGCCTGTTTAATGTCGATGGAGTCAACCTCCCAGTCCTGTATGGCTGCAATGGCCAGCACTCCCCTTATCACCTGGATGGGTGCCACTGGTGTGAATATCTCTGTGTAGTCTAGGCCCTTGTCAGGGGTCTTGCGCCTGAAACCCAGGTCAGTCTGTCGAGATACTCGGTGACTATCAAACTGTGCGACAGCTATTGTCTCGGTATCGGTGACTATCAAGTTGTGCAGTGACAGCGGGTGGCGTTCGTGGTATATACTATCGTAGGTTTCGGCTGACCTCTGTGGACACTCCGTTCAGGGGTAGCTCGGCACGATCGATATTAATGTTATGATGACACCAAGGTCTGGTGTGAGTGTTGATGATGATGAGGTTGATGGTGTTGGTGATGGGATTGGTGATGTCGATGATAATGAGGTTGATGGTGTTGGTGATAAGGTTGGTGGCGTCAACATGAGTGTCCAGTGTGTTGACTTGATGCTTGAAGTGATCCCCGGACCGCAGTGGACTACTGCCTTCGGTTCTATCTATATCCGGACCGCTAACCTGCTATGGGCGCCTTCGGACGTCAGGTAGTGGTGATACAACACACACACTACGATGAGGAGCAACCTTGATAGATTGCTGCTATGCTGACTGAAACTAATGTATACTTATGCTGAAGTGATAACTAGTTATGGTGAGTAGAGTGGATGGGGATCCACTCGACCTATGATGATGAGAAAGCATGGTTATATACCTCTTCACAGCATCGCCAGCGATGCTGCTCCTGCTCTCTCTCTCCAGAGAGTACTTTCTTCATCGAGTACTGCTCAGGGGCCTCTCCTGCTTGGCACCCCTGTTCCTCTTGAGTGGTGTCGACTCCTTCGACACTGCTCCTCCTCCTCATGACCTGTGTCGACTCCTTCGACACTGCTCCTCCTCCTCATGACCTGTGTCGACTCCTTCGACACTGCTCCTCTTCCTCATGACCTGTGTCGACTCCTTCGACACTGCTCCTCCTCCTCTTGACCTGTGTCGACTTCCTGTCTCTCGAGCCCCTGAGTGGTAACCATCTGCATGCTCCTTGAGCTTGGTCCTCCTCGTGGCTGTGCCTGCTCCTTGAGCTTGGTCCTCCTTGTATGTGGCTCGGTTCTCCTTTGCATGTGAATCCATAGGAGTCCATGGTCTCCATGGAGACTACACTACGACCATGCTCTCTACTGGTATCGACTAGGTCTTCGTGTGCTCCTTCCATATGAACCAGTGACCCTCCTGCTTCTTGAGCATCCAGGCCCATGACAGCCCTCTCTCTGGGTAAACCCCCATGCTACCAATCTTGCCTTGTATTTTGTGGGGACCAGGTCTGCGTCAGTCTTGATCTTGAGCACCCATCGTGTGTCAACTGCATTCATACCTTGTGGTAGATCAGTCATTTCCCATGTTCCCATCGCTTCAAGTCCATCCAATTCCTTGCACATTGCCTCTTCCCAGAACCTCCTATCCTTTCCAGCCAGCACCTTGCAAACAGTTGGGTTCAGGCTGTCCTTTCCCTCCTTGGCCTTGGCTACTGTTAGCCCAAAGTAACTCTTCTTTACCCAGGTTTCCGGGTTGCACATGTTTCTAGCCAGCTTCCAGTTCGGCCATGGGCCTCTATCCTCTGGTGGCACCAGTGCATACTCTTCCCTCTCCTCTGTTGTTCTCCCTTCCTCCTCGAGAGCTAATTCCATGTCTATGTACTCTTCCAAAGGCTCTTGCTCTCTCTCATCAAATAGGTTCTCTTCTGTGTATCCCAGATCATCAAGTTCCTCTTCAATAGTTGGGACTGGTGGAGGTTGAATACTTATTGGTCGCCATTCTGATCAGTCTGACCAACACTGTGTCTCCATGAATCTTGCTGAGTTGCTCCAGAAAATGTTTGGAGTGTAGTTGGGGCTATAGAATAGCCATCCCTTTCTTTCCAAGCTGTACCCTATGAATATGGCTGCAACCGCTCGCTGGTCCAGCTTCTTGTTGTTTCGTTTGGCTTTTGGAATGTTTACCCAAGCTAGACATCCGAATACATGCATGAGGCAGATGAATCATTCCAGTGATCTATTGAACATGAGCTGGTATGGAAACTCTCCATCAACGTTGGGAGTAAGATTGATCTTGAATGCTGCCACTCATATGGCATGTGGCCAAAATCTCTTTGGTAAACTCCTTTGCATCAGCAGTGTTCGCATCTTTTCACCCAGGCTCCTGTTCATCTGTTCTACTCATCCGTTTTGCCTGCTGTTGTAACTGATGGTAGTCTGCCACTCTATGCCCTTTTCTAATAACCATTCTAACACTTCGTTACTCTTCCATTCAGTTCCTTGATCAGATCAGATTGCTTTTAGCTTTCTGCCCATCTGTGTCTCTAGGAATGAAACTATTCTTTTGAGTTGCATGAATGCATGGCTCTTTCATAAGAGTGGTTGTGCATGTACATACTTGCTATGATTGTCAACCAGCACTAATGTGCATGTGTATTCTGTCACATGGGATGAGTCTATAATCAGATCGATGTGAATAAGATCTAGGGGCCCCATGGCTGTTTCACTGCTACCTTGCCCCATCCGGGTGGCTGTACTTTTGGACCACATACACTGCTCACATGTCAGAGCTGTATCTGGGTCCAATGCTGCTACAGGTTTGCCTTTCAATTTATCAGCAATCACTCTGGACTTGTCTCGACCTGGGTGTCCCAGATGTTCATGCCAGAGCTGTCTTGTGGAGATCTTTGGTCTCCGGTTGGCCAGCTCGAACTCTTCATCAACTCCTTCAAACAGTGGTGTTGATGTAGTCATCACACTTTGTCGCCATGTGTCACCTTGGAACTCTAATAGTCCACACTCGTGATCTTTTGTTATTCTCAATAGCATACCATTTGCCAAGTGTATTTGTCTGCCTGTCATGTCTAAAGTCACACGTGCTCCCTCATCCATCAGTGAGTTGGTTGACAACAGGTTAATATTGAGTCTTTTAACATACAACACATTTTGAAGATAAACGTCTCCATATTCTGTTGCTATGTTGGTATCTCCCACAGCAGTTGCCTCCAGCACTTCGCTTCCAGCAGTATACACTCGCTTTCTGCAATTTCTTGGATGGATGAGCATGCTGTGGTCATTAACCATGTGGTAGCTCGCTCCCGAATCCAAGATCCAACATGTGGTTCCTTCTGACTTTGGGAGCTGCTGCCAACTCGGGGTGAAAGAGCACCAGACCTCCTAGTTGGTCTTGGTGAGTGGAGAATTTTCGGGAATGACAATGGAAGCATCGCATTTGCTGGCACCGTGCCCATAGCACTTGCATACCCAGCAATGAATCACCTTTGGTTTGGTTGTGGTTTTCATGCTGCCTGTGTCCGACTCAGTGTCATCAGCCTGCTCTTCGTTGCCCCCAGCAATTCTAGCACATGCTTGGCATGGGTCCACTTTCTGACCAGGTACACTTTCCATTGCAGACTGGCATGTAGTCAAAGCTGTTGCTAGAGCATCGAAGCTAACCTGATGAACTGTGGCAACTGTCTCCTTGTAGACCGGGTGTTGAATCGTACACCTCTGGAGCATGGCATATAGTGCATCATTACTAAATGGGGCACCTAGGAGGCTAGTTTCAGTCTGCATAACCCTGATCTCTTGGATCAGCTTACGGGCATCAGTGTGAAACATCTTTGCCTCATTGAGCTCAGTGAGTAATGCTATCCGTCACAAGGTTCTAGTTGCTTTGCTGGTTAGACTCCTTTCAATTTTCTTCCAAGCTTGATGGCAGGTCAGATGATTCTTACTGATGTCGAGTAGGAGGTAAAGGACATTATACTCTCCTTTGGTGTCTAGGGTGCTTTGTAGGACACCCACTAGGGCATTATCAAAGGTTTTATTCCATTTCGGGTGGTCTTTGTCATATGTGCCCTTTAGATGTTGTGTGGCATGGGGAACTACTCGTAGGTTGGCCTTGATGAGTGTGCTCCAACTATAATAGTTGCATGATGTGAGCTTGGGAACTGTCTCCAAGATTTTGGCCAAGGTGCAGTAATCATATTGGTCATCGTCGTTGTCTGATTCTGATCCTCCTTCATCCTCATTGTCAAAATACTCTGTCTCATTACCATTGGTGGCCTCTTCATCAATTTGTGCTTGTTGTGGCATTTTACCTTTTCTTGTCCTCCTGGCTGCTTCACCTGAGCTGGCTTGGCAGTCATTGTCTCCTGCCATATTTGAATGTCATGGGTTCGAGCCCCATGCTGGGAGCCAATTGTATTAGGTACACTGCTCTAGAGGCCACAGTCAGGTGCTCTTTTACAGTCAGGTGTGTCTAATTGAGAAGACTTGAATTGTGTAAGGAGGTAGTGACTAAGCTAAGAACATATATACATATTCTCTGCACCTGACACTGCTCACTTTGTTGAGTCATGCCCATGTGCCATGTATCTTCTTTCATAAGCATTGTCATATCAACATGTCCCCTCCATACCATGGTGTCAATCCTCATGCATAGGCTGCATTAGCTCCCACCAGCCTCTCATCTTGCTTGTCCTCCTCATCACCCGATGCCCTCCCGATCCCCCGATCCTGTGAGCTCCCATTTACTATATCATGCACTAGCGATGCTGGTGCCTCTTCAAGAAAGTATTACTCCGCGAGGCTCATACCCAAAAAAGGATCTAACACTCCACCAATTGAAATATGGGCACGGTCCACTGGGAAAGGACACTTGGTTCTGTTCATCATGTGCACACACACAAGTCGAATTGAACAGTGTCTGTATTGCCAAAGATCGAGAGTAAGGCTCAGTACTTGGCAAGAGCGAGAGCGTTGACGGCATCCTTGATCTGCTGCTTCTCCTCTTTCTGTGGATTGTAAAGGAGAAGGATTTTGGACAGTAAGCCAGGTGCAAAGACGATCAAGAGAGTCAGGCAAGATTGCACTTACAATGAGACCAGAGATGGCCTTGAACTTGGGATGCGAAGCATCGACCAGCATCTGGAAGAGTACCGACTCTGAGGTGGTGATCTTGGCGCCCGAGTCGCGCATTCTCTGCATGGCGACACAAGAAAACAAAAGAGGTATCGGTTTCAACTCTGCGCCATCAAGGAGCAAGGTCAAGTGTGCAGTAGTACTCACCTCAAGAGCAACATCGATCTCGCCAACATTGCAACTCGAAACACCATCCTTGATGACATGCACCTGAATCCCCCTATCCAAGAGGTCGAGCGTAGTCTGAAGCACACAAACGTGGCTCTCGATACCAAAGATGACGACGTGTTTGATATCGCCTGCGCTCTTGAGCCATCTGTCGGTGATGTCTGGCAGATCCATGCTGAATTTAGACTTCGGGTGGACTGCGGTGGAGGATAGCTCTGGAAGCTCTTTGAGGAGGTCGCTGAGTGGGGAGACTGTCGCACCGAGAACTGTGGCAGAAGAAGGCGTCCAAACAGAATCAGAGTCGGCGAGGCACTCGGATGAGATAGAAGATCTGGGAGCGACTTACCTTTGGGATTCTGCTCAGTAGTGAAAACGGGAACATGGAGGACTTTGGCAGCTTTGAGCATGCGAGCGGAAGTAGATGTAATGAGGTCAAAGTTGGCAATGGCGGCTTTGAACCTCTCTTGCATGTCGCAGAGGAAGAAAGCGGTTTTGGGGAGTTCGATGCGAGCTGTACGGAAAGCGGAAGCTGCCATATTGTCGGACGTATGCTTGTCTATGAATCGATGGGAGGGGCGAGGTTGAAGAGGAGTATGATGGTATTTAAGAAGGAAAAGTGCGGGCAAAGCTGTTCTCTGCTGTTGCAGTTGAAGTAGATAAAGCCGCACAAAGCATAGAGGTAGTATTCACGGCCGAGTAAAAGGGCTTGCAGAATAGAGGGTGCAGCAGTGTGCATGTGCACACACACCAAGCATGTGCAAGTAGTGAAAATCTGAAAATTCTTGACTTGCATCTGTACTTAGCACCATCATAAATCATATGAAAACTTCAACTGGCTCCCAACGTGGGGCTCGAACCCTGACATTCAGCACATCAAGGGTCCAATGCTTAGCATAATGCTGCCATCGACAAGAGCAGGGCAGACTGGAAGGAATGAGAGAGATGATGATCAAATGGCCACAGCTGCAGGCAATGGTCGAGAGGAGGGTTGGCTCACACAGGTAGTTAGAATCTTACAGTTAGCAAACCTGGCACTGATGGTGGAGGAAGCAATAGTGCAGGCAATGGGCCTTGTCACCATTAGCAATCAAACCCCATGAGGAGAGACAGAAAAGATTCCCAAGGATGTCTTGAGCTCAATTGCCCATATTAAGAAACTTAGTGATAGCAACTGGCACACCTGGGAGCCTACCTTCATCGACTGTCTGCAACAAGTATGCAACATGAAGGAAATCCTGTACAGCAAGATAGCACCAGGAAGCAAGGGGTATGACAAGGACTTGGACAAGGCACTTGTAGGTCTTATCCACACCTCCTGTGATCACAGTCTGGAGAGCCGCATCAATACATACACTGTTAGGGGTGTGGATGAACATGTCCAACTTGGTAGTACACTATATGCTAAGCTCAAGAAGGTGCTAATGTTGAATGACGCAGTAAAACAAGCAGGCCTGCAGGACCACATCCATACCATATGTCTGTACAATTGTGATGTCATCAAGCTAGGCAAGGAACTGGACTCCATCTGAAATGATGCTGCATGACTTGGGAAATGACTCGATGAGGACCTCAAGAATTCCACCCTATACTGTTGCACAGCACAAGATTGGTTCTATGCCAACTCTGTTGATGCCCTCAAGACAGCCAAACCAGATTGTAAGTACAATGAAGCCTACCACACATTAGCAAAGAAGCAACAGGATGGTGAGGTCACTGGCCATATTAGAGGAGCAGCAAGGGTTGCCACAAGCATGGAACAGGGGAGCACCAACCAGGCAGAGCAAGGACCCAGGGGCAGGCATGATCCTCACAACCCCTCAGCCCCTCCAAAGTGCTATGCTTGTGGAGGACCTAATCACATTGCTCGCAACTGCACAAACACCAACAACAACTCTGCACTGAGTATGGATGGACCCACCACCAATCCAGCACAAGAAGCAAGTCGGTAGGAACTCAGGTGCACCCTCCTAGCAATTGGTGGGGATGAGCAACCAACATTGGACACCTGGATTGTCGATTCGGGTGCAACACACCACATGGTGAACAATGAAAGAATGCTGCTCACCTCAACATGCAAGGACAGTCAGATCTGTATGGCTGGAAATGAAAGGCTTCAAGTGAAGGCCATAGGAGATGCCTCCCTTCAGGTTGGCAATGTAACCATTCAACTATTGGATGTGCTCTATGTGCCAAAACTTAATTCTAATTTATTATCAGTACAAGGCTTGATTGAGAATGGTGCATGGGTAACTTTCAATGAGTTTGGAACCATCATTAAGCAAAATGACAGCACACAAATACAATACAAGAGGAACAGAAGAAAAGGGCAGTTTGAAGTACAGGGAAAGGCACTAGCCCTGGAGTTGGAAGAGACACTTGACGACATCCCAGAGGACAACCAGAACACAGGAAAACTAGATAATGCCCCAGAGGGCAATAAGGACACAAAGCATCAAGACAGCTACCTATGGCATGAGAGGTTCAGACACCCAGGACAAGACAAAACAAGACAAATCTGGGCTCATTACCTAGGTACTGACAAGGAAATGGAACATGAGTTGAAGTGCTGTAATGCATGTAGCCAAGGAAAACAGACTCAAGCATGGATGGGCCAATCAGAGTCAGAAAGAATGGAAGCACCATTAGAGCTGGTACACATAGACCTGATGACAGATTTCAAAGGTCATGCCAACTACCACTATGCACTAGTTGCTGTGGATGACTTCTCCTCTCTGATCTACATGGAACCACTCTGCACCAAGAGTGCCACACTCATGGTGCTGAGGAGGTGGATAGCCAGGATGGAATGGGCAATGGACAGGAAACTCAAAACACTCTGCAGTGACAATGGAGGAGAATGGTGCAGCATAGCAGCTGAAGACTGGCAAACTCAAGAGGGTTTCAAGTGGCAAAAGAGTGTCCCGGGGATCAGCATCCAAAATGGATGGGCAGAGAGAGTGATCAGATTGGTCCAAGAAAAGATGTGCTCAATGCTCATTGGTTGAGCTTGCCCCAGAGAGTTGTGGCTGTATGCAATCACAGCAGCAGCACATGTGATGAACCTCACCCCATCAGCCACCAAGACCATTCCCCATGAGGCCTTTTATGGAACCACCACACACAAACTGGCCCAACAGCTGCGAGTTTTCGGGTGCCTGGCATGGGTCCATGTTCAACAGAAGGACCAGCAAGGTGTCATGGGCCTGGATGCTCAAGAAGCAGGAGGGTCACTGGTTCATATGGACGGAGCACAGGTATCGAAGACCTAGTCGATACCAGTAGAGAGCATGGTCGTAGTGCAGTCTCCATGGAGACCATGGACTCCTATGGATTCACATGCAAAGGAGCACTGAGCCCATATGCGAGGAGGACCAGGCACAGCCACGAGGAGGACCAAGCTCAGATGGTTACCACTCAGGGGCTCGAGAGACAGGAAGTCGACACAGGTCATGAGGAGGAGGAGCAGTGTCGAAGGAGTCGACACCACTCAAGAGGCACAGGGGTGCCAAGCAGGAGAGGCCCCTGAGCAGTACTCGATGAAGAAGGTACTCTCTGGAGAGAGAGCAGGAGCAGCATCGCTGGCAATGCTGTGAAGAGGTATATAACCATGCTTTCTCATCATCATAGGTCGAGTGGATCCCCATCCACTCTACTCACCATACAACTAGTCAATACTTTAGAAACACAAGTACTCATTAGTTACAGTCAGCATAGCAGCAATCTATCAAGGTTGCTCCTCATCGTAGTGTGTGTGTTGTATCACCACTACCTGACATCCGAAGGCGCCCATAGCAGGTTAGCGGTCCGGATATCGATAGAACCGAAGGCAGTAGTCCACTGCGGTCCGGGGATCACTTCAAGCATCAAGTCAACACACTGGACACTCGTGTTGACACCACCAACCTTATCACCAACACCATCAACCTCATTATCATTGACATCACCAATCTCATCACCAACACCATCAACCTCATCATCATCAACACTCACACCAGACCTTGGTGTCATCATAACATTGATATTGATCGTGCCGAGCTACCCCTGAACGGAGTGTCCACAGAGGTCAGCCGAAACCTACGATAGTAGATACAACGAACGCCACCTGCTGTCACTGCACAACTTGATAGTCACCGATACCGAGACAATAGCTGTCACACAGTTTGATAGTCACCGAGTATCTCGACAGACCGACCTGGGTTTCAGGCGCGAGACCCCTGACATTAGAGTGGATCGTTCAAGCAGCTCCTCACGATCACCATGACGGACCCAGACCTCAACAATAAGCTCGATAGACTACTCACTCTATTGGAAGCTCAGCTAGAGCTTACTAGGCAGGGTCATCGAGAGGAACGACTACAACGAGCTCAGCTGGGTAGGGAGGAGACAATGGACCTCTCTCACTCGGAAGACCAAGCAGGAGGAGGAGATGAGTCTATGATAGGAGACCCACATACTCCTACTCCGGCTCCACGACCAAGACGATCAGTCTCATTCAACCTGGAAGAGCAGGAGGACATCAACTACGAGAAGTATGCTTCACCTACTGGGCCAAGATATGTCAAGACTAAGCTGGACCCCTACAGCAGGACTAGGACGGATCCTTACCCCCTGGACCACGAGGAGGATACCAGCATCATGGCAGAGCTTAACCGGTCAAAGCCCATTGCCACCCCCTTTCCAAAGTTCAATCCCCGAGACATGGAGATCTTCATTCTAGAAGCCGAAGCATGGTTTAAGTTCAACCAGGTGTATGAGCAGTCTAGGATGATCAATCACATGGGTGCTCAACTGGAAGGGACAGCAAGAGAGTGGTGGACCTCCAAGCTCCGCATTGATAGAGCTAGAGAAGGAAGGTTGTTCAATGATTGGCACTACTTCACAGAGCGACTGTCAGAGCAGTTCAACCCACGCAATGCTAGGATGGAGGCATACAACAAGCTGTTGGCTCTCAGACTCACAAGTGATGCTCCTGGTGCTGCCACACGTCATGTAGAGCGGTTCAGAGACTTGGAGGGACAGGTCAACCTAGATGACAACGAGCTAGTGATTGATCTCTTCAGAGGAAGTCTCACTCGCAGCATACAGGAGAAGTTTGAGAGGAATCCACCTGGGAAGAGATGGGAGTGGTATCGAGAGGTTGAGGAGATCGATCGACGGAGGATGCTACTACAGCAGTCCTCGGCTAGACACTCACTCCCAAATGCCATGTCACCTCCACTAAGAACTGGGTCTCGGCCAAATCAAAGTTCGATCCCCATCCGACAACCCACTCAACCTTATCCAGCTCGATCACCATCACAAGCAACTACACAAGCAACTATACAAAACCTAAACCGACCCCTTCCTCATCATCCCACCCAACCCTCGAAGCAAGGAAGCCCTGCTCCATCAGGTATCAACACCTGTCATGTATGCAAGGGTATCGGCCATTGGGCCAGAGACTGCCCCAGCAGGAGGGTAAACCCTCTTAGCTCTCGACCCATGGGACCAAAGGTTATGGTCACCACAGCAGACCCCTTCGAGGAGGCCACCGACTCAGGAGATGGCCACACAGGCAGCACTGAGACGGGTGACCCTGAGGCCATGGACCTCAGCTCATACCAGCAACCCATGGACCCCGATCACGAGGAGGAGCACGATGATGACGACGACGAGGGAAACGTCAGTGGGGTGATGCACTGATGGCATGCATTGCTCTACAAACCTCCTCGCCATCACTCTGTATATATCAAGATTGTCAAGTATGTTTCTCTACCAGTGGAGGCAAAGCAGTACTGGAGCTCTCTGGAATGGTTCAAGACCATCCTGCTCGGATACTAGCTGATACTGGTGCTGGTTTGTCCATAGTCTCAGATTCTTTCATTAGTAAGTACCAAATACCCACAAAACCCATAAAAACAAGATCGATCCATGGTGTCACCGGGCACCAACTCTCCATCAATAGTTCTGCGAGCATGCAGGTATCTATTGGTACACACAATCTGGGTGTGGTCGAAGCTTCAGTGGCCGACACTGCGGATTATGACCTCATCCTGGGGTTCACTGAGCTACGGAGGCTCAAACCCACCATACAATGGGATACGGGCCAGCTGGAGTTCAAGACTCAGGAGCAGGACTGACCCCCTAGGAGACCCCCTGAAGCAGCAAGAGCAGGGGACCTAACCATGAGGAGACCAACCCTTCATGGTAACGAGTTTGTCTCAGCAGAGCGCATACTACGAGCAGCTCTGGAAGATGGACCCATAGGGTTCATGCTGTTAGAGGAGCCACCATCATCACTCCCGGCCTTTGGTTTTGTACCTACAGGCGCAGACAAAGGAGTCGAGATGGAGGTGGAGGTAGATCAGGTGGTGACGGCTGCAGACATACCAAAGCCATACCAACACCTGCGAGATGTGTTTGATGAGGTGGAAGCAGACAAGCTGCCCCATCATACCGAGCATGATCTCCACCTCGAGTTGATAGAAGGAGGTAAGCCACCTCAAGGGCCCCTATACCTTAAGGGACCCAAGGAGATGTCCGAGTTGAGGAGATACTTGGATGAGAACCTCGAGAAGGGGTTCATAAGACCATCGAAGAGCCCGGCACGATCGCCAGTGCTCTTCGTACCAAAGAAGGATGGAGGTCTCAGACTCTGTGTGGACTACAGAGGTCTCAACGAGATCACTGTCAAGAACAGGGCACCATTGCCCCTCATCGAGGAGCAGCTGTTCTTACTCAGGAAGGCAAGGATCTATACCAAGCTAGACCTTAGAGCAGCATACAACCTCATCCGGATTGCTAAAGGAGATGAATGGAAGACAGCTTTTGGCACTCAGTTGGGACTCTATGAGTACCTAGTGATGCCCTTTGGCCTAGCCAATGCTCCGGCTCACTTCCAGTCATTCATCAATGACATCTTCCGAGACATCATTGGAGTATATGTAGTGGTATACTTAGATGACTTCCTGATCTTCAGTGACACTGAAGAGGTACATGTGAAGCATGTCACCGAGGTCCTCACTCGCTTAAGGAGCAACAGGCTCTTTGCTAAGCTGTCGAAGTGTGAGTTCCACACCAAGACAGTCGAGTTCCTGGGGTACATCATCAAGCCAACGGGCATAGAGATGGACCCAGAAAAGGTGCGCACTGTCAAGGAGTGGCCAATGCCAGAGTCAATCCATGACATCCAGAGGTTCCTGGGTTTTGCCAACTTCTATCGAAGGTTCATAGCCCACTTTGCTCGCATAGCCAAGCCCTTGACAGCACTGGTAAAGCCTATAGAACGGTTCAAGAAGTTCGAGCTACCAGAGGAGGCCCAACAGGCCTTCCACAAGCTCATCCAGGCCTTCACATCAGCAGGAGTGCTTCAGCACTTCGACTACCACCTTCCAACAAGGTTGGAGACTGATGCAAGTGACTTTGCTATAGCAGGAGTGCTCAAGCAGGAGCATGAAGGACGATGGCATCCAGTGGCCTTCTACTCTAGGAAGATGTCTTCTGCCGAGAAGAACTATGAGATCCATGATAAGGAGCTCCTAGCTGTGGTCGCCTGCCTCACTCAGTGGCGACACATGCTAGCTGGACTACCGAACCAACTGGTCATCCTCACTGACCATGAAGCCCTCAAGTACTTCAAGTCACAGAGACGCATCACAGGTCGACAGGCTCGATGGGCCATACTACTAGCAGACTTCGACTTCATATTGCAGTATCGACCAGGAGACAAAGGTGGTGAACCCGATGCTCTCACCAGAAGGACAGACATGCAACCAGCTGGTGAAGAGCAGGATCACAATGTGAGGCAACTACTGCCTCCTCGAGTGTTCAAGGAGACAGCAGACCATGACTCGCTCCTAGTGGCCCCCATGATCTCGATGGAGTCCATAGCATCAAAAGGTCTCAAAGACCTGGTCAAGATCTTCCAGCCCTTAGACCAGGAGCTACAGGAGATACATAGGAAGAAGCCCTTCGAGGTCAGGGATGACCTATGGTACAGTGGAGGAAGGTTGGTTATCCCCAAAGTGATCATGCCAGGGAGGACCAACAACCGACACTCAAGGAGTGCCAAAGAGGTAGATGGACAGTCTCTCTCTGTAGAGCATCTGCGATTCATGGTGATGACCCAATGCCATGATGGTATCACTGCTGGACACGTAGGAAGAGATGCTACCATCAAGGCAGCACAACGACATTACTGGTGGCCAAACATGACAGCTTGGATTGCAGACTATGTAGCAAGTTGCCCTGTATGTGCTAGGTACAAAGCTCCTCGTCATCGTCCATATGGTTTGCTACAGCCACTAGCAACCCCAGACAGGCCCTGGGGCTCCATATCCCTCGACTTCATCGAAGGACTACCAACATCGAAGAAGTATGACTCCAAGACCTATGACTCTATCTTAGTCATTGTCGACAGGCTAACCAAGTTTGCCATACTAGCTCCAACCCATAAGACAGTCACGGCCAAACAGACTGCAGTATTGCTATATGGACACATGGTTAGACTCTTTGGATATCCAGATCACATGGTCTCGGACCGAGGCAGGCAGTTCATATCAGGAGCATGGAAGGCATTTGCAGAGCAAATGGGTGTGAAGCACTCACTTAGCACGGCTTACCATCCTCAAACTGATGGTCAGACAGAGAGAGTCAATCAGGTCATAGAGCAATATCTCAGGATGTACTGCAACTATGAGCAGAATGACTGGGCCAACCTGCTGGACACTGCGGCCTTTGTATACAACAACACGGTCCACAACAGCATTGGTGTCTCACCATTCTTTGCATGCTATGGATGGAACCCCAAAGCTCATCCTGACATCCCTCAACGACTAGGAGTCAATGATCCAGGTCGCTTCGAGTACCTCATGGATGGAAAGGAGCGTTGCAAGTACCTCCAGGAGCAGATCAGAGAGGCACAACGTAGATCAGTAGACCAGTATAACAGGAAGCACAAGGACATTGAGTTTAAGGTGGGTGATATGGTCTATATCAACCGCCGAAACTGGAAGACACGGAGACCCACACCCAAGTTGGATACCCGGTTTGCAGGACCCTACCCAGTTCAGGAACGGGTAGGACGTTGAGCTTACCGAATCACATTGCCAGCAAACCTTAGGGTGCATGATGTGTTCCATGTCTCCATGCTCGAGCCAGCAAGAACAAGTTCTCTTCCTCAACGTGCTGAACAGCCCACCATGCCACCACTTCCAGATGAGGACCTCGACTTCGAAGTCGAAGCACTCATCGACAAGCGTTCACACAATGGGACTACAGAGTACAAGGTGTTGTGGAGAGGGTACTCAGAAGAAGCTGCTTCATGGGAACCAGTAGAGAACCTCAACTGTCCCGACCTCATCCAGGAGTATGAGGTGTCGGAGGGGGGACGAGTGAGTAGACAAAGTAGAGAAAGGAGTAGAGAGAGGAAGAGAGAACAGGAGGAGTAGAGAGAGGAGGATGACGTTGAGAGAAGGAGGAAGGATGACGGGGGCGATGTTGTCAAGGAAGAGGAGGAGTCAGCATGAACCAGACCAGAGCATGCCTCGACGGAGCTCGGCTCTTAAGAGGGGGGTAGTGTCATGGGCCTGGATGCTCAAGAAGCAGGAGGGTCACTGGTTCATATGGACGGAGCACAGGTATCGAAGACCTAGTCGATACCAGTAGAGAGCATGGTCGTAGTGCAGTCTCCATGGAGACCATGGACTCCTATGGATTCACATGCAAAGGAGCACTGAGCCCATATGCGAGGAGGACCAGGCACAGCCACGAGGAGGACCAAGCTCAGATGGTTACCACTCAGGGGCTCGAGAGACAGGAAGTCGACACAGGTCATGAGGAGGAGGAGCAGTGTCGAAGGAGTCGACACAGGTCATGAGGAGGAGGAGCAGTGTCGAAGGAGTCGACACCACTCAAGAGGCACAGGGGTGCCAAGCAGGAGAGGCCCCTGAGCAGTACTCGATGAAGAAGGTACTCTCTGGAGAGAGAGCAGGAGCAGCATCGCTGGCAATGCTGTGAAGAGGTATATAACCATGCTTTCTCATCATCATAGGTCGAGTGGATCCCCATCCACTCTACTCACCATACAACTAGTCAATACTTTAGAAACACAAGTACTCATTAGTTACAGTCAGCATAGCAGCAATCTATCAAGGTTGCTCCTCATCGTAGTGTGTGTGTTGTATCACCACTACCTGACATCCGAAGGCGCCCATAGCAGGTTAGCGGTCCGGATATCGATAGAACCGAAGGCAGTAGTCCACTGCGGTCCGGGGATCACTTCAAGCATCAAGTCAACACACTGGACACTCGTGTTGACACCACCAACCTTATCACCAACACCATCAACCTCATTATCATCGACATCACCAATCTCATCACCAACACCATCAACCTCATCATCATCAACACTCACACCAGACCTTGGTGTCATCATAACATTGATATTGATCGTGCCGAGCTACCCCTGAACGGAGTGTCCACAGAGGTCAGCCGAAACCTACGATAGTAGATACAACGAACGCCACCTGCTGTCACTGCACAACTTGATAGTCACCGATACCGAGACAATAGCTGTCACACAGTTTGATAGTCACCGAGTATCTCGACAGACCGACCTGGGTTTCAGGCGCGAGACCCCTGACACAAGGCAAGTACAGGGCTAGAGCAAAGCCAGCCATCATGATTGGGTATGACAATGAGCACAAAGCATGGAAGTTCTGCAACCTGGACCAGCCTGCATCAATTCAATGGAGCAACTCAGCAATGTTCCATGAAGACAAAGGATGGAGTGATCACCAGCAGGAGGCATGCAAGCCCATGGAAGTTGAGGAGGAGGGTGCTGCACCAACCACAGTGGAGGAGGAGACCAGATTGGAGGCTGCAGTGGAGGACCTTCTGCCAGCCATGGACAGCACAGTAGGCACTGCCAACACAGCAGTGCTGAACCTGGACCCAACACTTGGAGAGGCAATGAATGGTGAGGATGCCCAGCTCTGGAAGGAGGCAATATGAAAAGAGCTGGAAGGACTCGAGGCAATGGGGACTTGGGAGGTGGTGAATCACCTGCCAGGAGTACCACTTGTGGACTCTAAGGTTGTGCTCTGGCTAAAGCTCAATGCTGATGGTGTGCCCATAAAGCACAAGGTGTGACTGGTTGCAAGGGGTTTCACACAGAGAGAGGGAATTGACTACCAGGAAACCTTCTCCCCAGTAGTGCCCCTTGGAGCAATCAGAGCTATCCTAGTGCTAGCAGTACAGAATGACTGGGAGGTGCATGCACTGGATATCATGATGGCCTACTTAAACTCCAGGTTAAAAGAAGTGATCTATATGAAACCACTGGAGGGATCAGGAGTAGCACCTGGACAGGTATACAAAGTGGTCAAGGGCCTGTACAGCCTAAAGCAGTCCAGTTGAGAATGGAACCAGGAATTCGACAGGTCTTTGCGATGCATGGGATTCTTCCAGGTAGAGTGTGCTCCCTGCATCTACACTAAGGGACAGGGTGAAGATATGGCTATTGTGGTCATTTACATTGATGATACATTAGTCATAGCACCACGACTGGAGACAGTGCTAAAGGTCAAGAAGCAGATCAGCCAGAAATGGAAGATGGAAGATAGTGGCAAGGTCTCTCACTTCTTAGGCATCAAAATTAGTCAAGACCGTGCAAAGCACACCATGACAATCAGTCAGTCAGGGTACATCAATCAAGTGCTGGCAAAGCACCTGGACAAATGTACAAAGCCAACCATGGTTCCAATGCAGAGTATACTGGAGGGAACCCTTGTTGCAAGCACAGTGCAACAAAAGGAGTATCCAGTGTTTGTTGGCAAGCTACTCTGGGTTGCCAACAGCACCTGGCCTGATCTTAGTCTCACTGTAGGAGTTCTCACCAGACACATGTGAGAACCATTGCAGGAGCATTATCAGGCAGCCCAATGGGTCTTATGCTACCTCGAAAGCATGAAGGAGGTGGGATTGGTCTATAGAGCAAGCAAATCGCAAGAGCCACTGGTCGTGCACAGTGATGCAAACTGGGTGAGCAATGCCACCATACAGAGAAAGAGTACCTCAGGGTCAGTGGCATTGGTGTATGGGAACCCAGTAGCCTGGAAGTCAGCAACACAAAAATGTGTATCATTGTCTGCTGTCAAGGCAGAATTCATTGCCACCACAGAGGCAACACGCAAGGTACTTTTCCTCAAGCAATTGCTACACTCAATTGGCATTGCTACAGGGACCCCAATGGTCTACTTGGATAACACTGGTTGCATACAGGTGAGTAAGGACCCAGCACAGCACTGGAAGCTCAAACACATTGACACCAAGTATCACTTCATTTGCAACAATGTCCAAGAAGGAAAGGTGCAGATTAAGTATGTGGACACAACACGAAACTTAGCAGACATACTCACCAAGCCCATTGGAAGGCAAGTGATGCAACAAGCATGATCCAGGCTACATCTGCAAATACCAGTGGTGCATGGTATGGGACCCCCAAGCTATGCAACAGTACTGAAGCATGGAGGATGTGTCAAACAGCAACAGCACAATGAACAGAGTACATATGCTGTTGAGGGGGGGAGTTGAAGTAGATAAAGCTGCACAAAGCATAGAGCTAGTATTCACAGCTGAGTAAAAGGGCTTGTGGAATAGAGGGTGCAGCAGTGCGTGTGTGTGCATGCACCGAGCATGCGCAAGTAGTGAAAATCTGAAAATTCTTGACTCGCATCTGTACTTAGCACCATCATCAATCATACGAAAACTTCAACTGTTGCTCTGATGCCTTTTCCCGCTTGAGCCTCAAGTGGAGGTGGATTTTGTGAGCCGAATTTCTTCTCACCAAAATGTGTGAACAGAAAACCTAACACAATTGACAAAAAAGCGCCAGAAGAAGAATCAAGACGCCGCTCGCTGCCAACTTGTTGGAGGTGTGCAAGAAACATGCTTCATCCGCACTTGGCTCGTTGTGCGCATAAGGCGTCGGCATGGCCGATCCATCTGACAATGGCCGTGGGAAAGAAGCGGATGCTGGCCGAAGAGGCGTGGGAAACAAGGATCGGATCAAGCGAACACAGCAGTGGTGAGAAGTATTGGTGAGAAGTATTGGTGAGAAGCATCGGCTCGTCCGAAGTGTTCTCACGCTCTCGTACGAACTTGGAGCCTGCTTTCGGAAGCTCTCCGACTCTCTCACTCATCTCCCGGCAAGTGCGAGACTGAGGGCCAAGTGCCGTTCGTTGGCCAAACAGAGCGCGTGCGAAACACGCTTTTGAGTGGGCAGCAGCTTCTGTCATATGGAGCAAACGCAAGGAACAACTCTCTCTCTCTCTCTCGCCACCACCTTGCCGCCACCACCTTGCCGACACTACTTATAAAGCAACCCTGCCTTGTCTCTCATCGCCAACTTCCTGGCACACATCACCACTCACACTCTACTCACTCGGAGCAAGGCTGGACCGCATGGGCAAGATTGACACTCTACAGAGCAGCATCAGCCACAACACAGCTCAGTAGGAGCTAGACGGTCATCATGATTGTCATCAACATTCCAGTAGATGGCAACGTCAACGTCTCTCTTCCACCAGAGCCACGTCCACGTCCACGTCCGTGTCCAACGTTGGACAACAATGCACCATCCCCCGGAGAGTCATTGTCATCCTCTTCGGGCTCCAGCACACCTGCCTCTGGCCTTTCCTCGTCACGCCGACTCTCTCGTCGAGTGCAGAGTATGGCCCTCGCAAATCTCCTCAGCAATGATCCATCTAAATCCATCAGAGCTGCCAAGCTTCCAGCAGCGGGCGACGGCTCCACCTCTGACCTCAAAGCACTCGAATACGATCTTCCAGCAGACATCGCCCTTCCACCTTTTGGCCGGCCGTCAAAAGATGTCGATCGCGATCTCGCCCGACTCTACGAAGCTGTATCAGGTGCGCGTCGCATTGCTGTCATCTGCGGTGCAGGTATCTCGGTCTCTTCTCCAGCTAACATTCCAGACTTTCGATCGGCTCACGGTCTCTTTAAGAAGTTGAAAGAAAAGCATCCCACTGCTGGTCTCTCTTCAGGCAAAGACTTGTTCGATGCACGACTCTTCAGTTCCGAGAGCACATCAGCACTCTTCTATTCCATGGTCGCTGAGTTGAAGAGCTTGGCTGATCAAGCAGAGCCCACCATCTTCCACCGATTCTTAAAGAGACTCGATGACCAGGGGAGATTGCAGAGGGTCTACACCCAGAACATCGATGGCTTGGAGGAGAAGGCTGGTCTCAGCTTCGGCTTGGGTGAAGCAGGTGATTCGACGACCACCGTGCGAGCACTGGGCAAGAGGAAGCGAGCCCAAGTCGGCTTTGCTAGGAGCAAGAGTGACTCGCATCTCTTCTTTCACAAGCCAGAAGACGAGAAGCGTCCCATGTTTCCGCGGACCATTCCATTGCATGGCACCTTGCAGACCCTTACTTGCCCCTTGTGCAATCACAAGCTCATCTTGGCAAACACAGTCAAGAGTGAAGAGGTACTGACCGGATCAAGCCAAGGCTCCGCCAGTTTGGGTCATGAAGCGAGCAAGCATGCTATCGAGCTCTTGCAGAATGGAGAGCCTGTCCCTTGTCCAGCCTGTCAGGAGGCGGACCATCTCAGGACCATTGCCGGTTTCCGATCGAGGGGCGTAGGGAGGATGAGGGTTGATATCGTCTTGTATGGCGGCCAGAACGAGGGCGCCGAGAGAGTGGGACAATGTTTGCAGAGAGATATTTTGGGTTTGAGAGACCCCAACGAGCCTCCTGTTCCCGAAAGTGCCGCTGAGACGAGGGCGAGGGAGAGGAAGGAGAAGAAAGAGGCGGACAAGTTGAAGTTGGAGCAGGAATCCCTTAAGAAGGAGGCAGATCAGAGTATCGATAGCGAGGCGGCGGTTGGTTTCGAGCTGGGGAGCTTTTTGCCAGGCGGGGAGAGCAAGGATGATATTCTGGCCAGAGCTTTTGCGGAGCAAGGTGATGAGAAGAGCGTTGCGATTGCAGAGCCTGCCAAGAAGAAGCCTACTCGATCGCCCAGGTTGAAGCCTTTGCCACCTGATCTGCTCATTGTGGCTGGTACGAGTCTCAAAGTGCCAGGCACTAAAAGGATTGTCAGGGAGTTTGCCAAGGCTTGTCATGCTCAAGACGAGTGGCTCATCTACTCTTCCGAAAGTGAAGATGAGAGCAGCAACGCGCAAGATCGGTCGAACAGCAAGAAGCGGAAGCCACGTAAGAAGCCAGAGGAGAAGGAGGAGGAGGTGGTCGTGGAGCAAGACGAAGATGAGGAGCACAAGATCCACGACCCTACAAGACCCATTCGGACTATCTTGCTCAACTATGATTTCCCTAACCCTGCTCGAGAGTGGCAAGACGTTTTCGACATCTGGATTCAAGGCGATCTTCAGAGAGCTGCACTATCGCTCTTCCCAACGAAGCAGCTTGGAGAAGACGCACCACAGGATGCGAAAGTGATTGAGGAGATCGTCGGTAGTTACACTTGGGCTAAGTTCAAGGATTACTTGGAGGAGCAGAGGGCGCTGGCTAAGAAGGAGAAGAGGAAGGCTACTGTTGCTGCAACTGCGGGCGCTTTGGGTGGTGCGAGAAAGGGTAGATGTATGGGAAGGACTGTTAGTGCCGCTGCTAAGATGGAACGTGCTGGGTCCACGGCTTCTGTTGAGTCGACGCAAGTGGTTGTGTCTTCGCAGATGGAGGTAGGGAAGCAGGCAGTCAAGACGAAAGCGGTGAAGGCGAGGAGTCGATCCGAGTCGCCTGTCAAGAAGCCTACTCCTCAGCAGCAGCATAATGGTACTGCGGCGACGGGGGCAAAGAAGGCTCTGACTCGTACAAAAGGCGGGTTGAAGAGGAGTAACAGCAAAAAGAACCCCTTTCTGGATTCCGATTCGTCTGTCTCTCCGTCTCCCGCGTTTGGCTCGAGTACGGTCTCGGTCGACATCCCAACTATCGCCGAAGAACACGAGGATGACGAGACAACCTCAGCAAGGCATCAGGGAAAAGTTCATGACGGTGGCACAAAAAAGCAAAGCAAAGAGAAGGAGCTGCCATCGTCGTGCGCTGTTCCTTCTTTGAGATGTGGATGGTCAAGGAGCGTTACTATGCCCACAGAGCCTCAGTTGACGGTGTTGATTGAAAGTCAGACTGCCAACAGCAGTGGTGGTGGTGATGCTGGTGGGAAGAGAAAGAATAGGCAGATTAGTGTCAAAGATGTTGGTATTGCGGTGAAGCCTTCAGCGGTGTACGGGGGAAAAGCTGTGGGGGTGACGGGAAAAAGGAGACATGCGGTTAGTGTTGCAGGAGTGAGTGGTGCAGGGGTGAAGAAGGGGAGATGGGGAAGGACGCAGAGCGAGACTGCTTGTTTGTAGTACCTACCCAACACTCTTCCAGGGGAGGTTGGATGAATGGCCTTGCTGACTTGCAAGCTCGTTGTGTTTGTGCTCTGTCTGATGTTGGTTGATCTTGGTCGATGCTGTTGCGATAGCATTGATGACTTAGCTGTTAGTTATAAGACAGGTGAAAGCTGAAATCAAGTGGGAAATCCAAGCGAAAAAAGAAGGCCACGAAAAAGCGATCAAAAAACGGCAATTTTACTCGACATATTTCCTTGAATCTCGAGCCCGGACGATCATCTTATCTTTTCCCCCCATCATCATCCACTGCATGCCCAAGCAGCTTTGGAAGCCCACGATCACGACGCCTTTACTCGGCACTGCAACCGCAAAGGACAGGAGAGACTGGCAACGACGAGCTCTTCCACTCCACCCCCAACAAATACAGCAATGGCAGGGCAGAGAGAGGAGAAATGCGTTGATTGTCAACCAGACCCTTGCCACTCCTCAACCTCAATCGCAGCACCAACATCGTCCCTCACCGTAGCGAAAAAGGAACAAGGCCCGAAGAAAGAAGATGTGCTAGATCCAACAACCTTCGTCGCTCCAATCGATCTATCCGCTGCAAGTGCGGGAATGGCCAAGCCGTTGGTTATTATTGAGGTAAGTAGCTATATGCCCGGTCTTGGGTTTACTATGTCTGACGATTGTTGTTCCTTTGCTCTCCTTGTCTTGCAATGCGCTTGTCTCGGGAGGGTAGTACTGCCAACGATGCAAATTCGGCCTTCGAGCAAACTGGATTCAACAAGAACTACTCTCAACTTTCGCCCCCACCATTACCACCATCGATAGTGCTGGCATAGGCTCGATTATGTTAATCCCCAAGATCGACGATGAATCTTCTGGTCGATTTCGAATCTACCTTCTCCCTTCCTCCTTGTCCTCTGCAGACCTGGAAGCGGAAGAGGGTGGAACGGTGTACTCAGGAGGATTGCGGCTGGTATGGGATCGAAAGACTCAAGGTGGATTTCCAGAAATGAAAGTGCTTAAGCAGAGGGTTAGAGATCTCATCAATCCGCACTTTGGTTTGGGACACAGTGATAGAAAGTAAGCTGCGATCCAGATGGCATTGGGACTGTAGTTGCTACTTTTGAGATCTGGCATAATTTCTTCCCGAACTAAGCATTCCAGGAGGTCTAACAACCCAACCCATAGCAGCAGTTATGCCTCTCAACAAATCAGGTCTATATCTCCCTGCTGCAACCACAATGCCCACTGCTGCACCAAAAGTCAATCTCTCTGCCCACAAAGCCGATCTTTCCCCTTGACTCAACCACCCCGGCTTAGCACTTTCGACCATGGCAAACAAGGCCCTTGGTGCAACATACAATGCCATCTCTGCACGTTTCCTCTTTTCTTCAATAAATATACTAAAGCCACAGGCTATACTACCCAACATCGGACCCAAGCCAGCATCCCAAAAGTTAAACGCAACATTAGGCAACAGTCGCGGAAGAAGTGCCGAACGAGCTAGACAAATGGGGAACCAATTTGCAACAATGTAAGTCGCCAGGAATGCAGCCGACCGTGCTGCACCGCTAAGCACTTTGAGCAAGTTGGCGATGGGAGAAGAGAAGAAGCCCTTTGGATTGAAGAGCAAACGGGGGAGAAGATGGACGGGGAAATATATAGCCATAGACATACGCCAGCCTCTAATCCAGCGATAGAGTGCATTTTTATAACACGACGCTCCACCGGTACCGCAATGGACAAGTTCGCATGGCATTCCAGCCATCTCACCCCTTCCTCTCGGCCCGGCTGCTCCGTTGAGTACGAATCCTGGATTGGCTCCCTTTTCTACTTGCCCATCTGCTGCCTTCTTGGCGGCTTCTGCAAACATCGCCAGTGCTTCGGCTGAAGTGTTGGGGAGGCGGGTTGGATCGCCCCATTCGTAAGGATAACCTAATTCTTCAGCTAGTGATCCCAGAAGGTGGACTCCTTCAGGAGTCATTCCTTTCGACTGATACTTCCATCTTAAAGGTTTTGAAGTTCGGATGCAGCGGAGTGCGAGGAGGAGACGTTCGTCCATTGTCGCGAGGTTTGTAATCCATCTAACGTAAGAGGGGGGGAGTCGTTCCGGGTGATAGAACCAAGCCCACATGATTTGAGCACAACAGATGACAAAGATCAGTCCTTCCGCTTCGTTTGCCACCCCGAGGGCGAGTCGGTTGAGCATCTTACCACCGCGAGAGCTGGCTGAGTGGGAGGAGGAAGGGAAGACCGTCGAGCTTCGAAGTTTCGCCTTTCCTGCCGAAGCGGGAGCGGGAGCGGCTAGGGCACGAACGAGAGTGTCCATCCCACGAACTAGGGCGAAGAGGGTTAGGTCGATGGTTGGGGATGGGCGGCCGAGTGCTGCTGTTTCAGGCTTTTCCGGGATGGTGGGTGCAAGGCAAGAGGGGCTTGCAGGTGGGACAGCTGCATCTGATTGGCAAGTTTGAGGAAGAGGTTGGAATGTATTTGTGGGTGAAGCTGGTGCTCTTGGATCCGGGCTGGTTGAGATGAGAGAGCTAACGACGGGCACACCAGGGGGAGGAGGAGCTGGTGTACCGGGAACAGTAAGACTCGTCAGCCTCGACAAGAAATGACCAGCGGGGGCAAGACTAGCAAAGCGAGGTGTCCAAGTACTATTCGCATTCCTGCTACCCAAGAACCCTAGATTGGAAGGACCAAGACTTCTCGGGATCCAACTTGGCGTAGTATCGATGGTGAGCATCTTGTCATCTGCAGTTGCTTTCTTAGCTGAGATCGCAGCCTGACTCTGATGCTGCAACATCATCAGTGCAAGTGCTGAGCTGAGCGAAGAAGCGACAAAAGTGGATGCGATACGCGCTTGTCGAAGAGCATCGAGGCTTTGCTTCTCGGACCAAGTAGCAGCCTTGGCTAGCTTGAGAGTGTAGTATTTTGCAATAGGCCACCAAACAAAAGTCTCTGAGATCCTCCAAGCTGCGATTGCCAGGAAGCAGCTAATCGCCATCCCATTGGCACCAAGCGCTACGACCAACGCCTTTGCGATAGCCTCCAACAGTGTAGGCAGACGATAAACGCTGGGAAGGATAGGCTTGAGACCATCGAGAATGCCAGGTTTGTCTTGAGGCTGACCCAATCCTTTTGCGATTTTGCGCTGCTCGATGAGCCGCTTCTCGGAAGTTCGAATGCGTTTGAGCTCGGTAGTGATGTATTTGACGAGAGCTTTGAGGATGGCGGGGAGGATGTCCATGATGTAGCCTAGCAAATATGCTTTGGCTGCTGGCATGAGGAGCGATTCGAGTGGCGCCTTGGCCATAGCAGTAAAGCGAGTGGTGTTGGTGCGCTCCTCTATGCCTCGTCCACCTGCAGCAGCAGCCTTTACCGGCCGTGATTTTGAAGCAGGCATGGCGTATAGATGGGGGAAACCCCTCTCTCTTTTGCACCGTGTTTCGATGCTGGAAAGAGGGTCGATAGGGATGGTGGTGGTGGTGGTGCTGAGCCAAAAGGGATGAGTAAGCCCGCCAGTCCAGAGTGTTCCCATGCCGAGGTTTCTCAAGGGTTTCATGTTACGCTGTGCCGATCTTACACTCGTGCCCGTCAAAATAGCAAAAGTATGTGAGCTCTACTTCGATCTCACATACTTTGCCAACTTCACTTATCCACATATGCACTACCTAGGCCCCAACCAACTGTCACAATAGGTATCAGCATACCAGCAATCAGACATCCAACCTAGTTTCCCCATTATGGTTCAGCCTCATCATCCTTGTACAGTCCCTGTGTGTAAGTTTGAGGACAATCAGGTAATTTTCTAATTTAGCCAGATACCCCTCATTTGGGTTGTCATTATCATTGAGCAATAGCACCACCATCATACTAAGCAAGAACACCTCAAATACCAACATGGTATGTGGCAATTAGCTCTCTCCAAGTCAGCATGCTTCAATTGTTGCATTGCATCATACTGGGCTGCCAGTACAACAAATCATGGAGCTAAGCAGTGTGTCCAAGACAGCTGTACACAAGACCATCTAGAACTTCAAGGAGTGCAGTGTCTTCAAAACAAAAGCATGATATGGCTGTCTGCACACCTGGACAGCTACCTTGGACTGTTACCTTCAGTGTGAGGTACTCAAAAACCCATTCCTAACATGGCAACAGCTGTCAGCATTGCTTGGTGGCATTCCAACAACACAACTCCAGAAAGCAGCATACTGGGCCAGTATTAACCACTGTATCCCACTTTGAAAGCTGTTTCTGACATCCAAAAACTGGCAGAAATGTTTCAACTGGGCCAAGGCTAACCGGCTCCACTGATTGGAAGTGTGTGCTGTTCACAGACGAGGCAGCTGTCTGTCACAGGGCCTGCATAGAAGACCCTGCGCAGGAGATCCTGGATAAACATTGGGTGCATCATGCAGAATGAATTGATTCCACACATGTCGTAGAAGAGACCACATGGAGCGGGAACCAGATCATAGGAGTGACCACATGGAGTGGGGGGATGACAATAGGCGCAACCACATGGTCAGGAGCAGGATAACAAGGAGACCACGAGGTCAGGAGGATTCACAAGATAGGGGTAGGGGTTGGAAGATGACCACACTGGCTATGACGAAGGGGAACAGTGTCAAGGATACTGACATGTTGCTCAAGAGGAGGAGGAGCAGTGCCAAAGGAATCGGCACACCATTCAAGGAGGAGAGGAGCAGTGTCAAGGAGGTCAATACACTCCTCAGGAGGAGCAGGAGCGGTGTCACAGGTGACACTGTGCAAGCACATATATACACTCATTTCACCATAGCATATGAGTGGATCCTCATCCACTCTACTTACCACTTAACTTACTCTTTACTTTGTTCCATATCATTGCAATTGCAGTGCATTCCAAAGACATTCCAAGTGCATGTGTTGTATCACCATTGGATGTCAGCTGTAGGCAGTGTTCTTCACTGCAGTCCAGTCATCTACTGTAGGTGGTTTTATCCACTATGGTACAGTTACATCAACCAAAGGCAGTGTCTCCACTGCGGTCCGACTCTCTCCATCTGTAGGCGATAACTCTATTGCGGTCCAGATACTTTTTGACTATCATTGAGCGACTGTCAGCATTACAAACACTTGTGCTGCAACAGTAGTCGATGCCCAATACTACCTATGTATAGCTTTAGCAAGACAATCCCATCTTAACAAACATGCCACATAGCCTCTGAACAGAGTGTTCATGGTGGTTAGTCAAAACCCAATCAGAAGACAGCCTTCTGATTCTTTTCACTGAAACAGTTTGAAAGGAGCTTACTCAGTTGATCTCACCGATATTAACCAGAACCACTGAATCCAGGTTTTAGGTGCGAGACTGCTGACACACTCCAGATATTAAAGGAGTGGATTAACTATGCTGAAGTTCAAACAGGTTGCAAGCTCAAGACACTCAGATCAGATAATGAAATGGAATGGATTTCTGTGGCTGCCACTGCATGGCAGAACAATGCATGATTCTGCTGGCAAAAGACATTGGCATACAATAGTGAACAAAATGGAAAGGCTGAGCAAACCATCAGAACCATCAAGAACATGATGATGGTCATGATGCAAACTCACAACTTGCCTCAGACACTCTGGCCATTTGCAGTGGAAGCAGCAGACTTCATGAAGAATGTCATGCCAAACATTGAACATTGCATTCCATACAACATATTCTATGGCAAGGACCCCCAGAAGCCATTTAAATTACTCTGAACTTTTGGATGCCTTGCCTGGGTGCATGTGCCCAAGGCAAAGAGGAAAAAGTTGGACAATGTCACCATCCCTGCTATCTTTGTTGGATGTGACAAAGGACACAAGGGTTGGAAGTTCATCTCACCAAATTACAATCCACCAATCTTCTGGTCAAACACCACAAGAGAGAATTGATCTTGGAATGACCACATGGATTCAAGCCTGATTCAATATATGGATACAATGTACTATGACAATCCAACAGACATTGAACACCTAGGTTACACAGAGGAGGACATCCATGACAAAGAGCTACAGCAACCACTCAATGATATCTATCAACTGTTTGAAAGACAGGATATGAGATTTGAGGGGGACCATTTACTCCCTGAACCTGACAACGACGACCAAAACAATCCCAGTCAAAACCTGACTACAAAGCTGACAGCACAGTACCAACAATATATCCCAATGAAGCCTCCGATGACCTAAACGATGACAAACGCCGATTTGCTTTCATGTTAAACAGAGCCAACAACCATGACAAGAGGATTACAACAATTCAACAAATGTACCCATGGTTACATCCAATGACAATCACCAAGTTGCTACAGATTTATAAGGAACAGTTACCCCAACCTGGGGAACTATACAGTTTCCAAGAAAAGCTTTGCCATTGAGGCAAGCTCATAAAGCTCTCTGCACTCCTGAGACTCAGTGCAAGTGTGAATACAATCACTATCAGCAACCTCAAGCCAACTGTCAAAGAAGCTCTTAATGGACCTGACCAAATCCATTGGTGCAAAGCTATTTGCACCAAAATAGAAGGTCCCAAAAGCATGCACATTTGGAGGGTTGTTGATATGCCAACAAAGGTGCATCTCATAGACTCAAAACTGGTTCTCAACATTAAAACAGATGCCAACAGGATCCCTTACAAGTTCAAGGCTTGTTTTTGCACATGTAGATTCTCACAAAAGGAAGGATTGGACTACATGGTGAAGTTTGCACCAGTAGTTCCTCACAATGCCATCCAAGCAGTACTTGTAATCACTGCTAAGTTTGACTGGGAGCTGAACTCATTTGACATGAAGCAGACATACTTAAATGCAAAACTGGAGCACAACATCTATCTCAAACCTCCAGAAGGTGCAAATGTACTGCTCAGAAAGGTCTACAAGTTGGTCAAAAGTCTCTATAGCCTCAAACAATTCATACAGGAATGGTATAAAGAACTGGAATCACATTGCAGGTATCTAGTATTCTTCCCCATACAAGCAGTGCTGTCATGGGCCTGAATGCTCAAGAAGCAGGAGGGTCACTGGTTCATATGGAAGGAGCACAAGTATTGAAGATCTAGTCAATACCATTAGAGAGCATGGTCATAGTGCAGCCTCCATGGAGACCATGGACTCCTATGGACCCACATGCAAAGGAGGACCAAGCCCATATGCGAGGAGGGCCAGGCACAGCCACAAAGAGGACCAAGCTCAAGGAGCATGCAGATGGTTACCACTCAGGGGCTCGAGAGACAAGAGTCAAAGGAGTCGACACCAGGTCCTGAGGAGGAGGAGCAGTGTCGAAGGAGTTGACACCAGGTCCAGAGGAGGAGGAGCAGTGTCGAAGGAGTTGACACTACTCAGGAGGCACAAGGGTGCCAAGCAAGCAGGATAGCAAGGAGGAGGAGCAGTGTCGAAGGAGTCAACACAGCTCAAGAGGCATAGGGGTGCCAAGCAAGCAGGAGAGGCCTCCTGAACAGTACTCAATGAAGAAGGTACTCTCTGGAGAGAGAGCAGGAGCAGTGTCGCTGGCGATGCTGTGAAGAGGTATATAACCATGCTTTCTCATCATCAAAGGTCGAGTGGATCCTCATCCACTCTACACACAACCATCATAACTAGTTATCACTTCAGCATAAGTATATATTAGTTTCAGTCAGCATAGCAGCAATCTATCAAGGTTGCTCCTCATCATAGTGTGTGTGTGTTGTATCACCACTACCTGACATCTGAAGGCACCCCATAGCAGGTTAGTGGTCCGGATCAAGATAGAACCAAAGGCAGTAGTCCACTGTGGTCCAGGGATCACCTCAAGCATCAGTCAACACACTGGACACTCATGTTGATGCCACCAACCTCATCACCAACACCATCAACCTCATTATCATTGACATTCACCAACCTTATCACCAACACCATCAACCTCATCATCATCAACACTCACACCAGACCTTGGTGTCATCACAACCTACATATTGATATTGATCATGCCGAGCTACCCCTGAATGGAGTGTCCACAGAGGTCAGCCGAAACCTATGATAGTATATACCCGAATGCCACCCATTGCACAACTTGATAGTCGCCAAGCAACTAGCTCATCGAGACCGATACCGAGACAATAGCTGTCGCACAGTTTGATAGTCACCAAGTATCTCGACAGACCGACCTGGGTTTCAGGCGCGAGACCCCTGACAAGTGCCATGTGTCTACCTCAAAGGCACAGGTGACAATCAGGTAGTCATAATTGTATATGTCAATGACATGCTCATTGCAGCCCCACAAAGGTCACAGGTTGATGCAATCAAACAAGTGATTGTCAAGAAATGGAAGATTGAAGATAATGGTTCAGTAAAGGAGTTCCTGAATGTCAAAATCACATGTGATCAAGAGAATCAGACAATTTATCTAGACCAGAAAGCATACATCAAGGAGGTTGTTGACAAGTGGATACAGCCCAACAAAAAGACTTGGACTCCAATGACTGCAACACCTACCAAAGCATCTGCAGACACCAAAGTCCAAGAGGACCTCCAATGGAAATACCCAATGCTGGTGGGAAAACTGCTTTGGGTGTCAAACACTATTTGGCCCAACATCTGCTATGCAGTCAACACACTTGTATGACACATGTCCAAGCCAACCAAGGAGGCAATGCAAGCAGCACTACACATGATCAAGTTTCTAAATCAAACACAGAACAAAATCCTGTGAATCAGTGGTCAACATGCTGATGGAAACATCATTGAAGCCTATACTGATGCAAACTGGGCATCCAAGCCCAACACAAGATCAGAAGAGTACCTCAGGCTCAGTTGTCAAGATCTCTGGTAGCATTGTTATTTGGAATTCACACATTCAGAAATGCATAGCTAGCTTGGCAGTCAAGGCTGAATATGTTGCTGGATCAGCAGCCACCAGAGAGGCACTATTCCATAGATGTCTTCTCCGTAGCCTCGGATTTGATGACCATATGCCTATCGTGTTTGCTGACAATACAGGTTGTGTTCAAGTGGCAAAGGACCCAGAAATGCACTCAAAACTCAAGCATGTCGACACCGTTGCAACCACGTACAGGAGGGTGATATTTCGATACCGGTTCCCAAGCAGCTCTTAACCCGGACTCGACGATGACTAGGAATGATCAACGTCGGACCACCTTGTTGCTCAGTTGGCGAGGGAGACAGTGAAAGTATGTGACATCCGACATAGTTTCCCCATTGCGTTTCTTTTCTTCTCGTCTGTCGCAGCATCATCACAGTTCGATTTGCTTCGTTTGTCATGGCTCGGATCGTTCTACGATGATAAGTTTCTGGAACAGCGACTAGGCTTTGACAGTGTTTGAAGATGAGCAGGCGGGAAGGGTGGGTGGCTGCTGATGGCCTGAGTTGAATCGCTGAATCAAAGAGTCATCCTCGTCAACGACTGTAAATTCATGTCGCGCTATCATGACGGCTACGCCCTTGATCCGGCTCTTGCGACGCTTCTTGATAGGTTTGTGCGGCAGCCGCTTTTCGTGCACTGGGCTTGAAGCTTGGTTGAGCCCGACGGCCGCACGAGCGGGACTGCAACTAGTTGCTCGCCTTTGGAGAAGAGTGGAAGCGCTTGATAGTCGATTACGCTGGTCACGCTTGGGAGAATCGTGGTGATCGAGCCACACCAGCTTCCTCATCAAGACTCGTTTCGGTTCGGTGCCCAACTTGGCCTTGGTGAGCGTCAAGCTCCTTCTCAGCCTCGAGCTTCGGCTGTCATCCCCATCCATCGCGGAGCTCTCGACGATCTGGAAGCTGCCATCTCGATCCATCATCTGACTCTCGCTGTTATCCCGAGTTACGTCTGTTCCCATCGAAGAGAGGTCGAGCTTGACCGGAGATCGTGCCCAGATGCCTTGATTCATACCCAACTGTCCAAGGCGGACACTCGTCGAGCGTGGCGATGGCTCGATAGTTGCTTCGCTTCTCGCAGCTCCCGAAGTGCAAGGCGTCTCGTCCTGAAAGAACTTTCGAGTAGCCGCCATTCGACACCTCATGCGACTTCGAGGTGTGACGAATGCCAGTTGTCGAGTCCTAAAGCTTCCCGAGTCCTCACCATCGTCACCATCCCTCGATCCGTCTTGCACTGCGTTAACTGCTTCATCAGTTGCCGTCCCACAAGTCCAGTCCGTCATCTGTGCTGCATCCTCTCGGCTCGATGCTTCCTCCTGGCACCGCATCGACAAAGGCAGTCCAAGACGAATTGCACTCGAGTCCGCCGTCGACGACAATCGCTCCCTTGACAGCTTGCTACCACTTGCTCCGCTGCTCGTGCGATACCCTGATGCTCGCCATCCTGTTGGCATCTCGGTCACCTCGACAATTTCGGACAGGGTCTTGTGCGGGAACATGGCCTCGTGCTCCGCCAGTAGCTCTGTCACTTGACGTTGCTTTCCTTCTCGTTCCAGCAGCAGCGACTCTCGACTTGCTTTGCCTTCTACCTCGACATCGACACCACGAGCCTCGCAAGCTGCTTGTCCTGATATGCTGTCACCTCCCTCCCAGGTATTCCACCTGCCAGCAATCAAGTGTTGATCATCGCCATCCGTCCGGCCGTCAACGTCGCTCTCACCTTCCCACTCTTCGGCTACAGTGTCCAGCAACGGTGCTCTGGCAAGTCGTGTCATCTCTAGTCCCATCATCTCGTCATTGTCTTCTTGCCCATTAGTGTCTTCACCGTCAACGCCTTGCCCAAGGTGGTCCATACCAGCATCTTCTGTGGCTCCTTGAGGCGGGAAGCAACGCTCCCACACGTCGTTCATCGTCATGTCCGCCAAATCCACTTCTCGAAGCTCGTCAAAGCCGGTACCGCTTGGACCAGGATTCTCTTGTGCTGTCTCTGCGAATTGCAGCTGTGCAACAAAGTCACCGGCTCTACACGCTCCCGGCTCAGCTGCTTCGGTCACCTGACTGGTGTCTACCTCAGCCGGGTCTAGCATTTCCTCGATCGTATCCCCATGCTCATCATCCAGCATGTCCATAATCGAGTCGGCTCGCGACTGATTTCTCCTATGCATCCTCACACGGCGTTCCAGGCGATCGCTTGCTAAAATCTCTCCTGGAGACCCACGTTGTCGCACAGAAGCAGGCGATGGCGAGAAGCTGAGGTCCATAAGTGATGAAGGACATGTACCCGAACTGGTGCTTGGTGAACTCTCCACATTGTAGCCTGCCGTGTCCTTCCGACTTTTCGACCCATTGCGGTTCAGCAATCCAAGCTCAATGCCGAAAGCGGAAGCAAATGTTCTGCTTCGCATCTTCTTCACCTCGTTCTGTTGACCAATCCTGCCGGGAGTTGAAGATGGACTGCCGCTAGCGCCGGCTAAGGATGACCTGCCGATCGATCGGATTCGACTCGAGATGCTGGAGAAGGACAATGTGCTCGAAGCCGATCCCTTGCGCGTCAATCCAGATCCATGCTGCATGATCTCGCTGCGGGATGCTTCCCTGTTTTCTTCGAAAGTAGCGTCTGCGCAACTCTTATCTCGAGACATAAATGTGGCATCCTGCGAAGCAGCCGTCTCAAAGTAGCAGCTCGTCTCGCCAGAATGAATGATGACAGTTCCATTCTCGCCTTGGGCAGAGTTGTAAATACTCACTTGTTCGAGCGTCGTCCCTCCATCGATCTCGGCATAACCTTTTGGCGGCGTACGCTTCAGACTGTTGCCGCGCAAGATTTCTCTGGGCTGATGCGACATCCTAGCCTGACCACTTAGGTTTCCTCGCACCATGTCCATGATCTCTGAAAACAGCCTGGAAGCGCTGCTGCCCGAAATTTGTGATCCATCGTTGTGCGAGAAGCTTGTCGTCGCAGCAGCCTTCTGTTCTGGTGTACCGATCGATCGAGTGGGTAGAGCATGTCGCTTCGTTGGAGATCGTAGACTGTCTTCGACACTGGCGTTGTAGGTATCCACTCGTCGAGGGCTACCCGGCGTATCATCCATGTTGAGGATGACGTCTGTCGATCGTTGGCCCCTTTCATCCATTGATTGGGCTTGGCGTGCTGAACCAGATTCATCCTCCTCTCCTGCCGGGTCCCAGGGCATGACTGGCGATGCAGCATACGTTCTATCCTGAGATAAACCCTGAGTAATACAAGTCCTTTCACTATCAGTAGTTACAAGCTCCTGACTCCGTGGCACATCAAGCAAACCCTCCACAATGGCTGAAGTCACAGACGCCGGTAGCAAGGAAGCTCGCTTTGCACTTGCGCTGTCACCACAATCCCGATATTTCTGCAAAGAAGCTTGACTATGTGCCGGTAGCACTTGGAGCTTCGGCCTGGGATTCATCATCAAGTTGAGTCCACGCATGAAGCTGCTACGAGGTGCAACGACTCGATCGCCTTTAACTCTGCCTGCTGTCCAATGTTGACTCAGGTAGGGCACGCTTTTTGCCGAGGACAAGCTTTGACGCTGTTTCGAATCTCTCGGTTTCCCCACGGCCTCCGAGTCGAGAAAAGGGTTGCTGTACCCATTCCTCTCGGATTCCAACGGACAGGAGTAAGAGCGAAGGTGCGGTCGACGATTTCGAACCGACTCGTGGTTTTCGTATACCACGACCGCCGAGGATGCGACAGATGCTCGTTGCGAACAGGCATCCATCTCGTTGCTTGTTCTGTGTGCTCGATGAGGGCCAGAGTGTTGTAACTCGGCCTTCGTATTGGTGGTGTCGATGGCAAACAGGTGCGTTGCTAATTCTTGAACGAGTATGATGGCTGCAGGAGAGCAAAAAGAGGCCAGAAGCATGTGCGCTTGTACGGAAGAGTCACTGATCAGGAGTGAGCAAGCTAAAAGCGCTACAGGGCACCACAGCGAGCTGACGGTTGCAATCAGTCGGAACATCACTGCTCTCGAATCGAGGCCTCGAGACGCTGTAAGACCTGTGGCTGCTTGCCTGTCCTGCGTTCTTAGATGTGAGGTCGATGTTTGCGCTCTTCTGGACGAAGCCCGACTGGCCTTCTGGACCTTAGCAGAAGTCGGAGGCCGGGATGACGTGCTCGACAAAGGATTACCATCAATAGGCTGTAAAGATGGCTTGCTGGTGCAAGTCTGATACTTGGGTACCGGTGCAATTCTACTCTCCAACAAGTCGAGGCTGGAAGAAGCAAACCCGGTAAGCGCATCTCGACTAGCCAACGAAAAAGTCGAGCCAACATGATACGGGTTTGCTGAGCTCGCCACCGCCGATCCATAACCCAAAGATGTCGTAGTGGCATCTGTCATTCTATCCGAAGCGGTACCTACTTGATTCAACAGACTGGACACCATTTTCGGGCGGTAGTCGATGGGGTCATGTGACCCTTGCTTTGCAGCCTTGTGGATCGGTGGGGCGAAATCCGTCTTGGCGAAATCGCGTTGCGGGTGAACATGGTGGTGGGGTAGATCGAGGTGGATATGACGCGTCCATGGGTCCGGCTGAGTGTGGATAAGCAGGGAGAGACTCGGTGCTCGACTTGCTATGGTGAATGGTCGATGTTGTTGTTGTTGCTGCTGGAGAAGCATTCGCGCTTGTTTAGACCTGGCTAAGGATGTGGTAGCGAAGAGCAGTGTTGTGGCTAGGATTGCGAAAAGCGCCTGGATCGTAGCGATAGCAATCTTGATCCGAGGCATCGGTGCACAGGAAAAGCGGACGGAGGAGTGGAAAGAGCAGCTGACTGCCATTGCTGTAGAAACGGCCGCCACGACTACCACTGCGGCAAGCGGCAGTAGGAGATTGCAGCATCTCTTGTTGGCGTTGCCAAGATGGTTGCACCCAACCAAAGCAGTAATCAACACTGGACGCACCACGGTCACTGCCGTCGTAGCAAACACCGATGCTGGCCTGCTGAAAGCGACATCCCAAACCGTCTTACCATCCTGGTGATGATAAAAGTAATACCCAAAGAGCGGTGTGACCGCCAAAAGCAGCACCGAATCCAACAGGCAGATGCAAAACTGCACTCTCTGCCAAAGGTCTAAACTCAGCAAACGCAGCTTGAAACGTGGTGCCTTGCCCACTTTACTGAGCGTGCTGGTCGTCGAACCTATCAAAACGAGTAGACTCGAACCGATGCTGACCAAGGCCAAAATAATTGTTGATGTGGCCATCTTGGGCAAGGTTGAAGTGGTGATGGTGGTCAGTAATCTCTACGGTCGGGTAAGCTTGCTGTTTTGGCTGCCACTCTTGCAAGTGCGCGCAGAGAGAAGGATGCAGAAGGACTTCATTTCATTTGTGCACAGCAACGGAAAGGTTACCAGTAAGAGATCACACCTGGTCTTGAACTTTAGTTCTGTGGGTGCGTTGGTTGTTCACCATTGTTCCTTACTTCTGGTGTGAATGTGTTGTATGTAGACCGTTGCGACGGTGGCGGTAGGGGAGAGAGAGCATGTTGGCAATGGATGGCGATACTCGACAGCGCCTTCTTGGCCGGATGGAAATCGGGTATCGGGTATCGGGTATCGGGTATTGGCTATCTGGTATCGGGTATCGGCTATTGGGCTGTCATATTTCGAGGCCAAAAACAAAAGAGACGCGTCTGGGAGTTTTGCTTTCGCCGCGCCAGGCTGAGGTCACGTGTCGGCCGAAGAAGGAATTTTGGAGATCAACACCAACACACACACACACACACACACGCACGCGCGCAATTCTCGCTCGGGCCACTTTGCTTACTTGCTTGCTTGCTTGCTTGCTTGCTTCCATCACTCGCTCATCATTTCCTATCCTCACTGAAATCCACAGCGCCAATTTCACCATGGGTGAATCGCGAACCGAACTGATCCAATGGGTCAACGAACTTCTCTCGCTCTCCTACACCAAGGTTGAACAGCTTGGCTCCGGGGCTGCATATGCGCAAATCATCGATTCCATCTATCTCAACGTGCCGTTGGGAAAGATCAAATTCGACGCGAAACACGACTACGAGTACATCAACAACTTCAAGGTGCTGCAGGAGGCTTTTAAACGGAATCGAATAGACAAGCCGATACCTGTGGATAGATTGATACGGTGCAAGATGCAGGATAATTTGGAATTCTGCCAGTGGTTGAAGAAGTTTTGGGATTCCCAGTTCTCGGGGGATGTCTATGAAGCTGAAGCTAGGAGGGCTGGCGTTCTTGCTGTGCCTCCTCCGCTTGTGGGGGCGGTGAGTGTTGGTGCTGCTAGGACTGCTCAATCTCGTCCAGTGCCTAGAGCACCTCCGACAGCAGCGACCGCAGCAGGAAGGACCGCCGCGAGAACTGCGCCAACTGCAGCAGCAGCTGGGAGAAAAGCACCAGGAGCAAGAAGCGGCGCACCGGTACCAAACGAAACAATCCAAGCCCTAACGCTTCAAATGGACGAAATGAAAGTCTCGGTCGATTCTCTGGAGAAAGAACGAGACTTCTACTTTGCAAAACTACGGGACATCGAAATCCTAGTCCAGGAACGACTCGCTATCCTAGCAGAACAGTTCCCAGTACCAAGTCAGGAGGATGATCCGGCAGGAGAACACGTCGGTACGGAGGAACAGGAGAGTTTGAAACAGATCCAAGCCATCCTTTACAGTACCGAGGATGGCTTTGAAGTGCCCGAGGGCACCGACGCCGACATTTACGACGAGGATGCCCAAGGCGCGGTGGATGAAGAGGAAATGTTTTGACCATCCACAGCTCAGCAGTCGCAAGCGAGCGCGGATAGAGAAGGAGCGAGGGATGGTAATGTATGTACATAGTCGCAGCAAAAAAAAAAAAAAAAAAAAAAAAAAAAAAAATGTCACACAAGGTAACTCGTTCGAAACAAGTTGGTTTGTTGGTCGACCATTGCAGCTCACTCTGCACTGGCAAAGTCGCTTGGAGAGAAAGGGAGAACATCAGACCAAACAGTGTCTATCGACACACAAAACGGACGAAAGAGTTGCGAACAAACCAAGCCCGTAGCATACAAGAGAGGAGAAAAGACAGAAACGACGTCGGTTGTTGAACAAGAACAAGTATGTTAAGCGCTAAAAGCAGAAATCCTCCCTTTGCTCTCACCCTGCCTATCCCTTTTTCGGGGACTACGACTGCGGCTAGCACCGACGTTGGCCAGATTGCAAGTGGTGAGCGATCCGACATCCATCACATTGGCCCTCGATGTTTTGCACTGTGTGTCGGTGTGGATGTGAAGTTTTTGAGTGTCGCTTGGTGTGTCGTGATCTGTATGCTCGACTGAGTGCTTGGCTAGGACGAGACTGGTGGGTGGAGAGCGACTTGGACTGGCAGTAGATGGTGTATCTAGGCGTGCACTGCCTGCCCATCTTAGGCTTGCGGTTGTGGCAGTGGTTGCTGCTGAGGACGAGTGGGAATGGTGGGCAGCATTTCCCCTTATCGTCGCGGATGTCGGGAGGAAAGGATCGGGAAATTGGTGTGGAGAGCTTACACTTCGACCCCTACCGCCGAGTGAGAAGGAGGGTGGGAGTGGATGAAGGCTCGCGCCTGTGACGCGGTTGGGGTTGGAGGGATGAGGAGGAGGAGGAGGAGGAGGAGGAGGCGGAGGGAGTTCAGGTGTGCGAGAATAAGGACTGTACCTGACACCCGCTGCGTTTCCGTCGCGAGGAGGTCTTGGGGTTGATGGGAGGGGTGGTAAATGGGATAAAGTATCTGTGCTCGATCGGTAGCGTAAGCCAGCACCAGCAGCAGCACTAGCAGGGGTTGGTGTTGGGTGGTGTGAGTGAATACCACGGATCGGCCCAGGGTGGGAGCGATAGAGCTGAGGTGGTCGCGAGTGAAGCTGTTGTTGTTTTAAATGCCATTCTACGGTCAAGTTTCCCCTTACCTCTCTCATCCCGCCCTCTCCGCTGTGGTCGGGCGGGAGAGGAAGGGGTAGAGGTGAGGCGAGGGTTTGACTTCTACCTCTAAACATTGCCGTCGAAGCACTTTGTGGTGGAGCGAGTGAAGGATAACGCCTGGAGTTATACAACGAAAAATACTCTTTCTGACTCGATACTGGGGGAGGAACAATACTATTGCCGGGCAGAGCAGGCGTCATCAACGCGGCGCCTCCCGCCCTAGATAGTGTTTCCAGGTGTGAGGCACTACCAGGACCGGTATATAGGGGCGTTTTACCTGCTCCGACGCCTACGCCCAGAGTGGGAGGAGGGACGTTGATGCGCAAGCCTTGCCTAACTCCCCTTGCGACACCATGGATGGCTCTATTCCTCGGCGCCTCGCGGACATGGCGCTCTAAAGCAAAAAGATTCTCTTCAGCCTCGACGGCACCAGGATTCAAGGCCAACCTGATCGTATGTCTCCTCCACGCCCGAGTCCGTTCGTCTTCGAGGGCCGGGTTGAAACGACCTTTGCCGGTTGCTTTGAGACGCTCTCGCAGCATTTCTAGCGTGATTGAAGGAGCGTTCGAAGCAGGGTGCGGAGAGTGCGAGTAGGGGCGGTGCGGGGGCAGCGTGCTTTGCACGGCTTCCATCATTCGTTTCTTGCCGACCTGGCGACGGTTTTGAAACCAGACTTGCACTTTACGCGGCGAAACGTTGAGTTGCGTTGCCACTTGCTCGCGTAACTGGGTTGACGGGAAGTGAGTCTGTGTAACCCATCGCGGGGAGATGAGAGGGTGAGGGGGTTAGTGTGGGTTTGGACACCGGTGACCCTTGGAATTGGTGGCGCTATATGGAGGGACATTTGCCCCCACTCAACTCGAGTCGGAGGGAAATGAACGCCACCAAACCCAGCTTCAGTCGGGTGGTAATTACGGAGGAGAAGGGGTACTAACCTTTTCAAGTATCTTATAGAGCACTTTTGACTGTTGGACACTTAACAATCTCCTACTTCTGCCACCAGTACCTGCACTACAGGTACTACCCTGTCTATGTTTACCCTCGGATCCACCGCGCGACCAATTGTCTCCGTCCTCGTCATCATCATCGGAGCAAAGAAGCATGTCTTCATCGCTCAAGGAGAGGTCTGGTTCGGAGAGGTGATGGTCTGATCTCGAAGCATGTTGTCCTTCTTGAGAGTTGTGTGGAGTGTGGTAGAGCGAACAACCTGGTTCATGTTGGTGCGAGTAATCTTGAGCTGGGTGAGGGCGAGGCCGAGGAGCGAGTTGATTAGAAGGTGGGCTGGGAGGAGAGCAAGAAACATGTCTCATTGATGCAAGACGATCTTGTTGGTTGCTTGCCATCATCATGTCTTTTGCCTGTGTTCGAGTGCGAGGGAAACAAGTACGAAAGGATGAAAGGAAAGGGATCTCTATTGAAGAGTACCTTTTTATTCTCGCTCGAACGGCAGTGGCTTTTTACTAAAGTCTGCAACCAAACTCAAGCAAAGCACCAGTGTTTTCCCTTGCCACACAGCAGCACCAGCAGCACCAGCAATAGCAGCAATAGCAGCAATAGCAGCAAAAAAAAGGAAAAGGGCTGAGAAGGGGAAATGAACTCTTGCCTCCCCTCGACCGATGAGATTTGCCGCCGAAGAATTCGAGATCCGAGCGTAGGTGCTTGATGATGGACGATGATTATTGCAGCTCGGATTTCCGTGAGTTTGTAACTGGCCTGCAAGCTCGATTGTAAGGGCAACCAAATGACCAAGAGATGAGTGCTGCTAGAGCGGCAGATGGAGAGCCGAGAGAGAAAGGGGCTGGGGGGGGGAAAAAATGCGACGACGTAAAGCGATCCAAGCGTAGTGTGCATCCAGCCAAACCGATTGAAGTGGTTGTTGCGCGCCAAAAAACGATCTGATCGCCAAAACGGCAAATACCTAGAGGCGACTCTCGAGCTCCAAGCGCTTTCCGCTTTATATAGGTCCAAGTAGTGCCGACGTTGGTAGTCTATCGATCGGATCGTGGCACAGAGAGGAGGACAAGTCGAGGGGGGGGGGGGGAATGAATTCGAACCTGGCGCGCGTGCGAGTGGCTTTCATATACACAGAGCGCGCACCTGTAACCGCACAACCGTTTTTGTGGCAACCCCCTCCAGAGCACCAAATGAAGTCTCTACCAAGGGAGCAGTCTGGGAAAGGGCCAAATGAAACGCAATCCATCGTCTAGCCTTCATAAAACACAAGAACAATGAAAAGAAAGAGGGGACCTATCACCGCCTTAATCATTCAAGCTCGCCTCTCCTCTCGCAGGTGGAAATGATTGTTTTTTTAATGCGGAATTTGGTTTGACAGCTGCCCTTTCTTCCCCCCCCCCCCCCTTTCTCCTCCTCCCCCCCCCCCTTCTCCTCCCCCATCCCCCCCTCCTCCCGCCTTTGCTCGCACTCAAAAGCGAGGTGTATGTACATGGTGCATGAACAGGGAGCGGAGTCGAAATGCATAACAAGACTTTTCTTGGCGGTTGCCAAGCTCGTAGATCGAAAGAGGCAGGAGGAGGAGGAGGAGAAGGAGAAGGAGATCTCTTCTTTCGGGCTGTGTAACGTTTTAAACCCACTCCTTTCACTTGATTCCCAGAGGGTTGGTGCATCAGAAAGAGGTGGTGGCCCTTGCCCTCACCTTGGCCCCAAGGCGAGAGGCAGGAGAAGTTGAGTATGAACCTATCAACCCTGCGCGGCTCGAACTGCCACTCGACCTCTCTCTCCGCCCTTGCTCTTGCCCTTGCTCTTGCCCTTGCCCTTGCCCTTCTGTCGGCATCGTTGGCTGAATGAAACTGCGCCACCTACTTCAATCGGCGTGGGAGGAAAATGGGGGGCTTCCTTATTCCCTCTTGCTCTGTGTTTTCCGCCATTCATTTTCTCGCCGCCGGCATAGCTATTATCGAAGCTGCCGAATGTGGATTCCCATACCCCCACCAACATCCTTCCGGCTCTGTGTCTAGTTTCCACCAATGTAGAGTGATTCAAGTGATGCGATGTTCTGAAGTGCGACAAGTTCGAGCTCGAGCCCGCCGTCCTTTTCCACATGTTGTTGAAAAAGGATTGCAACGCCGAATGAATTCAGCTTGGGGTCGGCAAAAGGTGCATTGCATACTTGCCATTGTCTGTCCCTGTGAGCAGCATGGTGTGATTTCGATGACAAAAAACCAACCGAGGATCAAAGGGAAGTATGAGAAGTATGATGGATGCCCAATCCAAGCTTGTCCTCGAGGTGATCAAAGGGGAGTCCCATCGACTACCCATTGTTCGTAGTGCAGGTCTAACAGCTTGGCTTTCAATTTCCAAACGCATCAGCCTAAGCAAAAAAAATCGGGGAGTTGAACATCGGGGGGTTGAACATCGGGCGATGGTTGGAAAGTGTCTCTTCTGAAAACAAGTGGGGAAATAGCCAAAAAAAAAGCCAAAAAAAAAAGCCAAAAAAAAAAGCCAAAAAAAAAGCCAAAAAAAGGAGCGACACGCGGCTAGAGACACGCGTTTCCTTCCCCCAAAAAAAAATAATACACAACGCAGCGCAGCGCAGTAATCTCGCCGCTTCTTGCTTCTTCTCCATCATCATTGACCACCACCACCACCTACCAAAAGTACCTCTTCCACCACCAAAGATGGCTCCGCAACAAAAAGGGTTCTCATGGTCCAACATTGCCGTTGGTTCGATTATGAACATTGCCGAAGTAAGCCTCCTCCCCTCACCCTCCCTTATCCTTTTCTCGATGTATGCTAACCATATCTCCCTCTCTATCCCTCTCTACTGCCGTAGGTGACGACTCTCGGTCAGCCCCTAGAAGTGATCAAAACTCAAATGGCATCTAACCGTCAACAAACCATGATGCAGGCTCTCAAGACCGTCTCTTCCCGTGGTGGAGTCCTTGGTTTCTACCAGGGTTTGATCCCCTGGGCTTGGATCGAAGCTTCCACCAAAGGCGCCGTCTTGCTCTTCACCGCTGCTGAAGTTGAAAAAGTCGCTAAAAACGCCGGCTTCTCCTCCGGTTCAGCTGGCTTGTTGGGTGGAATGACAGGAGGAATCGCACAGGCCTATGCCACAATGGGCTTCTGCACATGCATGAAAACAGCCGAAATCACCCGTCACAAACAAGCCGTCTCCGGTGTCAAACCTCCTTCCACTTGGCATGTCTTCATGGACATCTACCGTCGCGAAGGTATCAAGGGTATCAACAAAGGTGTTAATGCCGTTGCTGTCCGTCAATGCACCAACTGGGGTTCCAGGATGGGTTTCGCTCGTCTCGCCGAATCCCCTATTCGTTCTCTCTCGGGCAAAAAAGAGAGTGACAAACTCAACCCAGCCGAGAGGATTGCTTGTTCGAGTATCGGCGGTGCCCTAGCCACCTGGAACCAACCCATCGAAGTGATCCGAGTAGAGATGCAGAGTATGGCAAAGGCTGCCCCCGGTAGCAACAGACCGGAAAAGTTGACCATCGCTAACACCTTTGCATACATCTACAAGCAGAATGGAATCAAGGGATTGTATAGAGGTGTCACACCCAGAGTTTTCCTGGGAATCTGGCAAACAATTTGTATGGTTAGCTTTGCTGACTATGTTAGGGAGTTTATTGGGTCCAAGTAAGCAACAACAAAAAAAAACAAAAAAAAACAAAAAAAAACAAAAAAAAAAAAGCACGCATACTTTGCTCTCGATCGCCTCGGGAGGGGGTTAGATCAGAGTGTTAGGTGTAGATGACAAGATGTAGATGACAAGGTGTATGTAACAAAACTTGGTTTTAGGCTCGTTCCTATGCTTTCTTTCAAGCACAATTTCCTCTTTCAGCCTGTTTCGTATGTGTGCCGGTCAAGGTGAGATAAGCGGCGCACAAGACAGAAGAGGCTCAGGCGAGCAAAGTAGTGCTCACACAGCACCGACCAGTGATTCGACGCTTTCTGCCATGCATTACAAAGAACAGGTCAAGTTGTGCGATCACCATCTAGCATGAACAGGCAAAGTGATTTCTTCCAACCGAGCAATCTCGTCGGCAACCAATCTCGCAGAAACGACACACCCCTCTAACAAAGGTATACCTACAGCGAAACTTCCACAAACCCAAAGACCCACATTTCCCCTCTCGCGCCTCTGGAGTGGTCCGAGAATGACTTTTCTACCTCCTGCCGTCTCGACACCCTCTTGTGTACGCGAAAAGCAAAAGAGCTTCTGTCTACCAAGGTTAGAAGCAACATCGATGATAGCCCGCTCGAACGTCGAATGCGAGAGAGTTAGCGATGGTAAGGGAGAAAGAGATGGGTGTGCGTTTGTTGTTTGCATTACCACCAGCCCGGTAGGAGATGACAAGGGGGTGGTGAGAATATGTGTTGCACTTGTATATATATTTTTATCCTGCCAAGCTTCGATTGAGTTGCAAAAAAACCAAGCCGAGTCAAGTATACCATCGCTACAAGAAGGAACATCTGACAACATTATAACAGAATTGTCACCAACCCCTTCCTTCCCCTGACCATGCACAGGAGTGACAAGATTCAAATCCCTCCAATCATGTTTGTCGCTGGGCAACAAATGTGGATCTAAATGGTTAAGGACAGTAGATTTTTCATATTTCCACAATTCCAACCCTCGCACTACCTCTCCAAGCCTCTGTTTCTCCGCATTCTCCTCTACAAGACTCTCATTGTAATGCCGCAAGAAAAGAGCTGTCTGATTTGCCTGTGTTGCAAAGATAATATGATCGTAGGGTCCATGTTGCCTTGCAACCTCCTCTTGAACCAACGTGCGATCGGTTGATGTAGATGACCCTGACGCTTCTCTAGACATCTCCACCGCTCCACTACCACTCGAGCCATGGTGAACTACGCTAAGATAAGCCTTGCCATCGCGATAATACACATCACGCACTGTAGCATTGGTCCACACAGCTCCCGCTCCCTCGATTCCATCCGGAAAAGGACCAAGGTGGGTTAGAAGAGCAGCAACAACTTGGCCAACTCCATCTTTGACAACAAAATGATCTTTTCCTAATGTCAAGGCTACATAATCCAACACTTCTGTCGCAGGACATTGCCAAACAGAGCCAAGCGTGCAGGTCATTACTGCGCTGAACAACGGTGTTAGCGTCTGCTGTGCAAAAGTTGGGTTGAGGTGGAGAATCTTGCGAAGGACTGATTCGACAATCCTCTCCGAGGTGTGGCCGAGTGAGAATCGCCTTGGTGTGGGCCGTGGTGGGAAAGGGTCTGCAACAAGTTGCAATAGTGTGTATGAACGCAGAGGATGCGTCGGGTCGGAAGTGTGGCCGAGGGAATGATGCCAAAGCGCGATGAGAAGCAGTTGCAAATACCCAAAGATGAGAGTCAGGAGAGAGGCAAAGTAGCATCGCATCTTGGACAGGTGGGTGAGGATTGCAGTCATGGTCATGGGGGAGGGCAGGTTCGGGTTGCGGAGCCAAGAGGGAAGGCTGACGCCGCCTAGTCCGTTGGCCCCGTTGTAGATGATGTTGGGTGATGGTGTTACCGCCGCCTTTTCGGCTATCCTTCCCTTCCATCCTAGTTTCTCTTGTTCAGTGGCAGAGAGAGAGGCGGAGGGGGGACCAGCGACAGTAGGTGTGGATGGAGGAGGAAGAGTAGCGAAAGAGTAGGTAAAGTTGGTCTTTTTGGTCTTGATACCGAGATGACGATAGAGAGCGAGGAGTTGAGGGTAGTAGCCGCCGGTGAAGGCTCGCATTGGAACGTCGATGCGGAGCAAGCTTTGTGGTGACTTGCTTTCTGCTTCCTCGCATGATGCAGGTGTTGGTGTTGCGTCCACCTCTAGCTTGGGCCGTTTTTGTGAGCGTGATCTCAAACCGCCGTCGTCGTGCGTCGTAGTGGTATGACTGGGAGATGAGGTGGTGTTGGTGGTGGTGGATGCAGAAGGAGCAAGTGGCAAAGCAACGGTGATGCTAGCACTATCCATTCCAACAGTGCTGGCTCGTTCAAAGATTTCGACGCTGATACGTGGTGCATCTGGCGAGTCGGGCTTGTAGGAGGAGAGGAGGTAGGTAGCGACGAGGCCAGTGAGACCCGAGCCAACGATGGCTACTCGCACCTCGCGGCGTGGAGCACAAGATGATGTCGCCGTCATCGTGGTGGTGAAGCGCAGGCTATCGGATCTACTTGAATGGGGAGTATGACGCTGAGACAATACTATAGAGTTGCGACAGGCATCGTCAGCGTGTAGATATCGTGCGGGTATAGCCGGGTCGCCGTGACGACGACGAGGAGGAGGAGCGATCGGCCGAAGTGGTGGCAAAGTGTTCGGGATGATCCGTGATGGCGATGGCGATGGCGACGCCTCTTTGATGGCGGGAGAGAAGAGGATAGCGGCTCTTCCGACTGTGGAGCAAAGTGTCTGAAAAACTTTAACGCAGCAGCTCACCGTGGAGTTGGAGGGAAGCAAATCGTTCTCAAACCCGTTTTAAAAAAAAAAAAAAAAAAAAAAAAAAAAAAAAAAAAAAACCCCCCAGTGGAGAGATACAGAACTTGCCGGCGGACACCTCGCCAAAGTCCTTTCTCACGCAGTCATCGGACATGGACCCGATCCTTTCAGTCATTCCCTCGATACAGTCACAGACGCCATCGAATTGTGACAATGTGATGGTCAAGAGCCTTGTCGGAACCGCCGAAGCTTGACATCCTTCTGTGAAAGGACTGACAGACAGCACCAAAAGGGAGGCTGACGATCCATCCCCGTTCGTGTTTGACACACGCACCACCCCCCAACAAAGGACAAGAGGCGCAGATCAGGGTTCATTTGTGCGTGTCGGGCGACAGATCTTTTGATAGGAAAAGCCGAAAGTGTTGATTTCTTTAGGTTTTTTAGCTAGAGACTGAGCCGATTCGCACGACCAAGGCGTCTTTCCTTCTTCTCTCTCTCTCTCTCCCTCTCTCCCACCACATTGTCACATCCGATACTCTCAAGTGACAGAATTCGATTCGACTCAGCAAATTCGGAATGGCCGACGCTTCATCATCGACATGGCCGAGCGGAAGCGGCTCAGCAGCAGCAGCAGCAGCGGGCAATGGCAGTAGCAATTGGGGGCGTGGCAATGCCAACTCAGCCTCTTCCAGCAATACCAACACCAACACCAACACCAACACCATCGCCACCAAGAAAGGCGGTTCATCACGATCGAAAGGCGCTGCCGCAATCGCCACAGCAGCTTCCTCTGCATCGACGACGACCTCCTCCTCCTCCTCCTCCAACTTCAAGTCCAAACCTACCAAGTTCCTCCCCACGCAACCATTGCCATATCACTCCCTCCAGAACGTCAAAGACTACTACCATGGTCTTCTCAATAGCGCTCTCATCAAGAAGGCGTGGCTCGACAATCCTAAAAGTCCCATCCAGAACTATGTCCTCCATAGAACCGGCTCCTACCCTGTCTACACTGTCGAGGAGGGTCAAGTCGAGGGCAGAAGGGATATCAACTTTCGATGCACACTTCATTTCGATCCCGAGTACGACTGGCACGTCTATGGTGATGCCAAAACCCAAAAGGACGCAGAAAAGCTAGCGGCACTCCATGCTGTGCTTTTCCTTCAAAACAGCGGTGACATGCTCACAAAGACACCCATCGCTTCTCCACCTGCATCTCTTGTTTCTCAGCAGCAAGCTCCCCTTGCAAAACTCAGCGATGGTTCTGAGCTTACCCTTCAGCGTGCTCGCGAGTTTATCGACTTCTACTGCAAACGTTTCAACCTCGGCAAACCAGACATTCGTCAATCCGCTGCCAAGCAAGGCAAACCCAAACGTGGTGCCGCCAAAGCTTCCAGCTCGGTCGACCAACCACACGCTTCTATGTACATCGCAGGCAAACAGCTCGGCGCTGCTGTTGGCAAGAACAAGAAGCAGGCCCTTGCTAATTGCTACCTCGAGTCCGTCGCCTACATTGAGTCTAGCGATCCTTCCCTCTGGAAGACTTTCTCGCTCCTTCACAAGCCAGGCATGTCCATCATCAAGGCTCCTCATGTCACTTTCACCATGAGTGAAGAGCTCCATGATTCCGTCACCAATATCTACGACACAATGATTCGTAGCAAGATCTACGCCAAACGGCCACACACTTCTGCTATCGTCGTCGCCGGTGAAGATCCCAATGCTGCTTCCAAGCACGCCGATGAACTGCTCGCAAAACAGCGTCAGGCGCGTCAACAGCGCGCACAAAAATACAACCAGCAGTTTGGTGCCACCCAAGATTCGCTTCAACGCAAGAGCCAACAGCTCGAACGTGCCCTCGCCAACTACTACTCGGATGACGCTATGGCCAAGATGCGTAATCAGCGTCTCAGCTTGCCCGTTTCCCAAAAGCAATCCGACGTCCTCGTCAAGGTCGAGCTCAATCAAGTCACTATCTGCATGGCTGCCACTGGTTCAGGTAAAACTACGCAGATCCCGCAGATCTTATTCGACGACTACATTCTCCAAGGCAAAGGTGCCAAGTGCAACATCATCTGCACTCAGCCTCGTCGTATTGCTGCCATCAGTGTCGCAGAGCGAGTCGCAAAGGAACGAGGCGAGAATCTTGGTCAGACTGTCGGTTATCAAGTTCGATTCGAAGCAAAGCCGCCCCAGCCCAACGGTTCCATCACTTTCTGCACCACAGGTGTCTTTTTGCGTCGTCTCCAGTCGGCGTTGGGAGATGCAGATGCTTCCAACACTTTCCTCGACTCCATCACACATGTAGTTATCGACGAGGTGCACGAACGAGACGTCGAGACCGATCTCTTATTGGTCGTCATCAAGAGGCTCTTGGCTGAACGTCGCAGGTTGGGCAAGAAGGAGATCAAGGTGGTACTCATGAGTGCAACTATCAACCCGATCCTCTTTCAACAGTACTTTGCCGATCCCTCGGGTAATCCGGCTCCTGTTGTCGAGATTCCGGGTCGCAGCTATCCTGTTGAGAAGCATTACTTGGAAGAAACGGTGCGCAATTTGGAGGCCTTGAGGTTGACGCCACAGATGGGAGGATGGGTTTGGGCTGAAAAGAACGTGAGGGACTACATCGAGCGCGAGATCTACCAAAGAGGTGGTAGTGCCAGTCGCAATGGTGGCAACTCGAGGGGTGGTGGAGAATACGCTAACGCCATCGCAGCCGGCGGTGCCAACGAATCTGTCGACCCCATGTCTGATCAAGTGGACGACCTGGAGATCCCATACCCTTTGGTTGCACTCATCATCGCTTACGTGCTGTCCATCTCGGACGACGGCCACCTCCTCGTTTTCTTGCCAGGTTGGGACGAGATCAAGGCTGTCAACACTTTATTGGCAGACACGCAATACCACCCACTCCTTCGCACCGACTTCAATGATCGCGATCAGTACGAGATCCACATCCTCCACTCTACCATTCCTGTTCAAGATCAGCAAGCCGTCTTCGAGCCGGTTCGACACAAGGCGATTCGACGTATCATTCTTGCCACCAACATTGCCGAGACGTCCATCACGATCCCGGATGTCGTGTACGTGGTGGATACAGGTCGTGTCAAGGAGAAACGATTCGATCCCGAACGTCATCTTTCCAGTCTAGTCTCGGCTTGGGTTGGAACGTCGAACCTCAACCAGCGTGCCGGTCGTGCAGGACGTCATCGTCCAGGTGAATACTTTGGTGTTCTCAGCAAAGCACGATACGACAGGCTCAAAGTCAATCAGACGGTGGAGATGAAAAGAACCGATCTCAGCAACGTTGTGACGCATATCAAAGCGCTCGACATTCCAGGAATGGAGGTGGAGGAGGTGTTGGCCTCTGCGATTGAACCTCCTGCGCCCGAGAGGGTTTTGGCGGCGATGGAGAAGCTCAAGATGGTGGGTGCGTTGGATATTAACAAAAACTTGACCTCCTTGGGTCGAGTCTTGTTGCAGTTGCCCGTGGATGCGCCGATGGGGAAAATGTGTCTCTATGGTGCCTTCTTCAGGTGTTTAGATCCCGTGCTTTCACTTGCGGCCATTTTGACCAGTAGGGATCCGTTCATGGCACCCATGCATTTGAGGGAAGAAGCGGAGATGGTCAAGGATAGATGGTGTCCTCCCGATTTCAGGTCGGATGCGCTTTGCATTTTGAGGGCCTACACGAGGTGGTGGGAGATGGAATCGCGAGGTGACTTGGTTACCGCGAATAGGTTCTGTCAAGATAACTTCCTGAGCAGGTTAACCTTGTTGCAGATTCAGCAGGTGAAAAAACATCTTTTCCAATCCATGGAGAAGGCCGATATCATTTCGGTGATTCAATCTTCGTCCCTTGCGACTAGTGCTAATGGTGGAGGCAACACTTACTCTCGATACAGAAGACCACGCGAAACGGATGCCGAGTTCAACCTAAACTCCGATAGCACTTCCCTCCTTGCAGCCCTGATTGCTGTTTCTTCCCCCCCCAACTTTGCGATTCGGAGCGGTCTAGCGAACTACCGTACTTCGCAGAACAAGTCTTGCCTGATGCACTCCTCTTCGATCTGTCATACCAAGTTTACCAAGCACAAACCTTGGGATCCCGCCAATATGGGGGAGAAGGAGATCTTTGCATTCAGTGAAAAAATCCGCAATGCTTCGGGAAGTGCGGGTAACAATGCATCGACAATGTTGAGGGGATGTACGAGGTTGGATCCGTTGACATTCATGTTGTTTGGTGCTACAGAGGTGAGGGTTTTGGGAGAAGGGGTGGAGTGTGATTATTGGTTACCCATTACCGGAGATATGGAGAGTTTGGACAATTTGGAAAAGTTGAGGAGTATGATGGATGTGGTGCTGTTGAGGGTCTTTGAGGGCATTGGCAAGCGGCGTCTCACTCAAGAAGGGCAGAGAGGCGGTGGTGGTGCTGCGGGGGATGTGGATGAGTATGAAGGTGGAGAGGATAAGGATGAGGACGAGTGGGGAGATAGGACGGACTTGTCCTTATCAGCGCAAGAAATTGGCGAGTTTGAGTATATGTCGCAAGGAATTGTGCATATTTTGGATGGCTATGCGCACGAGAGGGGTTGGGGAAGTAGTAGTAGAGGATCGACGAGACCAGCTAGTCCTGCTTCGTTTATGGGCGGGTTGAGTTTGCAGGATCCGCCTAGTAGGGGGACTCAAACGCCTAGTGCGGTTTCGGTGTATGGTGCAGGTGGTGTAGGAAGTAGGGTTGGGTCGAGTTCGAATCTGTTTGCAGGGGGTAGCGCTCCGGGTAGTAGTCATGGAGGTAGTAGGTGGACTAGTCGATCGCAGACTCCGGACGTCGGTCAACAGCAGGGTAAGCAGCAGCAGCAACAACAACGACCTGCAGCGCCGGCTAGTGTTGTGGCTAGTACCACGACTAATGCCACTACGGCGACGAACAATACACGCAGTACGACGGCGACGAGTAGCGCAACTACTTCTGCTGCTGCAAGTGCCGGTGACGGTGCGGGTGGGGAGCAAGCACCTGCAGCAAAACCCAAAGCGCAGAGCAATTGGCGAGCTCGCAACACCAGTGACACCGAGGGTAGCCAAAGCAACAATAACAGCGCTGGTGGACGTGGCCGTGGTCGCGGTCGTCGTGGCGGCAGAGGTGGACGTGGGCGTGGTGGTGCTGCGGGCCCTAATGCTGCAAATTCTTCTTGTGCTCCTTCTACCTAAACCGCCTGCTTGCCTAGTCGGCCAACCTCATCATCGAGTCTTGTCCGAATACCATGCCATTCTCACCACAAAACGTGCATGCGTGTGCGATGCAAAACTTGGGCACTCGTGAGCTCATGCAAGTTGACCTCGTACCAACAATGACGGATGGAGATGGTGCAAAATGTAATCTCGGTAGAACGTCGGCGACCAATAGGATATAAAGTTGGATGCAAATTTCATAGAATTGGCTCGAGCAGAATTTGTACAGCGACCAAAAAAAAAAAAAAAGAAAAAAAAAAGGAAAAAAAAAAAAAGAAAAAAAAAAGAAAAAAAAAGAAAAAAAAAGAAAAAAAAAAAAAGAAAAAAAAAGAAAGAAAAAGAAAAAAGAAAGAAAAAGAAAAAAAAAAGAAAAAGAAAAGGCGAGCTTTGGTGTCGAGCTGTGGCTAAGAGGGATTGTTTGGTTGGGTAAGGTTGTTTCTTTTCTCACCACCATCTGGCGCGACAAGTTGGAGATGGAATTTAGCTAGATCCTACCAACAGGGTAGTGATAGTGGCAAGGATTTTGGAAGATGGGATTGCCAAGAACATCTGATGATTCAGACAACAACAACAGTTCGGGGGAAGAGAATGTGGGAGTTGGCAAAAAGGAAAAGAAGGTTTCATGTCAGCCTTGTCGTGAGGCTAAGGTGAAATGTATTCCTTCCAATCCTGTTGACTCTTCTACTTGCCCTTCTGGGTTGGTTTGCGATACCACCGCCGTGGTTGGCGGTTCGGATGTACTAGCGTGCAGGAGGTGTTTAAAGTTGGAAAGGGAATGTTTTTATCGATCGCATAAACGAGGTAGGAAACCGGGCAAGATCAAACTCCAGCAGATCTTGAGGAGGTTAGACGTGTTGGATAGGACCTTGGCGGAGATAAGCCAGTTGAATAAGGAGGTTGGAGATCAAGATGCCGATAGTTTGATCGAGACTCTTAGCTGGCAGTTACATCGGTCTAAGTTTTTCAGTAAGGGTTTCTTGGATGCTTCCTCTTCAGGTTTGGTCAATCTCGATCCGGAAAAAGAGGCTGGTGCATCATCTGCTTCTAACACTGCTGGGGAAGAGGGTGCGAGAAGCGGTAGTGCCAGCGGAATGCAGAGTGGGATACTTGGATCTTTGCCGAACCGACGAGTAGGAGTAGGTAGAGCTGCATCCCTCCCAGGTCTAGTAGAAGGCCTAGGTATGAATGCAAGCCTACCAAAGCAAATGGCTAAAGGACGAAGCGATTTCAATATGCTCGTCGACCTGGAAGACCATGCTTCCGTTGCACGAGTTCCCGACGAATTCCCCACCCTATCCAATCCTCTAAAACTTTTAGCTCAAGCAAGTTCAGAGGAAAGCGAACGTCGTCGTCATCCCCTTACTTGCTCCTCACTGCCAACAGAAAGCACTACTTGTAGCGACCAAGATCAATCCCAACTCGCTTCTCGGAAGCGATTACGCCCAACCTCACCGCTCAACCCCACCGAAGTCGCTTGCCGCCAAACCAACACAGCAGGAGCTGCAAAAAGCAAGCAAGACGAGCAGCAATCCCTTGTGAAAGCTAATAGTGTTCGGGGATGGGCAAAAACATACTTCTCCAGAGGAGCATTCCATCCAGTCTACGACAATCGTCCTGAATTCGATCCTATAGATCAAGGATTGATGACGCATCGGCAGGCTGAAAGGTTGATTGGCGAATTTTATCAGGCTTTTGCAACTTTTATGCATATCTTTGACCCTGCGCTAGCTACTATTACCTATATAAGGAAGCATAGTGCTTTTTTGCTTACCGTCATCTGTTCTTTAGCGGCCGAATTCAACGCTGGTCAGAGCGATAGTCGAGATAGCCGAGAAAGGCGGGATAGGCAAGAGGTCGAAAAGGAGAATCGAGAACTAGCACAACGGTTGAGGAATCACTACGAAGCAATGATAACATGGATCACAAGTGGCGATTATAAGAACGTCGAAATGGCACAAGCCTTCTATCTTCTCGCATCTTATAGAGACATGAGCGAAAGTGCCATGTCGGACCAGACTTGGTTGTTTTTGGGAACGGCGATCAGAATTGCAACAGAGCTGGGATGTAATCTGGTATGTTATAGCTACGCAACCCCCAACACCTCTTCTCCGGATGGCAAAGAGACGGGTAGAGAACACTATCAACGACAACTACGTAATACCGAACGTCTTTGGTTAAACCTTTGGAACTTGGAAAAAACACTAGCAAGTCAGACAGGTCAGAGGATGCATTTGGCAGATGAAGGTGTGATTGCTACTTGTTCCAGGTGGTACAGGATGCCACTAGCCTTGAAGCAGGATGAGGCCTTGGTGGCGCAGGTCGAGTTGCGCAGGATAATGATAGGGTGTAGCGAGGCTTTTAATACAAATGTATTGCCAAGTTTGCGGGCAAGGAGGAAGGACGCTCATCCTTCTACTGGAGAAGACGATGTTTTGGAGGCAGTGGAGAGGGACCAACTTTCACTGCAGTTGACTTATTTCAGGAACAGTGTACATATCGATTTAAAACGCTGGCAAGAACGATGGCTTCCACCCCAACATGATCATTCGCAAGGCACAGAAGAGCGGCAAGGACTGCCAACACCGCTACAAATCACAGGACCACTCTCACTCAACTACGCGGCACTAGTAACCTACGCTCTGCCCCTGCCCATCTCTTACTGGGTCGATGTCACTGGCGAACTAACGCTGCTTTGGAGGGATTGTTACATCAGCTGTACGGACTATATGGCCACCTTCGTAGATAGATGCCAACGCGGCTTTATGACCTATCTTACCAACAGCACTGTAGTTTCAACTGTCTATGCTGTTGTCTTTGCGCTTGATATGGCGAGCAAGGCACAGCGAACCGAAACCCAATTCCAAGCTGGCAAAGGGCATGCAGAGGAGCGAGCGGTTCATTTTGGTTTCGTATCAAAACAGAGAGTCCTTAGCTTGGCACAATTGACAGCGAAAGAGTTGGATAACATTGGTCGAGTGAGGCATAGGGTTCATGATGGAGGTAGGCAGGGGGGGGAGAGTGTTGTGAGGAAGTATAGTGTTTTTTTGTTTGCCGTTTTGGCGCGGTTTGGTACGCTTAGTTCGACGGAGGAGGCTGATGGTGAGGGGGAGGGGGAGGGGGAGGGGGAGGGGGAGGGGATGGAGGTTGTGAAGAGAGGTGGGTTTGACGCTGGCCTTAGCCGCGGCAATGGTGGAAGCGAAGAGATGGGTGGGGAAGGGAGACATTTGAGAAGAGATCACAACCATCCGTTATCACATCCTCCCTCTACTTGGGCGGGGGGAGTGGGAGGAGGGAGAGTGGTTCCGGGAACAAAAGCTTCGCATGCATATTCTAGCAATCTCCATTTCTCTCCTCCTTCCACACAGCACCTCGCAGCAGAAGCAGGAACAGCAGCAGGAGCAGCAGCAGGGGGGTGGAATGCTCCAGCACCCTCACCCTCAACGCCCGCCTCAACCTCTTCGACGGCAGCATGGAACCCATTGTTTGCACAACAAGCTGGTGGAGGAGCAAAGTTTCTTCCTACTCCCCACCATCATCGGCATCAGCAACAACACATGCAGGATTGGACGGAGAACAACGCAGCAGCAACAGGAGCATCAAGTCCCGCTACTTGGTTCAATCATTTTACTGGACCTCCCAATCCAAACCCAGCTGGTGCGGATGCAACACAGCCTGGCGCAGCGATAGAACAAGATCCATCATGGGAATGGATGATGAAAGATCTCGACTTTTTCAATGTCGACGGCGGTGGCGGTGGCGGAGAACCTATTCTCGACCAAATGGGCCGTTTGTTCGGCTAAAAGCCCGCCACGGCCATTGTTCTGTTATTTGTATCTCACTCAATGCTACACACACACACACACACACACACACACTCTCTCTCTCTCTCTGCCTGCTCTGCCTGCTCTGCCCGCTCTGCTATGTGCGAAAGTATTCTATTCGACCAATCCTCTCTTCTATCTACAAAAGCATTCTGCGGGTGACTAACGAATCTTAGTCTCAACTCTCTGCAGCACCGCCGCAAGCACCAACAAGGCCGCTGTGACGGCGGTCACAGCAGCAACTTTGATCATATTAGCCCTCGTGGTGAGAGTATACTTGACGTAGACTAGTTGTGCGTGTTCAGGGGAGCAATTTTTGTGTTTAATTCTGATAGCTGGACGACCAAGGGTGTCTAGGTAAGTTTTAGTAACTGCGTAGTGCAACTTATCCACCTCGTAGGGCAGTTCGATAGAAAGTCGAGTCGCTCCTTCGGGGAGAACAATGTTTGTGGATACTGAGTCGACAGCAACGTCTTTAAGTGGGGTGAAGAGGGGCACTGCGGTGATAAAGTCATTGGAACCACGTAGGGACTTTGTCCAAGCGCCAGCGGAGAGTGGGAGAGTGTATCCTACGCTGAACGAGTAATTCCAGCCTCCGAGGAGTGGGAAGCGGGGTTGCAGTTCGAGCAGAGACATCTTGGACTTGAGGGCTGCAGACGAGGCTAGACCGGAAGTGGAAGCGGTCAGAATGGATGGGTTTGGAGGGGAGGGGCGGAAGCGGGAGGTGGAGACGTTTCCTATCTGATCTATGAACCAAGGATCCTTTGCACCCGGCGGTAAGGTAAACGTAAGGGACGAAAGAGCAGAGCCAGAACTCTTGTGGTAGAACGACGCCATTTGATGCTCGATTCTCGAAAAATGACCTTTGAGTTGCGGACCGGTGTTGCGAAGAAGAATGCGATCTTGGATGGAGAGTGCGTCACCCCAGTGGCTGATCTCAGCGACTCGATCGAGTGAGATTATGGTTGCTTGCGGAGCGTCTACCTGGAAATGAACCTTGCCCTGCGGAATAGGAGTGTTGGGGGTGTGGGAAGCGTGCTTTTCGAAGGGGCCGAAAGTGACGATGCTGCCGGACTTGGTTGCGTTGGAGGGGGAGAAAGAGAGGATTTTGGGCGAGGGGCATTTGACTTTAATTCGACCCGAAATGGTAGGGTAGGGCGTGCGGAGGGTGGAGTCGCCTGTCCAAAGGAAGAGTTGAGGTTGGGTTTGTTTGACGCTTTCCGGTAGGGGAGAGGTGATGTGGTTCAGCGTTGTTTCGAGGGTCAAGGTTGCTCCCTCAGCGCCGAGGACATCGGATGGGATTTGGGTCTCGAAGAGGATACTGCTTGCGTCTCCATCAAGAGGACCGAGGGGGGTGAAGGGAAGGACTGGGCGTAGACCTCCTTTGTAATCCGAACCTGAACCTGAAGCGAGGGGGGAGTCGAGAGCGGGTTTGACTGTGAGTCGACTCCATGATAGGTGGTCTGCTTCTTCTGCTGAGAGCAGCAAGTAGTAAGGCGAAGAAGAGCGAGAGGCTGCGGAGACGGTGGATCTGGGCTTGATCGAGAGGGTTGTGAGTGTGTGTGAGGTTGAGCCGGTCAGGTCGATCTGCTTGAGGTAGTTGACGTTTGTCCAGTCATTCGAGCTTGGTAGTGATGCTGCGGGGGCGAGAGGAAGCAGGGAGGCGAGTAGCACGACCAACAGCGGTGTGCTGAATATGCTGAGCCGCGCCATGATGAACCAATCGAGCATAGGAATGATACGGTGATGGTGAGAAGGAAGCATGGCTAGTGTCGGGGGAAGAAAAAGGTGTTGGACAGTGCGCGTAAACTGGCAGAGAGTGCGCATTTCTTCCAGCTCACCTTCTTGTGACAGTTGAGCCGCACGAGAAAGTATTTCAACTGCTCGCAATGTAAGATGCAGCGATCTCACATTGCTGGTAAAAACCAACACCTCTCAACGCGAAAGAAAGAGAAACTCGACGCGCCTCTTCTTGAGCCTGAGCCTAAGTTTCGCGCAGCAGCAAGAACAACTAAATTCTCCACTTTCTCCGGACTTGTGCCCTCTCGGCTGCTCCGACATACCTTGAGTCATCTTGCCTCTATAATATCACCTTTCCCACGCCATCATCTTCTATCCTCTTCCACCATCACATCGACACGCACACGCACACACACACACACACACATATATATATATATGACACTGCGATAAGGGAATAGAGAGAAGCTCAGCACAGCCTTCCGCCTTCCGCCTTCCGCCTTCCGTCTTGCCTCTCCCTCCTCCTACCGCACAAGAATGGTAGTGGTGGCGTGTCCCGATTCCTCCCTCGTCGACGTCCATATCGATCCGGACCGCACTCCCTCCTCCTCCAACCATGACTATGCCTCAGCATACTCAAGGATTCGATCAGCAGCACGAACAGCAGGCACAGGCGTATCCTCGGTCCTCGTCCTCAGCTCTCCCGATGTCGACTCGGTTTGCGCAACTCGCATCCTCACTTGGCTGTTCTTGCAAGATGATATTCCACATCGCATCGTACCCGTCGAAGGATACCGTTCACTGCTCAACACTCTATCCACCGTCTTCCCCCCACTCAGCCAACATGAGGATCAAGAAGGTGCACGGCCAACAAATCTAGCTTCCTCCTCAACCTCAGCAGACGTACGATCCGTCATCTTGATCAATCTCGGCGCAGTACTCGCTCTACCAACAACGTTTGACATCCCACCGAGCTGTACGATCCACGTGATTGACTCGCATCGACCGTGGAATTTGGAGAATCTGTTTGCGACAAGTCATGCCAACGATCGCGTTTGGTGTTGGGACGATGGTGAGATCGCCTCGAAACTTTGCAGACAGGGTGGCGAGAGGGATGCATTCGAAAAGCTCGAGTTTGATCTCGATTCTGATTCTGAGCATGATTCTGACGATGCCAGCAATAGCAGCAGCAGCAGCTCCTCCGGTAGTGATAACGAAGGGGAGCAAGGGGAGGTTGGTAAACGTAAACGATCACGCTCTTCCAAATCCCCCTCCACCTCCAAACGACGCAACCGGCACAACTCTTCCCAACCGCCAACCTCCTCCGCTACCCGACTTAGCAACGCCGAACGACACCGATACCGCACCGTCCTAACCCGCTACTACAATCGAGGCGAATCCTTCGGCATGTCCGTCTCCTCTATGCTCTATCTACTCTGCGAATCTCTAGGTCGCGCTGATCGAGAATCGCTCTGGCTTGCCATCGTCGGCCTTACTTCGCTTTACCTTTCCAACTCGATCGACTTGGAAACATATGAAACTTATTCTGCTGCCTATGCTTCTGAAGTTATCGCGATCGAGCCCAACTCTGCTTCTGCTCCTCACGAAGCTTGGTCACTTGACCTTCTAGGCAAAGAGACAGCAGAAGAGACAGGTGTGGGCGTGGGGCCAGGCAGAAAAGCAGACCGAGCCCTGCGCAAGGGCATCTCACAAAACACCAAATCCGAAGACGCAGATGATAGATCCATCCGCATTATCCCTTCCGAACTCCGTTTCACCCTGTACCGGCATTGGAGTCTAGAGACAGCCATGTACCACACCGCCTACGTAGCGGCCAAGTTGGGAATCTGGCGAGAGCGCGGTCTCTCCAAACTACGCGGGTTGATGGCCAAAATGGGATTCTCCCTTAGCGCCGTTCGACAGAATTATACCCATATGCCTCTCGATCTTAGGCGTAGTCTGGTGAGGAAACTGGAAGGAATGGCTCCCGAGTACGGGCTAACCGAACTCACATATCGAGGTTTCGAGCGGTCCTTTGGCTTTCGCACCGCCCCACTTGGCGCAGGAGATGTAGTAGAGGGATTGTCGGCGTTACTAGTAGCTGCACATGGGGTCAAGGTTGAAGTAGAGACGCCTGGGATGGTGTTTGCTTCTGCTTCTTCTGGTGCTGGACGGGGGGGAGGTGGGCCGTTGGGCAATAGTTTTGCTGCGAATCTGAATCCTGCTAATCCCAACGCGCAAACTTCAGAACTCTTTGCGACAAAGAGAGTTTGGAATTTAGGTACCAACCTCACCGATGCTGTCAACTCTGCCATCGCTGCGACAGCGGCCGGGTCCGGGAAGGAACAGACCGGTGCCAATGCAGGACTGGACCTGGATAGTGTAGCTAGCCAAGCAAACGCATCTGCTCAAGATGTCGCTAGGTTGGAAGAGGCAGAGAGAGAAGTTTGGGTGACCAACTTTTACGAAGCTTATCGTGCCCTCGATACTTGTCGCTCTACCTCTGTCGATCTTTTACGCTCTTCTTTGCTACTCTCGCAAGCGCTACACCGGAAGATTGTCGCGAGAGGGATAAGTTTGATCACAAACCAATCCATCCGAACCCTCAAAAACTTCCGTCTAGCAATCCTCAAAGATGGATCAGATCTGCAACTCTTTACGCACGTCGAAATCTTATCCCGGCTGGCAAACTGGCTTACTACTTCGCTACGAGATATTCTTGTTGAACAACAAACCCTAGGAGCGCAAAGGAAGAAAAATTCAACCAAGGCCAACGCAGCAGCTTATGCTCCGCTTCCGTTTATCTTGGCAGCCTTGCATCCGGGGAAAGATAGCTTTTTGGTTTTGGGTTCGACAGCAAGTGCAGTACATGGGATGGTGGAAAACAACCACTTTACTGCAGCTTTTCAAAGTGCCGCAAAGTTGAGCGGGGCAAGGGTTAGACATGATCGCTTCCAGACGTTTAGTATTCTTGTTAGAAAGAGTGATTTGGCCGGTTTTGTGGAAAAGGTTCATTTGAAGATCAGGTAAGGTCTTCTAGTGGCCCTGACCGTGGGGGGATTTTTTTCATTCATTCATTTTTTATTATTTTTTATTATTTTTTTTTTTCTTTCTTTTCATCGTTGCAATGCAATTCACCAGGATCATGATATGAATGTGTGCAAGGTCAAATAAATGCAGGGGAACTGGTGAAAATCACATGACCTCTTCTCTTAGTTCTAACAATCGCACCAACCTTGCTCACCGTCGTCATTCTCCATTACCAACGCTGGTTGTGATTCACTGCTGTTGTCTAGATGGATGTCAACATGGGTTTGGTGTTATTGTGATAGAGGTAAATTTGTGTGTTGGTTGTCTTACAGCTTGGACCCTCGACGTAGTCGCTCTGATCATGAGTAGATCATCTATGTAGACTGCAAGGAGTACCATTGCATTGTTTGTCCCATGTGTGTAGATGCATGGTTTGGCTCTACAATGTTTAAAGCCAAAGGCTTGCAGCTGCTCATCAAGCAATGCATGCCATAGGCATCCAGCTTGTTTGAGGCTGTAGAGGGCCTTTTTGAGTCTGTAACACTTACCTTTGGTCTCATCTGTCTTGAACATTGGCAGTATTTGGACATATATGTCCTTGTCAATCTTCCCATTACAAAAACGCAGTGCTAATGTCCAGTTGCATGATGTACAGTCCATATCATCTGGCAATCACAAGCAGCATATGTACAGTTTGCAAGTGGATGACTGGACTAAAGGTCTGGTCATAGTCCAAACCTTGATGCTGTGCATACCCTTGTGTGACCAGTCATGCCTTGTACCATGTTGCTTGTCTTTGAGCATCGAGTTTGAGCTTGAATACCCAGCAGATGCCAATGAGCTTACTGTCCACTGGGATGTTAGCAAGCTTGAAGACATCCATTTTACTCATGCTTGCCATCTCACTTGCCATTGCTTCTTGCCATTTGTCCCAATCATCATGCAGCTTCACCTTGTTGAGCAATAAGGGTTCTAATAGAACACCATCAGCACTTTGCAGTTGCTGACTGCTTGCAATGAGGGTGGTCCTGTCCATCACCATGACTGTATATGCCATGCAATCAATGTGATGACTGCTGATGGCAGTCGCCAGGGTTTCGGAGCATGTTGCAGCAAAGGATGCAAATCCATGTTCTATTGTTGAGATGTCTGTAAGCAGTCACATGCCAGAGACTTAGTTTTGGGGTGTTATATTGAGTTTGATTGAGTAAGGTCTACTCAGTATGTTTTGCCTAAATGTAACCAAATGTTGCCACCTGGTAAGTCTCAACTGACTGCCTTGAACACTCCATTCAGAGGTTGTGCAGCACAGACACTGGTCATTGGTGAGTGAGTGAAACACCCTCTCCTACAGTACAAGTGTTTGTAGTACTGTTGATAATGCTCTTGGACATTGTCTGGACCACTATATGCTAATTGCCTACAGAGGACAGGAGTTACTGGACTACAGGTGTGCTTCACTGCCTACAATAACTGACTGGACCACAGGTGTCGAGCAACACTGCCTACAGCAAGGGACTGGACCACAAGTGTTGAAGAACACTGCCTACAGTAAGGGACTGGACTGCAAGTGTTGAAGAACACTGCCTACAGTAAGGGCACTGGACCACAAGTGTTGAAGAACACTGCCTACAGTTGTTGACTAACAGTGATATGACACACACATTGAGAGTCATTGCAAGAGCACTGCTATTGCAATGGTACATAACTGAGTAAGTAAAGTAGATAGAGTAAGTGTATGTAGAGCAGATGGGGCTCCACTTGTATGCTATGGTAGAGTGAGAGTATTTATGCATTTGATTGGTGTTGCCCATGACACCTATCCTGCTCCTCCTGAGGGGCCTTTGTCCCCTGTTTGACACTGTCTTGTCCTGCTGGCATCAATCCCATTGATACTGCACCCCTACCATTTGCATGGCATAAGGGTTATGCAACACTGCCCTCTCACCTTCATGCTCTCCTTCTGCCTGATGATGTGTGATGACCCCTTTCAACACAGCTCCTTCTTGACCTTGTCTTGTGAATCCCTTTAGCCACTTGTTGAACCTTGTGACCAAACCCCTTGGTCATGTGGCCACCCCTGTGCTTGGGCCTGTGTGACTTTATGCATGCATCCCTTGAGCAGTAACTGTCTGCTTGATACTGAGCTTGGTCCCCTGCTCCCTCCTATGGTTATCTTTGAGTGCCTCTCCTTCTGATGCCAGTACCTTCCTTTCTGAGTCTCCTAGTACTTGCTCATATTGGCCAACTTGTTGAGGCATGCTGATCTGACTGATTCCAACCAATCCCCATGAGATTAATCTGGAACCCAGGGTTTGATCAATCTCATAATTCATATGTGCTGCCAGCCCAATTAATCTCATTGATCCCCAATGGTTTGGCACCAACCAATCTGGTGCACCATCCATATATTGATCCATTGCACACCCTTCATACACTGCTCTGTTGCATGACATTCCCATGACTGCCATTGATCAATTTGGTGCACTCTCTTGCGCTGGCCTGCTGACCCTGTGACAATGTCGTCATACACATCCGCAATTGCATCGCTGCGAGGTGTCTCGAGTAGCGGTGCTGCATCCAGAGTATTGATGTGTGGCGAGCCTTGTAGATCGGTGTGTGGCGATTCTTGCATGGTACACCCCCTTTCGGACCGTATTGCATCCAGCTCCGCTTCGAGGTCTGTGGCGATCGCATTGATGTTGCACATCATCGGCTTGAGTGTACACTACAATTGCGAGGCTCGCACACTGTCAATAGATCAAAATGGATACATTGAAGGTGTCTTGACAAAGTTTGGAATGAGCAAGGCTTGGACAGCTTTGACACCAGCAATGGAGACTATCAACACACTCGGCCCACAGGAAGCTGATGTCACCAGTGCCAAAGAGGTACATCACTTTGCATTGCTGGTGGGATCACTACTGTGGATTGCACAAGGCAGTAGGCCCAACATTGCCTTTGCCATTGGACATTGCACATGATTCATCACAAACCCTTCAGGAGAACACCTTACAGCTGCCAAGCAAGTCTTAAGGTACCTCAAGGGAACAATGAGAGTCAACCTCTCAGCAAGAGAGTCAATTGGCAAACCAATGCTTACTGTCTGGGTGGATAGCAATTGGGCAGGTTCATGTAACTGCCACAAATTGACTTCAGGATATGTATTTGCCATAGATGGACTTGTATGCAGCTGGTCATCATGACTTCAACTGACAGTGGTGAACAGCTTTGTGGAAGCAGAGTATGTGGTGCTGGCAGGAGCTGTGAGAGAGCTAATCTGGACCTCAATGTTCCTAGGCAAATTGGAACAATCTGCACCAACAATGACAGGAGTACAAGTAAATGCCAGAATGTCAATCATCCACTCCTGTGATGGAAAGCTATTCCTTGATTGGAATGTACCAGTCCTGCACAGTGACTCATCTGGTGCACATGCTATTGTGAATGATCCCCTACACTTCAAAAGGACAAAGCACATTGACATCACACACTTCTTCTTATGAGACAAAGTCACAAGCCAGCAGCTCACAATCACCCTGGTCCAGAGCAGTGAAAATCTGGCCAACATGATGACCAAACCACTGGCAGCACCAACACTTTTGCATCTTCACCAACTATCTGGACTAACTGTGATGGAGGAACATACTGGATTGAGAGGGGGTGTTGAAAATTAGCAATTCAACATGATGATGCAAGATAACATGAGGCAATACAGGAGGGATTGGGCAAAGCCAATCCAGTCAAAGATCGGATGGGGCTGATCTCATCAGAGATTGGATACAACATGGTCCCACTTGTTGTCAGGGATTGTCATGAAGGAGGATACATCCACATCTGGTGTGTACTGTCTAGATGTATATATATCTCACAGAGAGTGCTAGGCTCTCACCACATTCCTTTAGTCAATTGAGTATATATGTTTCTGTCTTTTAGCAGCAGTGACATTGTACTTAGACTCTCCCCGATCGCCAGTATCGGGACCGAAACGACTTCAGTTTTTAACAAATAAATGCAGGGGAACTGGTGAAATCACATGACCTCTCCTCTTAGTTCTAACAATCACGCCGACCTTGCTCACCGTCGTCATTCTCCATTACCAACGCTGGTTGTGATTCACTGCTGTTGCCCAGATGGATGTCAACATGGGCTTGGTATTATTGTGATAGAGGTAAATTTGTGTGTTGCTTGTGAATTGCTCAGTAGAATTGTGAGATGTGTGATGGGTTGGAAAAGCTTGTTTCAGAGGAATCTTTTGACAATACTTTTCACAGTCTTACTCATATCAGCTATGGCTCAGTTTAGAACGACGAAAGATGACAAAGATATATATATATATATAAATAAAAAATGGATTGGATATCTTCTATTCGCATAGATAGCTAGGCATGAAAACCAGCAGCACTATATGTCTGACTACTTAAAAAGGACTTGAAATCCTTAATCTTACTACCGGCCACCCCACCGACACCTGTCGCACCACCACCGGCATTCCTAGGTTCAACCAAAAGACTCCTCTCATACAAGGCTTCATCATCCATAACAGGAAGATCAACGACCAACCTCTGAACAGCTGAACTAGACTTAAAATATCTATCATACTGTTGACATTTTGCTACAGCCATAACAGCTTCATCCATCAAAGAAAACTTTGCCCAATGAACCATACCATCTTGCCTCTTACTGGGATTGCCATCACTAATCGACAGAATATCCTGCAAATGGACGCCAACATAGGGAATTGTAGGCCCATCCGAATTCTCCAACGCCAACCGATACGCTGCAGAAGACCTCTCGTTGGACATCAACCTAACCAACGACTGATAAGCCTTATTGACACTTTTCCCCTTAAGCAGTTCTCGGGTATGCTTGAGACGATGTACAGCAGTTTTGGATAAGCCACCAAGAACCGAGTTGAGAGAGCCGTAGTTGTTACTGTGCCGAAGGATGGATGCGATGTTCATGAATTTCTCCAACATTCTAGCCCGGTGCTTCGTCTTTCCCTGCACAAGGATCATGGAACAGACCCAATTGGAAATGTAGTTGAAGTGGCAAATGGATCGCGAGACTGGTCCATCTCGTTTATCGTGAGGGACGAGAATGTGTCGTAGCAGATCGCGCGGTTGGATCGCGGTGAAATAGGTCCATTCCAGACGCGTGAGTTCGGTCGCGATGACTTCATCGTCGATCTCCATGAGAGTGTTGGAGATCGAGCGGAGGGTCGATTTCTGGTCTTGCATGCGAGCTGGGGCGGGGGGGATAGTTGTCGCAGAGGGAGGATCGTTGAGGTTGGCCGAAGAGGAGGCGGCAGAGGAGGAGGAGGGGTTGTTGGTGGCTGTGCCCGTGGTGTTACTCGTACTAGAAGATGATGTTTGCGTGTGACCGCTGACAATGCTAGTACCTGCCTGCCAAGTGGCTTTGCCGTCTTTGTGGATCACAGCAGCACCCTCTGTTGAAGACGTGGTGAGATCAGAAGCACTACGTGACCTTGCACCATTGCCGATTTCTGGGTGCGTTGGCAAACTGCTTTCCGATCCCGTTCGCTCGTGCGATTCCGAGGCATCCTCAGCCGAACGACGGCTACCATCAAAGTCATGACTGTTGTTGCCCAAAGACGACATCAACCCCGAAGTGCTGCTGCTAGAGTGGCTGACTGGCAAACTCGACGCACTGTCCGCTTCGCCGACTTGCTGCTGCTGCTGATGCTGCTGCTGCTGACTCGAAGCACTGGCAATCGCAGCAGCAATTCCACCCTTGTGTTGCGTCTGATCGCTATTGACCGCTTTACTCCACAATGCATCCAGATCAACAGCGTTAGCCGTCGCATCGACAGCTGCATGGATCTGCGCCGCGGTATGCACTGTATCCGGATGATGAAGCAGCTGGCGATGGTACTTGACGAGCAAAGCATGTGTCTCCGGATGGCTGAGATCCCCAGGATAGTCGAGAACCCAATCACCGAGCATGTTGGTCAACCTGATCAACGCGAAGCGATGTACCAGTCCATCAGCAACATCCTCCGCAGTCAACGTCTCGAATCGTGCCATCATCTGCTGAAGCAAGTCCATCGGTGTAGCAAAGCCTCGGAAAAAGACCATGAACATTGTCACAAATCGTTCATCCGTGCGTGAAATGGCGGCGTGGAAAAGCTTGTCCCACAACTCTTCGATGGAAACATAGCCTCCACTGGATCGAGCATTCTGCAAACCCATCTGTGCTCGTTGTAAGCTATCGTGTAGAATAGCGTTGTCCTCCGACTGGAACGATGGCGCGTCCGAAATAGCTGAGGCGACGGTAGCACTGCTCATCTTTCGAGGAGTGAAATGCGAGTCAGATGCAGAGGTAGCAGCTGTGCGAATCTGTGACTGTGTGTGCATGTGAGCAGCGGCGATTGAGTTGGAAATTAAGTCGATGTTGCCCGTCGCATGCCTCGTCTGATGGAGTGCTGAGGCCATGAAGGCGTCATCGATCGAAGCTTCGCTGCCTCCTGCAGCTGTTGCTCGACTCAAAGCTGAGCTTGCATTGCTGTAGCCTCTGGCACGCATTGGGTCGAAGAGGGCTGCAGGCATCGGAAGCTGTTCGCCGCTGCCTGCCACTGCTTCGCTGCCGGGCAAAGCAGCGCCTGCTTGCGAGGTGATGGAGCCGGCACGAGTTTGGGGCACTACCTGGCCTGGAGGAGCACCGGGCGATTGTGACCGCTGCGAAGCCATGGCGGTCGACAGGATCGGAGGCACGGTGCTAGCGGGTCCACGACGAGCGCGACCAGATCGAGACTTGGCCACCTCTTTCACCAGATACGAGAAACAGTCCCGCATGCGCTTCTTGCCCTCTTCGCTCTGCACCGTGCACTCTGCGAGACCGACGTTGTAGATGCACGCCATATCACTGGCATAGTAGGGATCGACGGCCTTGGGGTGGACCTCGGACTTGCAGGCAAGCATAACAGTGCTGAGATTGGCAACGGCAAAGTTCTCGAGCAACTCGGACATGCCACGGAAGGATGCAATCTCGGAAGCGTCGTAGCAGAGGATCACTGCATCAATGTGTGGGAGGAACTTTGGCCATGCGAAGCGTTTGCTGGGACCGTTGAGCAGTACGGATGCATCGATTTCGAGCACTTCGATTGTCCTTTGCTCCTGATCGACGACGCAGACAGTCGAGTGCGAGGTCACTCTCTCGGACAAGACATGTGGCTTGGAGAGACCGAACTGACGCAAGCCCTTCTTGATGACGGTCGACTTGCCCGAATGAGCATGTCCAACAACAGCAATGACGAAGCTGGCATGCGATTTAGGCTGCGAGTTGACTTGCTGCAGTAGACTGGCGCTGCTTCCGCTGCGGCTGCGTCCTCCTACGCTGGGACGACGATCGGTAGTCTCGGATGCGAGTCTCTCGCCTGAGCCACCAGCACCGTTGCTAACTCGGCTTGCTTCGCGCTCGCTGCTGCAAGTGGCTGAGAGACCTCGACTGATTCCGACAGCAGAGCCGCCTCTTGAGCTGCTAGGATTGTTCGTCAAAAAAGACACGCGACGGTCAATGTCCATGCTGTACGTCTTGCGAGCGCTGTCCTCGTCGTCTCTGCCGGATCTTGACTTGTACCTCGGCTCAGCAAGATCGAGCGGGAAGATCTGGTTGGATAGCAACGATCGTGGCCTCGACTTGACTGCATGCTGGACGGTGGCTGCTCCACTGCTGCTTCGAAGCGTGCTCGAGGGACGAGGGATAGCGCCGACAGTGAAGCCTCTTGGCCTGCCGACAGTCGAGCTGCTGTTGGAGCTGCTTCGAGAAGAGCGAGTGGAAGGTACTTCTGCAAGCGTAAGGGGAGCCTGTTGAGTAGGTGTGGGCTTTGCAGTTCTGGCGGCAGCCTCGAGGGCTTCGCTGTCCTTGCGCTGCAGTGAATTGCTACGTTGGCAAATCATAGGAAGGGCAAAGGTAGAAGCCCTGTCTGAGTAGGAGTTGTCTGTAGGACTGGTCAGAGGTGAGAGCGCTAATGTTTGGGCGGGAGCTGTGTTCACTATGGGCAGCTGCGACAGATGTTGATAGTTTGCATCGGTAGAGTTGAGCTCCTGTTCGAGACTGCAGTTTCTCGAGCGCAGAGCATGGCGGCCAAAGAGGTCGGCCTGGTCAGACGACCAAGGTGGAGGAGCTAGGTTGCGAATCGAGCTGCTGGGTGCAGATCTTGTCGGCCCTGCTGCTGCAGTGGAGGCATGGCGAGCGGTAGAGGAGGCAGTGGATGAAGCGAGGGATGGCGGTAGAGGCAGAGGAGCCTGTGGAGTTGGTCTCGGTGGCGGCAAGGCTGTGTTGCGATGGACACGGGTAGTGGGACTCTGATTGAGGTTGGGCGAGTTGATGGAGAGGTAGGAAGAGGCAGATGGGTATCCTGGTGGCGTTGAGTATCCTGGTGGCGTTGAGAAGCCAAGAGCGGTTGGTGAGAGGGAGGAGTCGTCACTTGCCAGCAAAGAGGCCGAGTGAGAGCGCAAAGGACAAGGTGGCACGCTCCAAGCTTGGTCCGAGTGGGCAGGAGCACTGTTTTGACTCGCTGAATCAGCGAGATCGGATGGAGCGTTGCGGCGGAGAAGCGCCAAGCCAGGAGCAGAAGCCGATTTTTCCGGGCTCTCAAGCAGCTCGCTGTCCGGCAGCAAAGGACTCAACTCAAGCCAAGGACGTGTCTCGTCCAACGATGGTCGACGAGCTGTTGCACGACCACTGCTCGACTTTGTTTCCGCACCTGATACTGTTCTAGTAGTGTCTGTTCTAGTAGTCGCTGTTCTAGTAGTCGCTGTTCTAGTAGTCGCTTTGCAAGGCGTGACGAGTGGTGAGTGAGCATCGCGGTACGCATCCGATTCGGCAGGGCTGCCGCCGCCGTTAGTGTTGCTCAGTTCGGAGATAAGAGGTGGATGGCGTGATGATGAGTAAGGCCTTCTAGTATCTGTCGGATCTGGCCGAGAGTCACTCGGCAAGTCGCAAGGGGCCGAGGGATGATTTTGATGGCAATCCGCTTCTGCAACTACGGCTTGCTCTTGATCTTCTGAAGATAGTCTCGCTGATGCGCCCGCTTCGATGGCGCCAGCACTGCGTCGTTTGATATTGCGTTTGCGGAGTTGCTCCTGCAACAGTCGACGTCTTCGCCTTGCCTTTTCCGTATCGGCTTGCTTGGCTGGCGCTGGGAGGGTGCGTGCAGAGCAAGATGCGTCGCTGGCGGATGCAGCACTGGAGAGGCGTGACGTCGGAGTTGCCGAAGAGGAAGCATTTGACCAAGTTTCGGATGAGGCGAGCGTGAATGTTGACGGCTGTGCCGACAGAGACGGAGATTGTGGTTGCACTTGTGATTTGTTGCAAGAGGTGCCAAGGGGAGAGCCAGCGGATGTGCCGGTAGCCAGCGTTGCATCAGCACTAATCGATGGTCTCGGGCTGGATGACGAAGCGATGCGGCTGGATTGAGGTGAGGGCGAGGCATTAAGACGACCTCCAGACAAGCTTCGATCAAGCGAAACAGAGTTGGGCGCCGGAGCAGCGGCAGCAGCAGCTCCAGTTTGGTACTGCTGGATCAAGCGCTGAACTCCACTCAGTCCCACACCAGAACTTGAGCCCGCCTGTTGGTAGCAAGAGGCTGTGCGCTGCATTGATGGAGATACGGATGAGCCGCGTTGCTCGAGAGCGTCGATGCGTCTCAAGGTTGATGGCGAAGCCGAAGAACAAGTGGAAGCGGAAGCGAGATCTGACATGGATGCTGGTGTTGCGCTACTTGAACTCGAAGTACTCTCCTTGCCTTGTCGTTCTCCCCAAAAGGCGAAAGCAGGCTTCTTCTTGACTGCTTGGCTCACGGGATCCTCCATGACTGCTGCACACCGTATAGCAGCCGACGGACGGAGGGAGGGAGGCTCTTACGCCAAGTATGTTTGGTGTGTGTGTGTGAGCGAGATCGAGCAATCAAGCTCGTCGGCTGTGAGGTAAAGAGCCACTCTGACGCTGAAGACGGCCGAGCAGCACGCAGAATGTCATGAGTCCTTGGTGTGTTCTTCTGGACTGGGTATAGGCTGCCGGGAGTGGGCCAATCTGTGCTGGTCCTGGTGTTGCTCCGTTGAGCGTGTTTGGAGGCTGTGCAATGTCGAGAGCGCGGTCGAGAATGGTATTGATTGCTTATTCCAGACGCAAGTCGGGGGATCAAAGAGAAAAAGGGCGAGATCGAGGTGTTCCTTGACAAGTGACGAATCAAAGTTGGGCTGAGGAAAGTAAAGACAAGCGGCGACCCAAGTTTGACAGTGATTGTGATGTGAGAGAGTGAGTGAGAGAGGGATAGAGAGAGAGAGAGAGAGAGAGAGAGAGAGCCATCCAACTTGAGGCGCAGATGTCACGCAGATGTCACGCTGTGTTGCGCTGTGCTGTGCTGTGCTGTGCTGTGCTGTGCTTTGCTGTGCTGTGTTTTCGTACAAGAAAAACAAGGGTTGACAACAGCAACACGCGTGTCAAGCTCTCCGACTCCTTGGTTGCAATTGGCAATCACAAGGATGCCATTCAGCCTTCTCTCTTGTCTCTCAATATGGGCACAGTTGGGTCATCATTGGCAGATCCGAGAAGAGCATGTTGCTGTTCGCTGTCATTCAACTCGAGATTATTTTGCGAGCAGAGTTTTGCCTTGCTCACAGCCTCACTCAGGCACCCTCTTGCTGCTGTATGCCTTGACGAGAGAGAAGAGGGTCTTGAAGGCCACCAGGATGCGCTACTTGATGAGCATCGCTTCATTGCACAACAGTGGCAATCATTGAACGCAATCAAAGCTGTTACAGACTTGAAGACGTAGGCAATCCACTTTGGTCTTGCACACCGGATCATTCCCAACGCAAAGGTACAACAGCAAAGCCAAAGCAGATCTCCGCCGACACTACAATTGACAAAGCAAGGTGGGTTGATGGCGAGAACAAGAGCAACAAAGGCAATACAACGCAATACAATGAAATACAACGCAATACAACGCAATACAACGCAATACAACGCAATACAACGCAATACAACGCAATACAACGCAATACAACGCAATACAACAAGGCTAACAGAAGCGTGGGAAAACTACACAGCCGATCGGGAAGTAGGCGCGACAGATTTCACGCTCGCCTTTCTCGATTCCACAGCGGCGGACAGAAGAGAAGATGGGAGCCGACAGCCAAGTTGCAAAGCCCAAGTCTCTCTCTCTCTCATCTCCACCTCTTCGCAACTCGAGGGAATGCAATCGGATCATCGGCGATCGACCCACCATTGAAACCACACGGGACTCGGGGATCAAGCTCATATCTGGAGACGCTTACTGGACAACGAGGAGACACGAGACATGGCAACGCGGCGAAAGCGGCGAAAGCGGCGAAAGCGGCGAAAGCGGACGACGATTGCTGTTAGCGCTGCTTAGCGGCTTAAGGGGGTATCAAAGTTTTTGCGATTTTAAAAATGCGGGTTTTTTCGAGAGCGCATTTTTGGAGGGAATTTGAACCCCCCCCAAGGAAAAGCAGGTTTCCAAAAACACAAAAAAATCATACAGCCGATAAAATACGTAACCTAACAGTGGTCATGTTACTTGTTGCTCTTGTTGCTATTACCCATTGCTTGCTTATATCTTGCTTTCCTCTTCACACAATGCACTCAATGTAATGTTTCATATGGTGGTGAGAAGAATTGTATTGAACAGAAGAAGAGAGAGTGCCTGTCAGATCAAGAATGGTTGTGTCAAGACTTGCTCCTGTCTCTGAGCTGATGCACTTTGAGTCATGGCAATGTAGTCCACAGTAGTCCTCTCATGACATTGAGACAATGCAGTAGTGTCTTCCTCATTGCACCCAGTGGATCTGAACAGCACCTGGAACAAACCCTCTCAAAGATCATGTGCAGCAGAACTTCAAAGTCTTGACACTGCATACTGTGACATTCCTTGTGTTGCAGTGGCAAGATCCAGTTTGTATTCCTGCTGATTTGTGTGTCTTGTCCTCCTGAGCTCTTGTGTATCACTGGCATCAAGTTGGAGGCTTTGAACAACCTCACTCACCTCATCCTCAGAGAAAGAGGGCAACAGCAGGTCAGCAATATCAGCAGGATGGTCATATTGACTTGCAAAGGTGTGGGCAACAATGCAGGCTTGGATCATCTTGGCAGCAGTGATGTGGTCCTTGAAACAGTAGATGTTACCATGATAGCCTGTAAGGCACTGGAAGCAGTTCTTCAGGTATGCAATGGCATGTTCAACTCATACTCGGACTTGAGAGAGCATGTAGTTGAAGTGTCAAAGGTCTCGACTCTTGTTGGCAGCAATGTGAGAGAATGGTCCAACTGTGAAGGCAGAATGGCCATATCCACCATCAACCCAGATGAACTCACCTTTGTCAAGGTACAGGCAAGGCTTCTTCAGGATGTTGCTGCCTGAGGCCCAAACCTTTGAATCCTGAACACTGCCAGGCTGTCCAACAACTGATTCAACAATCTGCAGTGAGTGTGGCAGGATCACCAGCACTACATTGATGCTGTGGAAGCCTTTGTAGCAGAAGTGCTCTCAACTGAGCACTCCTGGCTTCCAGGCAAGAGGGATGTGTGTGCCATCCACCACAAGCCAGCCCTTACCCCACTCTTCAACCCCAGTTGTATTGCACACCCAGGCAGAAGCATGTTGTCTCTCTCCCTCTGAAGCAAACTGCATGACCTCATTGTTTAGCTCAAGGAGGCCAGTGACTGTGTGATTGGTGTATCCAACAATGCTCCCAACACTGCAGCCACATTGCAAAGCAGTGTCATGTTCACCACCTCCATTTCCAGAATGGCCAAGTCTGTACAGAGCCACTGAAAGAATCTCTTGCACTTTGTTGAGAGACATCACACCTGAGCTGCTGTAGTTCCACCAGAAAGCCTCTGTTTGCTGGAGTCGGATGGTGAGATTGTTGAATGCTTCAGGCGACATATGAACAAGTCCATGATACATCCTATGATTGCTTGATTTGTACCTGTTGAGAAGGTGGATAAGCTTATCAGCACAGCCAAGAGGAGTGTAACATGTGATTGTGTACCTTTGCTTGCATATGAAAGTGTACAAGCAGACAAGGTGTCATGAGAGCAGAATTGGGTCACCATCATTGTCCAAGTTGTTGATGTCAGTGCTGCAGGAGTGCTGCACTCTGTCAGTGTTTTGGATGACCTCTGCAGGTATAGAGAGCTCAAGAGTGTGGACAATGTCATTGAGAATTACTTGCTTGTCACTGTAGCACACCATGGCTGGAAGGAGGAAGGGAGTTGGAGAGGGAGCATGGAGAGGGGGGATGGAGAGGGGGGATGGCAGCAAGAGTGATGCTGAAAGGTTGCAGAGTGGAGTGGTGGTAGTAATGGAAGAGGTGTGAGAGTGAAAATTTTTGTTTAAATGCTTTTGAGCTCATTATGTGACTGTGCTGCACATCATTTTTATTCACCTCATACTTGCACTCTACAGAAAAACACTCAGAAATGACTTTGCATTGAGACTGGATGATAGTACATGTAATGCTACAAGACAGGAAGATTGAATGAAGAGTCCATGTTGTTGTTGTTGCTGGTGTTCTGATGAGCATCCTGTTCGACACTGGCCTGAGAAGCAAGGAGGCACACCATCTCCATCACCATTTCATGATCACACATGCAAACATGTTCATCATGCTCTTTCTCCTCCCTCTCACAATGCAGGTGCATCTCCTTGTGCTTGGTATGCTCAGCCTCCAGTATTTTCTCATGTCTGGTGCATTCCTGTTCAAGCTGCAGGTGGATCTGAAGGGTATCAATGGAAGAATGATAGAAAGCTTCAGCAAGTGTGTCACACTTGTGATCAAGGGCACCTTGCTTGTGCTTGGTGCTGGGAGAGAGCTGGGCTGAAGATTGAGAAGAGGTGGAATCAGAGACATCCAAACTGCCAGCAGTGGAGGAAGGTGGTTGAGCCTGCAAAGGTGGAGGTGAAGGTGTGTTAAAGATGTCATCATCACCAGTGCCAGCAAAGGATGCACCAGAAGTGGATGCAACAGCAGCCAGGGGGTTGGTGGGTTTGATCAAGTTGAGAATAGGAGGCAAACCATGGCTGTGAGTGCTGTGATTGTACAGCTCACTGCCACAAATATCCATGGGTATGTCAGCTGAGCCATTCAAAGGCATGTCAGGCTCATCATTGCTGGTGAAGTTGAGACTGGGAGTTGTGATAAGTGCTGCAGGATCAGCATTGAATTGGCCATTCATCATCTTGTGCATCCTTTCAAACCAAGCATACTTTGTTGACAGGGCAATGTGAGATATGTAGGACTGTTTAAAATTGAAAGTATGAATCAGCATCCAAGCATACTATTGCAAGCAAAGAAGATCACCAAAACTTACCAGGTTGGATGCATCCATGTCCTCCAGCAGTGTACCAGCTCCAGTGGGTGAAAGCTTCTTCTTCTCCCTGTAGTATGTCTCTAGCAGCCACCTCAGCTTGGACTTGATGTGATTGGGATCGACAGATGTGCCTGGGAAAATCATCTTGGAGATATCCCAAAAAATGGGATGTTTGTGAAGTTTGAGGGCTGGATCGCTCTCAGCCAATTCTTGAGATGGCAGCAGAGTGCACTGGTAGGAGTCATTGTTGTAGAGGATCATGACAAGGTGAAGAACATTGGCACCCAACCATGTCAAGTTCTTCTTGCCTGTGGCAGATCTAGAGGCTTGAGTTGGACAGGAAGTGTGGATGTCAGGAGCACTTGTAGAACCAGATTGAGACAGCACAGGCACACTTTTGGTCTGAGTTGCAGAGCTTGTAGGTGTAGTGGACTGGCATAACAACTCTGCAGAGATGTCACCAGAATCATCAGTGGAGGAGGTCATGTTGAATGAGCACAAGGAAGAGGGAGTGAGCAAAAGTGCAATGAGAGTGAGGAAAGGAGAGAAGATGTGGAGTGATAAAAAAAAAACTGTGTTTTTGCAAATGCGCCTCCTGAGCTGCATTTTTGAAAATGCGGTTTTTTTTTTTTTTTTTTTTCCCTTTGTGGAGCTTATGTAAGCTTTTGCGTTTTTTTGAAAAATGCACTCTTGAAAAAACCCGGGTTTTTAAAAATGCAAAAACTTTGATACCCCCTTTAGAATGGATGAAATTCGCTTGGCCGATGCTCAGCTGCGTTGATGAAACAAAGAGAGAGAGAGACGAGGCGGCGTTCGACCCGATCTATAAAGAAATCGAATTGGCTTCAATTGGATCGAGATTTGATCCGAGTTGAATAGGAAAAAAGGAAAAAAAGTCTCTGCTGCGCAATTGATTTTGCTTGTCCGGCTGGATCGGTGGAATCGGAGGGCGCATCTTGTTTCTTCTGCCTGAAAACACGAAAAAGGGAAAGTTGAAATCGGCCGATCAGGAGCGACTCTTTGGTGAGGAATTTAAAGGAGCGATGCGATGAAATTGTGCCCTCTTCTCACCTCACGCCTTTCTCTCCTGAAACAGAGGCAAATCGCAGAGACTCGAGAACAGCTCTTTCAACCCCCGCGATCGGGCGCACTTGTCTTGCTTGTTCCTCCGACTCCCTTGCTTCACTCGCTTCCTCCAACTAGCTTCCTCCAACTAGCTTCCTCCAACTAGCTTCCGAGCTACATGGCCTTTCCTATCACGCACTCATACCAGCTCAACTCAGCCCAAGTAGCGCTGCTGCCAAAAGCATCTCGTCATCCACCTTTCTGCATCTACGCAGAGATCCCCTTCGCTGCTGCACTCGAGTCGTCTTGAACAAAGAGACCATATCCTTTTCACGCAACCCTGCCTGCAGGCAACTACCACACTCCTTCCAAATACCCTGATCCAACATGTCTAGCGAGGCCCCTGCTGCTCCTATAGCTGCTCACTCGCTCGCTTCATCCGCTCCTCAGGCTCAATTCGGCTTTGACATTCTCCAAAAGAAGCCCGACGGCACCACTGCCCCCACCCTCGAGCAGCAGTCTACTCAGCCAGAAGCCAACACCGCCTCCGAACACACCACCTCCGAACATACCACCTCTGAGCACGCCACCTCTGAGCATGCCACCTCCGAGCAGGATGCTGCTGCCGTTGCTGCTGCTGCTGCTGACGCATCCAGTGCTGCTCAGACCATCACCGAGCTAGCCACCGCTGCTACCAACGCTGCCAACGGCCCTACTCACGCCTCCACTGCTGATGCGGCGGCCGACCAGTCCGAAGGTACTACCGGCGATGCTAAGCCCAACGCCGAAGGCCAGGCAGACGCACAACAACAGCAAGACAATGCCGACGCCTCCACCTCGGGTCTCCCACGCAAGGTCGAGTCCGAGCTCCGCGAAATCTACTCTGTCTCTTCTGCCATCGCCAACTTCTGCGTCGCTCACGTCAACCAAGTCAATGTCCCCACCCCACAAAAGGTGCGCAACATCATCCAGAAGGCTCTCAAGCTCACTTCTTCCCTCAGCATGCTTCTCGCCCAGCCCGAGGTTGCTCTTCGACAACTCGATGCCGACGAACATGGCAAGCGACCTGCCGAATCCAAGCTCGACTCGGCTCGCAAGCGTCAACGCTCTTTCGACTGGGATGACAACAAGTTCGGTGCTGGTGGCATGCCCATGGCTCCCTTCACTCCCAACTCTGGCATGCGTGTCTTTCCTGATGGTTCCTTGCCTACTTCCTTCCCCTCTCCTGGTATGGATGGAGACATCAAGGGTCCTCAGTACAAGAAGCGTAGTCGTGCCCCCGCTCCTGGCTCTTGCCAGGCTTGTGCCACCAGTGAAACCCCGGAATGGCGTAGAGGTCCCGATGGTGCACGAACCTTGTGCAACGCTTGTGGTCTCCACTATGCCAAGCTCGTGCGTAAGCGAATGCAGCAGGAAGGTGGAGAAGAGCCTTCGCCCAGTCAAGCTCCTCCTCAGATCAGCCTGGTTAGCTTGGAGGAGTTGAGGGCTAGCACCAAGAGTGCCGCTGATGCTGCTGCTGCCGCTTTGACTCCTTCCGCTTCCAGCAGTTCGCTCAATGCAACACCGATCAAGGTCAACATGAATGAGCCTTGGAACACGCCTAGCAAGCCTCCTCGTGTCCCCTCTTTGTTGGGTGCGGCTACTGTTCTTGCTCCTCAGTTGCAAGGACAGGCTGAGGTGAACAACAATCAGCAGCAGCCTCCTCCTTCTCCTCCTTCTCCTCCTCCTCCTGCGCCTGTCGGTGGAGAGCAACAGCAGACTGCTGGCATCCTTGAGCCTGCTCCTGCTCCTACGCCCGCTGGTTCTGCTCAGCATGCTCTCTCGGAGCCTGTCATTGCTCCTGAACTCACTGGAGAAACTGGTGGTCTGAATCAACATGCTCCTATGCAGACTGACCAGTAAACCAAAGTACACTCCCTCTTCTGGGCGGTCCTATCAAAGTGTTCAAAATGTCAAGTTGTCAAGTTGTCATGTGTCTAGTGTCTTGTGTCTTGTGTCTAGTGTCTAGTGTCTAGTGTCTTGTGTCTTGTGTCTTGTATCGATCCCTTCAATCCTTCCCCCCCATCTTTCTCTTTGCATTTTCGTCTTGTGTTGTAATGTCAATCTTGTTCTCTCGTCCATCGAGGTTGTGGAGGGTAGATCGGGAGATGGTAACTTGATATTTTCAGCACCTCAAATTTCATCCCGAGGTGGAATGGACATGATCCCTGGTTTTGTAGTACTCCATGTTGCAACAAGTCGTATTGGGAGAGTGTGCATCATTGCTGGAGGTGCTTGAGATCTTTGAAATAGCTTCTCTTGCGTCGAGTATAAGAAGCTTACTCTATACCACCTTACTTTCGAATGTATCCAAGCAGAGCGGAGTCGTGTGACACTGCAGAGTAAATGTAAGACATATATCGGTGGCGAGTGGTGTTGCGATTTTAATCTACCTCGCATAATAAGATCAATATCAGCTTGTGTTACAACTAATCGCAGACCAACGCCGATGTATGGGGGGGGGGGGGGGGGGGGGGTCTTTCACTGGTTGACAATAATATTCTGGCTCTGATGATGCGCGAGTTACAAAGGCTTTGGTGGATTGAAACGGTGAGAGATGGGCTTAAGTTGTTTGAGAGAATAGGTTGGTGATGGGGTGGCAAAATAAAATGTTTACGGAAGGCGATGTTCCGTATAAGTTTATGCGATTTTTTTATAGGCGCACTGTTGGACTCGAGCGAAAAAGCGTTGGCATTTTGGTTTCCTGCAAAAGCGCAAAATAGGCAAGCCAAGCGTTTTAGCCTGCTGATCATGCTCACTAGTCCCTCTCGCTTAGATTGCTCTTGGTCTCTCTGTCTATACCTGCAGCTTGGTGCAAGTGTTGGTCGAGCAAATCTGTGGGTACAAGTGCAATGCTATTAGCGTGGCTTCTTCTGGTTGTGCATGGTGTTGCATCCGACGGCAAATTTTCATTGTCCGTAGTCAGCTGGCTGAGTTGGTGAGAGAAAAGAACAATCAGGTAGTCAAGTTGAGCTCGGAACACCTTCTATTTCAAGCAAGTCCAACCTCTTTGTTGCCTTGGCGCCGCAATCCAAGCACCGGCAATCCTTCCTCCGATCATGCAAACCATTGCCAGAGAAGCTCGGCAAAACAATGGAAGCTGCTTTGCACACGCTTACAGATTACAGCCAGATTGCACACCCGTGACAAAAACCGAGGACCAGCTGAGTTCAACAACAAAGATTGACAAGCAAGGCAAGGAACGAATGGCAAAGACAATTATCGAAGAACTTGGGGAAAGCTGAGGCTTAACAGCTGCAATGAACAGGACGAATGAGGTCACGACATCTTTGGATGAACTCGGTTCTCTTCTCATCTGAGTTTATCTATTGCTGTGATGGCGTGAGTGAGTATAGAGATTATGTGGATGTGAGAGCAAGTTTGTGTAGGGGAGCGTCCGAAAGGTCTCACCCGCAAACGATGCGAATAGATGTCGGTCACCATTGTCGTTTGTATTGAGCTGGTTGGTAAGAAGAGCGTTGCAGCCTCGCTTAGGCAGGTTCAGTGGACCCTGGACTCAGATGAGAAGGAGGAGAGAAGAAACTACCAGGCGAGAGGAACATGGTGTTTACCGAGCCACAAAGCGAGACGCTTTGCGGAAGAATCTGGTTAAACGATGGCAGGAAATCGGCAAAGAGAGCGCCTGGTGTATACCATCTCCGAGAGGACCGAGGCATTCGCAGATACCTTTGCATAGTAGCGCAGTCTAGCAGCATCACAGAGACTCATCCATGGCAAGACGCTGCTGCTTCATCCGCCTGGGCTGTGGTTGGGCTCCTGTCTCAGTCGCAATCGTCGTTGCATGATGTGTACCACTGGCAATCAACGGCATAGTTCAGCATCCGAGACACCATGTTGCTACCATGCTCACAAGGGCGCCTAGCAGGCGTTTGGCCACCACTGAAAGATATAAGAAGAACATCGTCATGGCTGGTATCGTCAACTTGCTCTTATCATCTCATCTTCGAACCACTTCCTTCTTCTGGTACACCTCTTCAGCTCTCCACCCAAACCTTTCTCTCCCCTCTTGAATATAGACAAGATGCAGTTCAGGACGATTGCTATGTTTGTCGGCACTGCCATTGCCATCGCCGCCCCTGCTGCCATCGCTGCTCCTTCTCAGCGTGCTTGTGGTAACCACGAGACTGCTCCCGCTGCTATCGAGCAGGCTCTTGGCCTCAAGGTCGCTGCTCTTCGCAGTGCCGAGCAGGCCGAGAAGCAGTCCAGCTCGGACAGCAACCGGGCCAGCTCTAATGCCGCCTTCACCTCGGTCAGCATTCCTGTTTACTGGCACGTCATCACTGACGGTACCAACGGTAAGCTGACTTCTTCCCAGATCAGCTCTTCGATCCAGGCTCTTAACTCTGGTTACTCTGCCACCGGTCTTTCTTTCTACCTCGCTGGCAGCGAGACTACAACCAACTCCAACTGGTTCAACAACGTGAACCAAGGTACCTCCGCTGAGGCTACAATGAAGAACACCCTCCGAAAGGGTGGTGCCAACGCTCTCAACATCTACACTGTCAACTTTGCTGGTGGTTTGCTCGGCTATGCCACCTTCCCTTGGAACTACAACTCTGCTCCCAAGAACGATGGTATCGCCCTTCAGTGGACTTCTTACCCCGGTGGGCCGATCAGGAACTACAACCAGGGTAAGACCCTTGTGCACGAGGTCGGCCACTGGGCTGGTCTCTACCACGTCTTCCAGGGTGGCTGCTCTGGCCAGGGTGACTACGTCGATGACACCCCTCCCCAGTCGACTGCTACCAATGGATGCCCCACTAACCAGGACTCCTGCTCTGGTGGCGGCTTAGATAGCGTCACAAACTTCATGGACTACTCCTACGACCGCTGCATGGTCAAGTTCAGCTCTGTAAGTGATCAAAAAGTCGATACATATAGTGGCAAGATGGTGTTGGATAGCAAAGACTGATGTTTTCATTGCGACATGTCAAAACTTGGCTCGTCTAACTTTATGTTTGTCTTATCGCAATCTAACAGGGTCAAATTGCTCGCTTGGCCGCCGCCATGGACGCTTACCGTCTCTAAGAGATGGTACATACAAAAGAAGCAAGCTAGCTGATAAACTATCCCGCAGGCCGGAGTACTAGATGTCATGCTCATTGTATAGCCTTGTCTTCCACATTACGACCCTTTCGCCTTCTTGCTGAGCCTACAACAAGACCCACTGCAACTGTTTTTGGTCCTTCTCGCATCTTAATTCTTGTCATGCAATGCAAATGGAATTCCTCGTTATCTCAATCTTTGGTGTGTTGAGTTGTCGTGCAGACTGATAATGAGCTGTTGCATCGGTGGACTCACATTCACTCCGGACAGGATGCTCTCCTGACCGAGTGGCTTGGCACGAGCGCTACAGAAGCATCGAATACAAGTCGAGGCGTGAAGCCGAGAGACTGCGCCTCAACCAGTTCGACGCTTCCCTGCTAGAACGGAAGCAGGAGCGACGCGTAGTGATCAGTCAACAGGATGCCGATGCAGTCGAGATCAGTGTTGTTGGCAGGGTCGTAGCTGCTCTCGCTTGTTACTGATCCTGGTGTGGTGAGGCCGCTGACTGCGTCAGTAACGTACTGAAGTTCCAGCCCCTCTGGCGACGGTGGTTGAATGCTGTTGTCGGCGGCTGCGCTCCTGACATTCTCGCTCGCGGTGCAAGAATATGTTTGCCAGACGATCCTTGCCAGCAGCATCATCAGCACCCTGCCGGCTGCCATCGTCGCTACGAGCTTCGTGACGTAGAACTTCACGCTGCAGCTCGAGGAAGGCGCGATTGTCAAGCCCTTGCTCGTCAAGACCCATGGCGCCGGTCAGAGAGAGTGAGGGTATGGTTTTAGCAGTAGCGGTTGCTGCATCATCAGCGTCGAGCTCCTGTGTGTCAGGCCGGGGTTACTTCTGTCAAAACATGTCAGTGATGTCGTGACAATGGCCACTTGTTCAAGAACCCGAATGTTGCTCAACAAATGTCGGGTTGGAGCTCATCGTTGACACTTGCCAAAAACGTGGCTTGTTTGTCGACCACCAAGCGGCAAGTGCTGACAACTTCCAAGCAGCTCGTCCCTCGTTCCGCATTGCAACGGAGGCTTGAATCAGCACGAACGGTCCTCGTCAATTGCCGCTACAGGACACTCGACAAGACCGCGTTACCGTTCCGCTGTCCGACGGAGGACGAAGCTAGGAGTCCTGTAAGCCGGACTCACGAGGCCCAACAACTTCAAGACGGATCTCAGAGACCAACGTCTTGCGCGCTCCGCGCTCCGCAATCTGACAGAGCTCTGCCAAGGCTGACCGGACGTCTCTTCGACTTTACGAACAGCTTTAACTCTTGCGCTTGTTCAGATGGATCGTGCTTCTGACCGAACTTATCCAATCTTGTCTGCCAAGTAGACCATCTCGCACTTTCTTTAACTGTCAAGTCCAACAAACTTGCCCTTCCCGCATGTGCTCGATGACACCAGTTCACAACCGAATCGACGTTGGTTCGCCAGAATCTCCATGACAGGGCTCCAAGAGACAGACAGCTTATACAGTCTAAAGCACGGTTGCTTCGGTCAAAAGGACTCGATTCGAGACTTGCATGTATGGCATATTGAGACTTAGTGGTGGGCGGAATGGTCGAGCTCGAATCGGATACCACTGTTTGCAGGAAGAGAATCGGCAATGGAAGGACAAGAGGTCAGTGATGATCGACAGAGATAGGATAGGAGGATTGATGTAAGTACGGTTGCTACTCACCAGTATGGGCAGGGCTTAGCTCCTGGCTTGTCGAGGTTGATGAAGACCCTAGGGTGTCCAAGAGGTCCTCCATCACCATCGCATGCTGCAATACGCTTGCTGGAGAGACGGATGGGCTCTCTCTGGATCATCTCGATGGCAGCAAGTGGTTGGGGCTGGAAACGCATGTCGAGCTGCTCGAAACGAGGGCCTTTCATCGCGTTCTGGCGAGGGTTTTGAGACTCTGACCATGTTGTTGGGAAGTTGGGCGACTGTTCAGCAGGGACATGGGCTGGTGTATGGGGCTGAGCGACAGGTCGAACAGGCTTGGGCTGAGGCACGGTGGGTGAGTTGGACAAAGTGGGAGCGTTGGCTGGTCGCTGGAAGAAGCCGTTAGCCGCACGAGCGACTGCTGATGTGGAGAGAGCACGGCGAGTGGCCGAGGCCGAGCTAGAAGCCTGACGAGCGGCGAACATGTTGATCGGTGTGTGCCTTCTGAGTGTGGGGGGGTAGTGTGGTAGTCGATGGAGGAGGAGCAGTAGGAGATATTGTCGAAATTGGGTTTAGGATTCGGCTCCGTGGGAGGCAGCTCCAACTGCAACGCTTCTCTCGTGCGAGTCAGCAAAGACCTAACATCACATTGGGGTTCCTGTTGTCAGCGCGGCTCTCCGACGATTTGCTTCACTGGGTTGAGAAGGGTTAGTTGAAGTAGATAAGGCTACACAAAGCGTAGAGACAGTGAGGGTAGCGCTTACGGCCGAGTAAAAGGCCTGAGCATCTGAGCACGGACCACATGTGTCACAACCTACTCAAGACAAAATGCTTTGTTATGTTCCGCAGTTAATGCGGCTCTCTGCCACTCTTCTTTTGTATATATATAGACTCCTCGCTCTCTCGCTCTCTCTCTCTCTCCCACTATCATCATCAACAAGACGCCTCAACTCCAACCACTGACGAATGACTTCAACTGATTAAGAGTCTGAGACTCAACGCAATGCCGCCATCGACAAGAGCTGGACAGACGGGAAGGGGCGATGATGATCAAACAACCACAGGCAATGGACAGGAGGAAGGATGGCTCACGCAGGTAGTCAGGATCCTCCAGCTGGCGAACCCAGCACTAACGGCCGAGGAAGCAATCGTACGAGCTATGGGTCTCATCAGCATTAGCAACCAGACCCCGCGCAGGGAAACCGAGAAGATCCCCAAGGAGGTGTCGAGCACCATTGCGCACATCAAGAAGCTCAGCGACAGCAACTGGCACACTTGGGAACCTACCTTCATCGACTGCCTCCAAAGAGTACATAATGCGAAGGAGATACTGTATGGCACGGTAGCGCCTGGAAATGAGGAATACGATGAAGACTTGGATAAAGCCCTCGTGGGCCTCATCCACGCCTGCTGTGACAACAGTCCAGACAGCCATATCGACACCTACACCATCAGGGGAGTGGATGAAGAAGTCCAGCTCGGTAGCACACTCTATGCCAAACTCAAGAAGGCACTAACATTGAACGACGCTGTAAAGCGAGCAGGACTGCAGGATCGTATTCACACAGTGCGCTTGCACAATCGAGACGTTGTCAGGCTAGGCAAGGAACTCGATTCAATCTGGAACGATGCGGCACGCCTGGGAAAGCGTTTCGACGAGGACCTCAAGAAATCAACTCTCTATCGCTGCACGGCCCAAGATTGGTTCTATGCCAACGCCGTCGACGCACTGAAAACGGCCAGACCAGACTGTAAATATGACGAAGCCTACCACGCACTCGCCAAGAAACAGCAGGATGGTGAGGTCACCGGCCGTATTAGAGGAGCAGCAAGGGTTGCCACAAGCACGGACCAGGCAGAGCAAGGACCCAGAGGCAGGCGCGATCCTCGCAACCCCTCGGCCCCTCCAAAGTGCTACGCTTGTGGAGGACCTAATCACATTGCTCGAAACTGCACGAACACCAACAATAACCCCGCACCTAGTAGAGACGGACCCACCCCCAATCCGGCACAAGAAGCGAGTCGATAGGAACTCGGGTGCACCCTCCTAGCGATCGGCGGGAATGAGCAACCAACATCGGACACCTGGATCGTCGATTCGGGTGCAACGCACCACATGGTAAACGATGAAAGAATGCTGCTCACCTCGATGCACAAGGACGGTCAGATCTGTACAGCTGGAAATGAAAGGCTTCAAGTGAAGGCCATAGGAGACGCCTCCCTTCGGGTTGGCGATGTAACCATTCAACTATTGGATGTGCTCTATGTGCCGAAACTTAATTCTAATCTATTATCAGTACAAGGCTTGATCGAGAATGGTGCACGGGTAACTTTTGATGAGTTTGGAACCATCATTAAGCAAAATGACGGTACACGAATACAATACAAGAGGAACAGAAGAAAAGGGCGGTTCGAAGTACAGGGAAAGGCACTAGCCCTGGAGTTGGAAGAGACACTTGACGACGTCCCAGAGGACAACCAGAACACAGGAAAACTAGATAATGCCCCAGAGGGCAATAAGGACACAAAGCATCAAGACAGCTACCTATGGCATGAGAGGTTCGGACACCCAGGACGAGACAAAACGAGACAAATCCGGGCTCATTACCTAGGTACCGACAAGGAAATGGAACATGAGTCAAAGCACTGTAACGCGTGCAGCCAAGGAAAACAGACTCGAGCACAGATGAGCCAATCAGAGTCGGAAAGAATGGAGGCACCATTAGAGCTGGTACACGTAGACCTGATGACAGATTTCAAAGGACATGCCAACTACCACTATGCACTAGTTGCTGTGGACGACTTCTCCTCCCTGATCTACGTGGAACCACTCTGCACAAAGAGTGCTGCACTCACGGCGCTGAGGAGGTGGATAGCCAGGATGGAACGGGCAACGGGCAGGAAACTCAAAACACTCTGCAGCGACAATGGAGGAGAATGGTGCAGCATAACAGCCGAAGACTGGCAAACTCAAGAGGGTTTCAAGTGGCAAAAGAGCATCCCAGGGATCAGTGTCCAAAATGGATGGGCGGAGAGAGCAATCAGGTCGGTCCAAGAAAAGATGCGCTCGATGCTGATTGGTCGAGCTTGCCCCAGAGAGTTGTGGCCGTATGCAATCACAGCAGCAGCACACGTGATGAACCTTACCCCATCAGCCACCAAAACCATTCCCCACGAAGCCTTTTATGGAACCACCGCACACAAGCTGGCCCAGCAGCTGCAAGTCTTCGGATGCTTGGCATGGGTTCATGTTCAACAGAAGGACCAGCAAGGCAAGTACGGGGCTAGAGCAAAGCCAGCCATCATGATTGGGTATGACGACGAACACAAAGCATGGAAGTTTTGCAACCCGGACCAGCTGGCGTCAATCCAATGGAGCAACTCAGCAACATTCCATGAGGATAAAGGATGGAGTGATCGCCAACAAGAGGCAGTCAGGCCCATGGTGACCGCAGAGGTCGAGGAGGAGGGTGTTACGCCAGCCATAGTGGAGGAGGAGACCAAATCAGAGGCCGCAGTGGAGGATCTCCTACCAGCCGAAGACAGCACAGTAGGCGCCGCCAACACAGCAATACTGAACCTGGACCCAACGCTTGGGGAAGCAATGGACGGTGAGGACGCCCAGCTCTGGAAGGAGGCAATACGAAAGGAGCTAGAAGGACTCGAGGCAATGGGGACTTGGGAGGTGGTGCACCAACCGCCAGGAGTACCACTTGTGGACTCTAAGGTTGTGCTTCGGCTGAAGCTTGACACTGATGGTGTACCTGTTAAGCACAAGGCGCAACTGGTTGCAAGGGGCTTCACACAGAGAGAGGGGATCGACTACCAAGAAACCTTCTCTCCAGTAGCACCCCTCGGAGCAATCAGAGCCATCTTAGCACTAGCGGTGCAGAACAACTGGGAGGTACATGCTCTGGACATCACTATGGCTTACTTGAACTCCACGTTAAAGGAAGCAATCTACATGAAGCCACCAGAAAGATCAGGAGTAGCACCCGGCAAGGTGTACAAGGTAATCAAGGGTCTATACGGCCTAAAGCAGTCTGGACGAGAATGGAATCAGGAGTTCGACAGGTCTTTGCGACACATGGGATTCTTCCAGGTAGAGTGCGCTCCCTGTATCTACACCAAGGGACAGGGTGAAGATATGGCAATTGTGGTCATCTACGTCGATGATACATTAGTCATAGCACCACGGCTGGAAACAGTCCTAAAGGTTAAGGAGCAGATTGGCCAGAGATGGAAGATGGAAGATAGCGGTGAGGTCTCTCACTTCCTGGGCATCAAAATCAGTCGAGACCATGCGATGCGCACCATGACGATTGGTCAGTCAGGGTACATTGACCAAGTGCTGGCAAAGCACCTGGACAAACGTACAAAGCCGACCATGGTTCCAATGCAGAGCATACCGGAGGGAACCCTTGTCGCAAGCACAGCACAACAGAAGGAGTATCCGGTGATTGTTGGCAAGCTGCTCTGGGTTGCCAACAGCACCCGGCCCAACCTTAGCCTTACCGTGGGTGTTCTCGCTAGGCACATGTGTGAACCATCACAGGAGCATTACCAGGCAGCACAAAGGGTCTTACGCTACCTCGAAAGCACAAGGCAGGTTGGATTGGTTTATAGGGCAAGTGAGTCGCAAGAGCCACTAGTCGTGCACAGCGATGCAAACTGGGCGAGCGATGCCACCATACAGAGAAGGAGTACATCGGGGTCAGTGGCGTTAGTGTATGGGAATCCAGTAGCCTGGAAGTCAGTGACACAAAAATGCGTGTCATTGTCCGCTGTCGAGGCAGAGTTCATTGCAGCCACGGAAGCAACATGTGAGGTGCTCTTCCTCAAGCAGCTGCTATGCTCAATTGGCATCGCCACAGGCACACCGATGGTCTACTCGGACAACACTGGTTGCATACAGGTTAGTAAGGACCCAGCACAGCACTGGAAGCTTAAACACATCGACACCAAGTATTACTTCGTCTGTAACAACGTTCAAGAGGGAAGGGTGCAGATCAAGTACGTAGACACCACGAGAAACTTGGCAGACGTACTCACAAAGCCCATTGGGAGACAGGCAATGCAGCAAGCAAGATCTGGGCTACACCTGCGAATACCGGCATCAGTGTACGAAATGGGGTCCCCGAGCTATGCGACAGTGTTGAAGAACGGAGGTCACACCTTGAAACAACAGCATAATGAACAGGGTACATATGCTGTTGAGGGGGGGAGTTGAAGTAGATAAGGCTACACAAAGCGTAGAGACAGTGAGGGTAGCGCTTACGGCCAAGTAAAAGGCCTGAGCATCTGAGCACGGACCACATGTGTCACAACCTACTCAAGACAAAATGCTTTGTTATGTTCCGCAGTTAATGCGGCTCTCTGCCGCTCTTCTTTTGTATATATATAGACTCCTCGCTCTCTCGCTCTCTCTCTCTCTCCCACTATCATCATCAACAAGACGCCTCAACTCCAACCACTGACGAATGACTTCAACTGGGTTTGCTTGGCTGAACCTCCGCATTCAGGCGATTAAATCATCGACTTGAGTTCGAGAAGGTCGTCGTGGCAAGTTTTGTCCATAGTTTGTTCGAGAATGACGGCCTAACAGTCCAGTGATTTTGCCACACCTTTTTTTTTATCGTGCGACTTGCTCCGAATTGGACACGCACTGCTCAGCAAAAGCAGGCGCAGTGGGAGATTTTTGAGCTTCTCCTCTCCACACCAGTTTGCCACTGTTCTTGCATCATTACCACAACGATCACAAAAGCCAATACCCACAATGGCATCCTCACTACGATCGTCAACGCCTTCAAGTCTTGCGCTTCGAGCGCTCACAAGACATGATGCTGGTCACGCTCGCAGCATCAGCACCAAGTTTACCCCAACCGCAGCAGCAGCATCGTCATCGGCCTTGTCTACACCACGAGTGCACGCCCGCGGCTATGCATCTCCGTCGTCTCCAGCTGCCATGGCCACACCAGTCGAGGTCGCTCAACCTGATGTGCGTGCCGGCGTCGGCAGCAAGATGGGTTCCGGCAAGAATTTGCTCAACGACATCATCGCCGCTTCCCCCAAGCATTCGACAACTAACCGACCTATCTACCTCGATGCTCAGTCCACGACACCGGTCGACCCTCGTGTGGTCGACAAAATGATGCCCTACATGACTAACCAGTACGGTAATCCGCATTCCAGGACACACGCTTATGGTTGGGAGTCCGAGAAGGGCGTAGAGGAGGGACGAGAGCACATTGCCAGCCTCATCGGTGCCGACCCCAAGGAGATCATCTTCACTTCGGGCGCCACCGAGTCGAACAACATGGCTATCAAGGGTGTCGCCCACTTCTACAAGTCCAAGAAGAACCACATTATCACCACTCAGACTGAGCACAAGTGTGTACTTGACTCATGCCGTCGTCTTCAGGAGGAAGGATTCGAGGTAACATATTTGCCTGTCCAGTCCAATGGTTTGATCGATCTCAAGCAGCTCGAGCAGGCACTTCGACCCACAACCGCACTCGTCTCAATCATGACGGTCAACAACGAGATCGGTGTCATCCAGCCCATCAAGGAGATCGGTCATTTGCTCAAGACCAAGGGTGCCCAGCTCGCCAAACAGAGCGGCCGTGGCGCATCCAAGCCTTTCTTCCACACCGATGCCGCACAGGCAGCCGGTAAGATTCCTCTCGACGTCAACGAGCTTGGTGTCGATCTCATGAGTTTGTCGAGTCACAAGCTGTACGGTCCCATGGGTATCGGTGCCTGCTACATCCGACGACGTCCACGTGTCCGTCTCGAGCCCATCATCAACGGTGGTGGGCAGGAGCGTGGTCTTAGATCAGGTACTCTGGCACCTCAGCTCATCGCTGGATTCGGTGAGGCAGCTCGTCTTGCCAACCAGGAGCTCGCTTACGATCATGCACACATTAAGAAGCTCTCGGAGCGATTGCGAAACACGCTCGAGGCCAACATCACCCACGTCCTCTTCAACGGTGACCAGAGCGGATACCCGGGTTGCTTGAACTTGACCTTCCAGTACGTTGAGGGCGAGTCGTTGCTTATGGCTCTTAAGGACATCTGCTTGTCGTCTGGTTCCGCATGCACATCGGCATCGCTCGAGCCTTCGTACGTGCTTCGTGCGCTTGGATTGGATGACGAGAACGCACACTCGTCGCTTCGATTCGGTATCGGCAGGTTCACCACGGAGGAGGAGGTCGACTACGTTGCCGACAAGATCATCAAGGTTGTCAACAAGTTGCGTGACATGAGTCCACTGTGGGAGATGGTTCAAGAGGGGATTGACCTCAAGACCATCGAATGGTCCGGATAAGCGCATTTCTATGGCTCCAAGTGTACAGTACAGTATAGTCTGGCTTAGCTTTCCTTTGCAGATTGTCTCAATGCGGATTCAGGTTTCTCATGACTGTTTCATGGTTGACTCAAGTGTCCGTGTCCGTGTCGAGTAAGAGGTCGAGTTCGGCGTGCAGCAATGTTAGGATCCAGGAGGTTAGTCAGGTAAGGATATCGGGATCTCGAAACTATCGCCGATTGACGATTGCCGATTGCCGATTGCCGATCGGTGACAATCCGGGTTTGAGAACGATTTGCTTCCCTCCAACTCCGGAGGGCTCAAATACCCACGGCAGTTTCTGTGCACGGTGTCACAGCGATTTGAATTGTCGCCTTACTCAGATGTCACCCTTCTACCGCCATTGTAAAAGTGAGAATGTGAAGAAGTTTTGTCCCGATATCTGGCGATCGGGGAGAGTCTGAGTACGATGTCACTGCTGTTTTAGACAGAAACATATATACTCAATTGACTGAAGAACGTGTTGTTTCTTGATACAGTATATATACAAAGTGTCGGCGTACGACAAAGGTGGGAGCATTTCACTTAATGACGATGTGTGTCAACGAGCGGGACTAAGTTGTATCCGATCTCTTTGGTGTTCGCTTACGTCAACTCGCATCATCATATTGGATCGTTTCCCTCAGCAATTCCATCCTCGCGCGGGCTGGTGAGCTCATGCTTAGTAATTGCACACCCTCGTCACGTGGATAATTTCTCTATTAATTGCTCAGTCCGAAAACCGAGTTGGTCGTTGACAAAGTCGTTGCGTCCGAACCACCACCATCTCCACTTCTTCGATGAACTCGTAGGTAAGTAACTTAAACCTCTTTGATGCCACCCTTCTACCGCCAAGATAAATCCTTCCTAGGCCACGCTGGATCTGCAGTCAGAGAAAGAATTGTCCTAAGCTCTCTTTCTGTTGTTCTTCAAGGCAGTCAGTCCACCAAGTCTCAACGCTGACAATCCCTCCCACCACCATCATCGTCATCACAGTCCCACCACGCCTCCTATTCCCGTACATCTGCTTCTCGATAGACTTTGCCCAGCTTCATCCACGTCGTCTTTACTCTGCACAGCAACTTGCTCCGTCATCTCTCCCTACACCTCGGTCATTCGACATTGCAACATCTGACTTGTTTGTCATCTTTCTATCCTTCCGATACTGCTCCAACTCGGCGTGGCCAAATCTCATCTTGATCGCTGGCGAACAAGACTTTGGGCTCAACCACTAGCTGCTACATCGACGCATCGAACAGTTCCAACTCTTTGTTCCTAGCAACAACCGAGGATTGGCGTCGCCTATCACATGTTCCGTCTCTCTCGTTGAGAGAGTAGCTATACTCTGCTTTCCACATCATCGGTCGACGTCAGACCTAGCCTGACTCTTTCCTTTCCATCAGCATGTCGGATCCACACGACTATAACGTCTCATCGTCGTCAACAGCAGGCTCTTCCACACTTCCAACCGGCTCTTACGAGCGTCATTCGGACCAGAGACAACACAGCCAACGACCAACGGATCCAGAGATTCGAGTGCAAGATACCGATGCAGACGACACCTTGAACAGCTCCGAGGACGCGCCATCGACTCACCCTACCGCCGAGGCTCCTGCCCCTTCCACATCCACCATTGCATCGCGTCGTGCTGGACGAGTCCATTGGGATGGCACTTCCAACGCTGCCAGCTTACGTCGAGGCGGTCAGCTTCAGATTCGCACAGGCGGTGCTTTGGCAGGCCCGACCGTCACCGTTCGAGGAGGCGCTCCTGCAAAGCCAGATAGCGGCAACGCTCTTAGCCTTGGTTCAGTGCGCCGTAATCACCACCCAGGGCCACTCAACATCGCTGAGCGCCTCACACCCAAGAACGAGAACCAGCCACCCTCACCCCCGCCTGAGGTTCAAGAGCTCGCCGCTGATAATGCCACAACCGCTGCAGCAGCACAGATCCCTTCCCTCTCCTTAACCGGAGCCAAGGGTCTCGACGAGCAAGGCCTTGATAACCGCGCCTTCCTCGAACTACAGCGTGAACTGCAACGTCACGAAGCTAGAAGCGACGATAGTAGCTGGCAGGGTGTTAATGATGCTGCTGGCCGAGATCGCCTCGCTGACATCTTTATGGATCGCGAGCGAGACCGTCAGCAGCGCAGGCGACGACAGCAGCGAGCAGCAGGCCTCGCAACAGGCGCAGAAACGCCTGCCACCAAAGTTGATGGCAGTGGTCTAAGTACGCCGGGCTCCGCGACGAGCGAGAGCAGCTACGACCCTGCCAACGACTCTGATCTCGACTATCTTGACCTTGTACCGGGCGAGACCGACGGCATGCCTTCTCGTATCAGGAAGTCGAAGCGCAAACAACAACAACAACAACAACAACAACAACAACAGCAGCAGCAAGAAGAAAATGCCGAGGCTCAATCCAAGGGCTGGGCCAAGCTTCGTGGCATCTTTGGCAAGCCGCCCGTCGACGAAGAGGACAAGGAGGAGAAGGGCGAAATCAAGCAGGATGTTGTCGAACCCCAGGATGGTCGATCACACGACCAAGGTGGACCCACCAACTGGAAGTCTGTCCCAGTCGAGACCTCAAGTGGTCTTCATACCGGAGAAGGTCCTCGCCGCAGACCCACCCAGTTTGAACGTGAAGCAGCACGACTCGTCAAACAGCACAAGCTCGCCCAGCAGCGCCAAGAGGCACTAGAACGCATCAGCCGCTCGCACATGCCAGACACTGGTGCTTCCACTCCTGATCCCATGGAGACCACCATGAACCTCGATGCTCGACCTGTCGCTTCAGGTGGTGTTCTCGGCAACCTTCTGCGTCTCTATGAACAGCAACAGCGTGATCTCTCCTCCAAGAGCGCCGCCACCAGTTCCATCGCCAGTACCACCGAGCTCGAGATGAACACCGACAGCATGCTGCTTGTTCGCACTCCCGAGGCTGTCCGCGCTAAGCTCGATTCGCCCGGCTTCCAAAAGAAGATGGAGCGATACGAGAAGCGTCGTGGCATGTCTTTGCAGTCGATCAGCTTGCCCAGCCCCAAGCTCACCCAAACATTCGCCAAAGTCGGTAACGCTACCTTCAACGCATCTACCAAGGTAGTGCGAGGTGTAGCCAACGAGACTGGTATCGAGGGTGCTCTCGATGAGCGACCCAAGGCAGCAAGGAGTGGTGCAGGTGTCTTTGGTGCCCTGGTCGCAACGACAGGCAACCTTGTCGGTGCCGTCTCACCACAGCATGCTCAGCTTGGTCCTAACCCGAAGCGACCTGGCTTCTCCCTCGATCGATACTTGCTTCCCGAGATGAACGCAAAGACACTCAAGCGTACTGCTCAGATTGTTGCAGATGCAGCTCCAGCACCCTATCGTCCAAGCAACGTCGCTTCGCCCTTGGCATCCCGATCTCACTCCCTTCCAACCAGTCCGGATGCCGGTGAACGTGACAGCTCGACGCAAGCCAACTCGCCAACTGCTTCTGGTTATGCCACGCCACACAAGAAGAGACCAAGCTCCATCATTCATTTCCCTTCGCGCACCATAACCGGTGGCAGCTCTACCGATGGCCAAGCTGGTCCTCGTAAGCGTCATCTCTTGCCAGGCGCCATGACTCGAGCCTGGACCCACTCGAACCTCAACACTCCCGATGTCAACTCTGCACTCGGACCTGATTACTTTGGTCCCGAAGCCGAGAAGATGCATTCCGAGTATCACAAGCAGGAGTGGCAGCGCAAACTCAAGAAGCGCGCCAAAGACAAGAAGCGCAAGGAAGAAATCTTTATCACGATGCACGTCGCAGCCATCTTGCAACGTCAACAGTTCATCTTGAAGCTTGCCCGTGCACTCATGATGTTCGGTGCTCCGACACATCGTATCGAGACACAGATCCAGCAGACAGGTCGAGTGCTCGAGATCAACTGTCGTTGCATCTACCTTCCCAACTTGATGCTGATCGCTTTCGGCGATGACGCTACCCATACTTCAGAGACTAAGTTCATCAAGCAGACCTCGGCGCTCGACTTGACCAAGCTGACCGACATGCACATGATCTACTGGAATGTCATTCATGACAAGATCGGTGTCGAAGAAGCGTCCAACCAGCTGGACGAGCTGATGCGACGCAAACCGCTGATCGGACGATGGCCCATGGTTTTGGTCGGTGGCTTTGCCTCTGCTTTCATCTGCGTCGGTCCACAGGGTTTCAACGGGTCCTTTATCGATGCGCTCATGGCCTTCCCGCTCGGTGCTTTCTTGGTATACTGTCAGTCGATCATCACTACTGAGCTGTACAGCAACGTCTTTGAGATCGTCTTTGCCACACTCAACTCATTTGTAGCCGCAGCCGTTCAGAGCTCGGGCTACTTCTGCTACTCTTCCGTCGTCTCTGGATCGATCGTGCTCATTCTACCCGGTTTCATCGTCTTGAGCGGTTCGCTGGAGCTGCAGTCGAAGAACTTGATAGCGGGTTCGGTGCGGCTGGTCTACGCAATCATCTACTCGCTCTTCCTCGGCTTTGGTATTTCGATTGGTGTCTCCTTCTGGCAGCTCTTCTCCGGCAACATCTCGACAGAAGCATTCAACAGCTGCGGCGCACGGCATGTGGCAGACAGGTGGTGGCAATCTGACGTACCCGAGATCTGGGCCATCCTTACAGCTCCTGCATACTCGGTCTGTCTTGCACTCCGCAATCAGGCCAAGGTCACACGTAAGGAATTCCCAGTCATGGTCCTCATTGCTTGCGGTGGTTGGGCATGCAACCACTTTGCCGCGAAAGCCACTGCACTGTCAAGGAGACAAGATGTCACCGCAGCTCTCGGATCGCTGGCAGTTGGTATCATGGCGAACCTCTACGGTCGATTCTTTGATGGTAGAAGCTTCGTCGTCTCCGTTCCTGGTATATTGTATCAGCTGCCCAGTGGTCTTTCGAATGGTGGTGGATTGTTGAACTTTGCTAGCAGCCAAGACTCGAGTGCAGCGTTCGCATCTGGATTCCAGGTGGCGCAGTCGTTGGTTGAGGTAGCGTTGGGCTTGACGGTGGGTCTGTTCGCAAGCACCGTGCTGTCGTACTTGCTGGGCGGTAGGAAGGTCAGGAACGGTGGAGGACTGTTCAGTTTCTAAGGAAGCTGGCCGTGGAAGCCCACAACACACTCAAGAACCGTCTCTATATTTGCTCCAATTGTTCTCTCGTTTGCACGTCTATACATAATTTATCAGCACAGCATCTCTCTCTCTCTCTCTCTCTCTCTCTCTCATTCACGTCAATAGATGACATTTCGTCGCTCCTTCTCTCTCGCGTACATTTATCTTATCTCACAGCATAGACCAGCATCTCCTTCCCTTGCATATTCAATACAGTTCGTTTCCCATACCTCGCTTGCTTCTGATCATGTCGAAAGGACTGCTGATCAATGGATGTTGATGATGTGGATTGCGAAAGTAGGTGATCGGTCCGGGTGGAGTGGCAAGACAAAGCGTGTGTGCGTGCGGATCGGGGTGGATGATGGGTATATGACGCAATCCAAACATACTCGGACAGCTGAGTATTCAATCCCACTGTCATGATCGATAGCAACGCAAAGATGAGGACAAGGATTGCTATGTCAGTACTCGCTTCTCTTCTTTTTCATTCAGACGCGCAAGCAGGGGGGGGGGGGGGTACTTACAACGACTCTACTTGGGCCATCTTGCTCCTTCGCTAGGGCATGTGGGTTGGTGTTCTTCTGCTGTTCCAATTGCTTGCTCAACTTGCCGCTTGCAGGTGTCCCTTTGCTCGCCTGTTGTGACATTCTTCGCTCTGCTGCTTTTGCTCTTGCTTCTCGATCCGTAGTTGATGTTCCTGCTGTTCCGGTCGCAGCTTGTGAGGAGGATGGTGCGGCTCCACCTAACCTTGTCCCTGTGTCGGCTTTGGCAGTAGCTTTGGAAGCAGCGGTGGCTGGAGATGGCTCGTTGGGCGTTCTTCCTTCGCCTTGGAAAGGGTTTGTTGTTGAGAAGCAGGAGCCCATTGTTGGTGCTGTGATCCGTGCTGGTGATTGATGTGGTGGCTGTCAAGAGAGAAGAGGCAGCAGTTGAAAGTGCCAACAAGTGTCAAGCGGGTCTGTGCGAGGTGGCACAAGAGTGGACCCTTGGGCCGGTTTCCTTAAATGTTACATCCTCGTCGATAACATCAAAGGGGAAAAAGGATCGGCGATCTCAGCAACTTGACAGGCCGCACGTGACGCGACCAATTTTGGTCAGAATCGGAAGAAAGTCAATTCTCTCCTTCTCGCTACCTCGCTCCTCGTCATCACCTCATCCCTCTCGTCGTCACCACGCTATCCGACTCCTGAATCCACCTCGCCTTATCGATACCGCTTGGCACACAGCACGGCTGGTGTGCTCAACATGTCGGCTTCCAATATGACCAACGCAGCGGGGAGAGCAGCACGCCAACTCCTCCGCTCTTCGACACAGCCCTCTCGACCATCCACTTCCGCACTCAAGGCTGCGACAACGCTCTCGCAACGAACGTAGGTATCATTTGCAGCTACGGCTTCGTGCTTTTGGGCTCGACTGTTGGCGAAACAAAGTATTGACCTCCATGCGCTTCTATCTCGATTGAATTCTGCAGCGTCTCCTCTTCGGCCCCCCGCGACTCCCTCCTTCGAGACATCGGTGGCCGACTCGCAAAAGTTGCTCTTGGTAACAGCTACATCCGCACAAAAGAACGCGGTGGTCTCCTACCCGAAGAGCAAGAGAGGATGGAGTTTGAACGCCGCCGCGACTCCGCAATGGGTGCTGTCTCCCCAGACGGTATGCCTCTCTTCGACGATATTGAGTCGCTCCCCATCTCCCAGCAAATTGAACGCAAGCAGCAACGCATCTCGGCCAAAATCCAAGCTCGTCAAGAACGCAAACGATGGAACGCCAAAGATGCCATCACCGGCCAAGTTCTGGAACACAAGTACTCCACCGCAGCATTCAAAATCTCTCCTCAAAAACTTCAGATGCTTGCAAACCAGATCTCAGGTCAACCCATCGACTATGCTATCCTTCAAATGCAGTTCTCCCCTAAGCGTGCAGCAAAGCGCGTACTCAGCACACTGGCATTAGCGAGAGATCATGCGGCAGCAAAGGGAATGCAAGTGCCTCGTTTGATCGTTGGTGAAGCGTGGGTGGGCAAAGGAATGTATTTGACAAGAATAGATCTCAAGGGTAGGGCTAGGATGGGGAGGAAACATCATCCTCAGGCCAGGTTGAGTGTGGTGTTGAGGTACGGTAAGACGTATGCAGAGAAGGAGACCGAGAAGATTGAGACTGCGAGGAAGAGGGTGAGGGCGATCGGGACTGGTGGGGTTGTGAGGACGGATAACAAGGTTGTCAATACTTTCCAGAGGCCTGGTTGGGGGTGGTAAATCTCAATATCCTCCAACGAGAGTCAGCATATCTCATAGCAGCACTCATTACACATATTCGATAGAACACGACAAATGGCTGTGTGAAGCGGGCAACGACAGTACCATTGCAAACCAAAAGAGTGTTGAGGCTAAGCCATTCCAGGGATCGGTATATCACTCCAATCATCTACTCTGTTCCTCTGATTATATGTACTAGTCCATTTGCCTCCTATCCATATCTCGTCCCAAGGCTCGACTTTTTTTTTGTTCTTTACCATCTTCGCTGGCTTCTTCAACGGCTCCTCGAGCACCACGTTGGACTGGATAGGAAGGGTGCTTTCGATCTTCTGCGCTGCAGCGGCATCCTTCGCATCAGCAGCGGCTGAACTTGACTGGATGCTACGCAGGGCGGTCATGGAAGAAAGTGTTGCTCTCAGCTGATCCACGTTTCGTGGTATCGGATTCTCTGTAGGTGGAATGCTTGGCGACGCTGGTGTTGAAGACATCTTGCGCAACACCCTCCGAATCCGAAACCGACGTATCGCCGCAACAGGGTTAAGATTCTCCAGAGCGGCTTTGACCTTCTCCATCCTTCCCTTATCCGTTGTCGTCTTCTCCGGCTTCAGCACACTCTGCGTAAACGCGGGCGGCTTACTCTCTACAACTCCTGTAGCAAATCCACGATGCAACTCCCACTCCAAGTCTTCCACTTTCCCTCCACTCTTTCTTACTTGGTCCAGCTGAGAATTCAAGTGCTGCTGAACATGATCCATGAATTCATCTTGCAACTTTCTGGCATGCTTTACCGCGGAAGGTGCTTCTGCTGGGTGCGAAGCGGAAAGGACATGAGATGCGATAGCAATCCGTGCTTTTTGAGTTTGCGTAATGAGCTCATGCGCAGCTTGCTTCACCTCTTTTGCGTTGCCGATCAGTGGCGAGAAGGAAGGAAGCTCGATTTTAGAGGCGGAGAGGATGCCGTTTAACTCTGAGCTTAGTGGTATGGGCGGTAGGGACGGTGCGAGTAAGGTTGATAGTAGGAGGGTGGTGAAGATTAGCCAATAGGAGAGGAGATTACGAGTCATGACTTGAGCTGGGCGAACTTCTGATCGAGAAGAAATTGCGTCGGCAAGATGGAGAAGACCAAATGCAATGAGCGAGATAGAGAGCGGATGCTAGGACATCATCATCTCATCAACCGAATCTTGTCCCATGCAGATGATTGTAGCAGGGCATGTTCAAGTTTGAAGACGTTTTCGTCCCGATACTGGCGATTGGGGAGAGTCAGAGTACGAAGTCGCTACTACTTTTAAGGCAGAAACATATATACTCAATTGACTGAATGAACATGGTGGGAACCTAGCGTTCTCAGCTTAATAAATATACATTCGTGAGGCTGATACCTATGGTGGGAGTATGCTGTTTCATGACCCAGCCTGACAACGAGTGGGACTGTATTGTATCCGATCTCTAGTCGGATCGGTCCCGTTTGATTCATGATCAGAACTCCTTTCCCGATTACGTTCTAGATCGATCTTGCCCAATCCTTCGCCACTTTGACTTCCCACTGGATCGTTATCTTTAGCAGGGCAAGGTTAAGGCTGGTTCCTGCTTCGACTAAGGTTGCGACGGATGGGGAAGGGTAGCGTTGAGCTCAAACCTACGCTTGCTGCTGTATAGGGTCAAAAGCAATATCGACAGGACCCAAGAAGAAAGTTCATCTCAGCAGGAAACGACACCGGCAAACCTCATCAAGCGCAGGCAGGGGTTTGAAGCTTGGAAGCAAGGTTCGTTGCCGCCAAGATCGCAGGTCCACTGATTCTTCACTCTCCCCTGCCATTCATACACTCGTGTACATTGTGCATGGTGGAAACTGTGCATGGTGCAGTCGCAGTGGATTCATTCCGAATGTCGCATCAATGATCACCTGGCGTCGCCGCTAAATGAAGCCAGATGCAAACCTCTGTGACGTGACCGCGAGATACGTCCTGGGTGATATGCATCGTAGCCACCACCCATTCGACCCACTCGAAAGCTCACAAGTGGTAAAGGCTCCGACGGGAAGGGTTCGGTGCTTTTGCCTTCCTTTGGTTTCCACCGCCATTCCACATTCGTCGGCAGCTTTTCCTTCCTGGATGATGACTCAAGTGGGCCACTCCGGCGACATAATTTAAGTTCTCACCGCTTGACATCTTGGTTTTGGGAGCCCTGCCTGTTCACGCCTCACAAGGACGTATAGAGGTGCTCACTTGGCCACTGCAAGACGAAAAGATATTTATTCGACTCCGTTCACAAGTCACTCGGCACTTCCAACTTGTCCGACTCGAGCGATGACACGCAAGGTAAGCACCATGATCCTTCCACATCCTCGCAGGCCACACTGCACATGAAGGAGTCTATCATTTAGATACGACCCCGGACTAAGTCGAACACAAGCGTAGATCAGTGCGTGGAAGACTGACAACTGCAGCGCGACTTTTTTGACTTGTGTGCTCTGGATACAGATGAATAAGAACGCCCTGTCTGCTCTGTCCATGCTCCTGCTGGCGCTAACATGGGCGGTCGTAGGAAGCTTGGCAGCGCCTTTTGGACTGGAAGACACATCTGATGCTGCCTCTGGGCTACGACAAAGGAAAGGTAGCTCGCCTCGTTCGCCTCTGCCTCTGCCTATCTCGGCGTCTCCCGGGATGACTAGCTCGGAGCCTATTTACATGAAGGATCTTTCAACGGAAGAGCTGTTCAAAGCGCTGGTGTTATTCGAATCTAACCGAAAGAAGCTTGAAGCCGCCTCGATGGCGCAGGAACGTATATTCGGATCCAGTATACCCGCTTTCCTCAACCGGCCACCGTTTACCACTCGCGAATACCTCGTTGGATTCGACAAAACGCGGCCGCCAGTCTCTTTCCCGGTCGAGGCGGAAGACCTGCACAGGTCGGTGGAAGAACACGCGTTCAAGAAGTACTTCCTTACGTTCCAACACCATCACAATGCTAGCCCCTACAAAGGAGGTGATGTGAAGCTGGTGAAGACTGGAGGTTCGGAGAGCATGGGGAGTGCAACCACAGGCTGGGCTCAGGAGATCACAAAGAACCAAGTAGCTAAGGAAGGCCTGATGGCGATGAGTAGAACCAGAGAATGGGCGGACAAGATTCAAAGTCGGCATCCGGAGATGCTTCCAAAGGTTGAAGTCGACGCAGCATTGACAAAAGGTTGGGGGTTGTGGCATAACGGGTTGAAAACTGCGAGCGGTTACGCTTACATTCCTGTTCAGGAGATCGCTGCTAAGCTTCATCGTCGTTGAGCTGCGGCGAAAAGCAAGACCATCAATCCTACAAGCCATGACTTGCACACGAAAGGGCAGTCGAATACTTCTTGCTAGCTCACCTACGTAGTTCGTCCTCATATACACACTCTCGTTCCTGGCGATGAGTCGATGGGAATCCATGATTACAAACAACACGCTGTCAGGCATAACATGACCGAGATCAGGCTTGTCTTTGCAGCTGTTGCCGGTGCGTTGATGTTGCGCTTCTATTTGTCAAGACTGACGGCGAAGTACTAGACTATGAGTTGGAGCTTTCAGTCTCCTCTGCTCGATAGGTTTAAAACGGAAGATGTGCATTCGGAGCGCGGGAAACGACCTTTGCCTCGTGGCAGCAAAGATGATGTTCCACGTTTCTTGAGAAACTTATGTCTATCCGATTATCTTTTTCGTTTCTTTTTTTTTTCTTTTTTTTTTTCTTTTTTTTTTTTCTTTTTCTTTTTCTTTTTCTTTTCTTTTCTTTTCTTTTTTTTTTCTTTTTTTTTTTTTCTTTTTTTCTTTTCTTTCTCTTATCGCTTATTCACGAGCTTCGCTCTGTCGGAATCGCGGGTAAACCTTTGGAATTCCGACGTTTCTTCAACTGACCCTGACTCGGATTTGTCCAAGTCCCAGGAACACGGGAATAAGGGACTCAGCCACAAGAGAAGATGAGAGGCTGACCTGCAACTCGAGTCCCGTCCCCTCACTAGGTGGCGTCTCTATCTCTATACTTGCCACTCGGTCTCATGTCATGTCGAGTCAATGCAAGTCGATCATCATTCTCAGGGGTCCATTTTCCGGCAAGATTTTTTTTTCTTTTTCTTTTTTCTTTTTCTTTTTCTTTTTTCTTTTTCTTTTTTGAAAAAAACATTCTGTTAAACTTGGTCGAAATAAACATCCACGGGGAGAGACAACTGTCTCCGCACGCGATACTTGTCCCTTTTTTTCCACTTGATCTTTAATACCGTATTCTTTTTGTCGAGTTTGTTCCTGCTTTTGGTGAGACTTCTATCTTGTTTAGTCACAGAGGTCTACGCTTTGTAGCGATTGAGCTTTATGATAGATCAGGTATCAAGTTAAGGTAGTCTCTGGATCTGATGCAGTGCGAGTTACGAGTGACGATACACATATAGAAAGGACAGAGAAGAAGCAAAGTGTGCTGAGAGCGATCATGTGTCCTGATGGTAGAGCTCGGCGAATTCGATCAGGGCTCGTGCGTAGTAGAGAGAGACATCGATGGGGCGAAGCGTCCTCTCAGCCCAATCCCTGGAAGCGGTAGCAATCTTGGCAGCCGCCGTACGGCCCTGCGCATGGTTGATGAAAAAGTCGAGCAACATGGGCAACTCATTGTTCTGCACCCGCAAATCGAGGGGAACATAGTGGATCCATGGTATTAGTCTGTCGTCATGGTACTCAGACCAGATGGTTTGCTTGAAGACGAGACTGTTGGAGGCGAGGAGCTGATAGAAGCGGCAAGACATCGATTGCCCGTCAAGGTCGAGCAGGAACTTGTGTTCATAAATCGTGTTTCGGCCCTCGGTGCCTGTCGTCACTTGGTGCGCCATGAGCGAAGAGAGCGTTGGGTCGTCTGCCAGAACGAATCGCGACCATGAAACGTTGAAGGCGCCTGCTCCAAGTCGTTTTATTGCGTCAACAACCGAGCTATCTGTGTAGTCGAACAGAGGAAGAGTGTTTCCGGCTACCTGCACCGATTCTCGTGAAGGCACGATGGTTCGATCAGGTGCGTAGATCTCGTCGAAAGGATCCTTTTCAACGCCAGTCGTCAACTTGTTGGCAGCTTCGCGCAGTTGTTTGACGTAGCGCAACATGCGGTGACGATGACCCCTGGCCCAAGTGGTGGCCGTCTGAACCTCACCCGTGGTGGTGCCTCGCCAGTAGACACTGTCCTTCTTCTCGTCCCAAGGGATGGTGTCGGGATAGCCTCGATAGGTCTTGCTCGCATAGCAGACGTTGGGAGCGAGAATATCGGCAAAGTTGGACATCTTGCTTCTGGATATCATGGGCACGAGTTTGTTCAACGGCTCAAAGTTTGAGGGCGACTGTAAGAAGCCGTGAAGATGCTCGATCTCCTCAGACTCCTCCCGACAGTACTCAAAGCGCGGCTCGAGCGTATCCCAAGATCGCTGGGGTGAAATATGGTTGGAAGGACAAGCTCGCCGCAAGATTTCACTTGGATCCTTCCTCGCTGCACCAACCAATTCCATGGGTGCGGATGCAAGGGAAGAGATCGGGTGAGGCATTCTCGGTTCGGCACGCCAATTGAATGGGACCGTGACATCGGGGATAACGTGCTGAACCGGACCAAGTAGCTCGACCAAAGTCGAAGATGAAAGCGGGCCCACATCCGGTCCAAACACTACCGCTTGGCCATCCACTATGCTGAGTTGGCCAAACTCGTAGCCCGGAAGAAGAGACTTTGCTTCGAGCATCCTCATTTTCAGCCTGTTGCCGACCAAACCTGCTTGACGGAGGAAATCAATGTCGACTTCGATCTGATCGTAGTCGTCAATGATGGTCGCATTGTTCTCGAGCGCAAGAGCGACCCATTTTTCAAAAGCAGCAGGCGGCTGACGAAGGTAGCGGCGTTTGTAGGCATGAACAGCTTGCTCGGGCGTGGAAGACTGACGAGCTTCGAGCTGAGTGGCGAGATTCGCAGCGTGTTCGACCTTGCATGCGATAGGATGAACCTTTTCCTGTGCACACTTGGCGTACACGTCTTCGATTGGTGTTGGGGCATACTTGTACATCGAAGATGATGACGAGAGGAAAGAAGGAGCTGACTGGTAGTCGGATTTGTTGACGCCATTCGAAAGCACTATGAAGAGACCGAAGGCAACCAGACCGCCGACGATCTTCCAGCCGATTGTGCCCATGCACATTGCAGAGCTTTTGGCGTTGTCCGCCGAGTCCTGGCTCCTGTGATGATGTTGATGCTGTCGTTGGTTCTGAAAGACGGAAGGTTGCTGCTTTGAATCGAATGCAGAGTTGTTTGATCTGAGGCGTGGTGCTCCCTCAATCGGTCCTGTGAGATCGTGTTTCAGCGAGCGAGAGGCCATCTTTACTTGCTTCGATAGGATGGAGGAGGTGAGAAGGCAACAGTCACATCAAAAGCTGGGCTTTGAGACCATCTCTCAGGTGGACGTCAGAACGTTTTGTGGCCGTCGAACAAGACCCTTGGATTGCCTTGAAGATTCTCAACCCCATGGTCTTGGCTGCATCACTCGTCGGGCAAGTAGAGCCGAGCTAGAGAACGGCTAGATGGACTGCGCGACTACCAGCTTCATGCCAATCTCGGAGTCAAGGAAGTCAATCGTCAAGAGTCGAAGGCCAACGATCTCGAACTTTTCCAAATTATCGCTAACAAGCTGGCAAATCCACGAAACGGGAAGACGGAGTTCTTGAATTGAGCACTAGCAAAGCGATACCCTCGTGGCTTTCCTGCACGTCGGAGTCGATAACAATGGCATCACCTTTGACAATGTGCCAATGGGCAATTCTTGCAGCTACTGATCTTGTCCTGCTCAACGATTAACTGTATCTGTGTGCGATAGGGCTAGGCGTTCAGAAGGAAAACGGGAAAACAAAAAACCGGAGGAAAGTCAAAAAAAAAAAAAAAAAAAAAAAAAAAAAAGAAAAAAAAAAAAAGAAAAAAAGAAAAGAAAAGAAAATATGAAAATAACATTAAATAGATAAATAATGGAGAAAGGAAGACTGAAAATGCAAAAAAAAAAAAAAAAAAAAAAAAGAAAAGGAAAAGCGATACAATTTAAGGCCGGCGTCGGAGACCAAAATTGGTTTCTTTCGGGAAAGTGGCAGAGTTGAGGCGTTCATTATTGTGTAATGGTGCTGTTCTAAGTAGAAGCTCATGCCCGGAGGGGGACTTGGCTGTTTCTGCAATTTGAGTCCAGAAACTCTCAAGTCCCCCTCTGCATTTTGGGAGCAAAATTTTGCAGTCATTTTTTACCTTGTCGCGTCTCCCTCAACTGACAGCCATTTTTGCTGACATTATTTTCTAGCCAAAAGCAAGAGAGCTTCCCGTGCCTCTCGGACAAATGTAACAAGAAGACCGACAGACAAGAATTTAATTGCGACTCCGAGCGACAGATCTTCAGTGCAGGCCCCAATCCGTTCTCCATTGCCTTTGGCCTTTGCCATTTCTCTTGCTCTCACACACACTCAAGAGAGAGCATCTACAGGCCACAAAAGCGACAATGCAACAGATCGTTGGTCATGCGAACGCTCCCGTGTCTGAAATGAGCGAGATGTTGGGCGAGCGTGCGCTGAAGTTGGGCTCCCGCTGGGTGGCACGTGTACGGGTCACATGCCTGATCGCAACTCCGTTCAAGTCAGTGTCTATGACCCGACACTCTGTCAGTTCTCTGGTACAGCGACCTCGAAAAGAAAAGTTCAACCGTCTGAAAAAGAGACAAGACGCCAAGCCATGGTGGTCCTTGTTTCTTCTGCCTGTGTTGCTTCCAACATTCTGGCTTTGTAAGTTGGTAGTGAGGAGCTTCTGGTCACGAGAAGGCACTGCTGCCTCCTCTCAACGGGTCATCTCATACATCTTGAACCAAGGCTCCGACATCTAACCACTCTTCTACCTTTTTCTTTCAAGGTCTGTTTTGTTTCTTTCCTTCCTCTACAGTCCATTCCTCGTGTTCCATTCCCTTTTATTCTTGCTTCCTCCAACACATCCTTCCCTTCGTCTTTCCACCAATCACTCCAATACATTCTCTGTTCCCCTATCTCCTCTCCCAAACATATAGTAACCATCGTTGCACACAAGCTTGCTTGCTCAAGACCACGACCTTCCATACCCCACATCGACACAAACACATCAATCATGTCTATTGCTGGCGGGAGCAACCATTTGCGTTCGGCTGGTGGCTCGGATGAAGAGATCAGCAGGCCAACACTGTCTCCAACTCCATCCTATCACTCCTCACGCGAGGCAAGCCCCGTCCTCAAATCTCCAGATGCCAAAGAGACTTCGACCATGCTGCCCCTCCATGCAGGCGCACGCTCAGCATCAGAATGGTCGTCTCGAGGCGGAATCAGGATGCTGGGCAAGATCGGATTTGTTCCCGGCTGGGAAGGTCTCCGCGGTCTTGCTGTCGCACTTGTCATGGTCTCGCACGTCGTCGAACAGAAAGAAATGCTCGGCACCCTCGGAGTCGAGGTCTTTTTCGTCCTTTCTGGATTCCTCATCACAGGTGTTCTCATCTCCCAGATGGAAAAGAACCAACAGTGCTCTCAAGAGACAGATGGCACCACTTCAACGCGAAATTTTTTGCTCAAGAGATTCTCTTTCCTTCCGCGGTTTTACATGGACCGCTTCGTACGACTTACGCCAGCACTCGGTTTGATGGTCTTGGTGGTCTACAAGACCGCAAGTCGTCTCGGAGCTGAAAGGGTGATGCTCCGGAAGGACGCGTACGCTGCCTTTTTCTACACGCACAACCTGTATCCCTCGCTTCCATCCGACCCGCGCCTCATGTATCCTGGCATGTATCTCAACACTTGGTCGCTGGCAGTTGAAGAGCAGTTCTATATCTTCTGGTCGCTGCTTATCCCCTTTGTTGTGCCCCTCTCGCTCAAGTCAAAGGCGCTAGTGATGGCTGTCTTGATCTCTGTCGGATTCTTTATCCGCGATTACAGCGGCTGGAACTTCCTCACAGATCACATGTACGGTATCGACTACCGATACGCTTACAGTGCCAACGCATGGAAGATGTTCATCGGATGCTCGGCACGCTTGCTGCCTGTACCCATGATCTGCACCAGAAGATGGATGGGCATGATCAGCACACTCGGCTTCTTTCTTATGACCTACATGTGGGGTTACGGATTGACCAACTTCGACTTCCGAACCACTGGTGTCTGGCTCGAGCTGTTCACGGCGCTTCTTGTGCTCCTCATTATTCTCGGAAGCATCAACGGTAACCCGATCCTCGAGTCCCAGCTGTTCCGATTCCCTGGCCGGATCTCATACTCCTGGTATCTTTGGCAATTCCCTCTTCAGGCTTTGCACGGCTGGCCAGTCGGCAACTGGGGACCTACCGGTCTCGCCTTCATGGTGGCTACCTTCACGACTTTCATGATCGAAGAGCCCATCAGGAACAAGTACCATGCTTGGAAGAACCGCAAGGCCGCTACGCACGGGGAGGAGGAGAAGCAGCACGCTCGACGCGAGGATTGAGCTTCTTTCACTCATCTTCTCTTGACGAGTTTCTCGACTCGAACTTCTAGCGCATTCAAGCATGCAGACCCTCATACCCGCCTCTGTTTGCTCTTCAGCTTCGCACTTGCACATTCTTGGACCTTGTCGCTCTTTTTATTTCTTTTTTCTTTTTTCTTTTTTCTTTATTCTTTTTTTCGTTTTTATTTCTTCTCTTTGACTCTTTTGTTTCCCCGTCCATCTAGATCCATTGCAATATGAAAAGTCCCATTCCTCTGCCACCGTCTGCTCTTTCTCATCTGATTCAACAAGCAAGAGGGAGCGCCTTGTGTACCGCATTAAGCAGGAACAACAGAAAAGGCCCAAGCGGAGTTTGACAGCTTGCATAATCACTGGCTTGTAGGTGGCAACGAGGTGGCGTTATGCATGCATGATTTTACTGTATAAGTGCAAAAACGCTCCCGTTCTCCGAGCCATCATGCATCCTTACAACAACGCAACATCGACGCTCGCCTCCTCTCTCGCAGCCTTGCTGAAGAACAGAACTGGTCAGGGCTTGCCTCGTGCCTTGCTACCAAAGACGCTGCGAGTCAAGTCGGTTTTGGCCTTTGGTCCCACGGCCTGATGGCAAGACGATCGACAGATTGCATCGATTCGATGAGTTGCGATACCCTCTGACCCCATCTAAACAGCCTCCATATCCACTCGAACCTATACCTTCGAAACGAAGCCTTTCCACTAAACAAGTCAGAAAGCGACACACTAACACCATTCACTTGGACAGAATGTCTCCAACATGGTCTTCCTCAGCGTCGGCTCGCGGCGTCCTGCCATCCATTCACATCCCGGGAGCAACGAGAGACACATTGTCGACGTCGCCTAGCCCCGTGAGGCCAAGTCTGTCATGCAAGACGCAGGAGTCTGATAATGCGCTGCGGAAGTGGGCAAGTTTGGCCGTATTGATTGTCTTCACCACCGCCACCAGCATCGTATCGCAGAGATCAAGGGCCGTAGGCTCGCAAGGAAGCTATTCGATTGCAACCGCCGTCTTCCTATCCGAATTGCTCAAGGTGTGCGTCGGCTTCTTTCTCGCCGTGTTTCGCAGCAGTCCGACGACGAGCAAAGATAGTGCAAGCTTGCCACTATTTTCAGAAAAGGCAATAGCACTGGACGGCGACGACGCCGTAGAACTGGACGACGATGGAATCCAAGCAAGAGGCAACACAGTCAAGCCGAGCTTGTTGGATCGAATCAAACGGGCCTACAACGATATTTACTGTGCATCCGCGTGGATGATGGGAGTGCCAGCGTTGGTTTACGTTGCGCAAAACATGCTCCAGCTGGCAGCCAACTCCTATCTGAGCTCGGTGGCGTATCAAGGGCTCTCGCAACTCAAGCTGGTGACGGCCGCCATGATCAGTGTCTTCCTCTACAAAAAGACGCTTTCCTCACGACAATGGATCTCCCTTCCAATCTTGATGATGGGCGTGCTGCTCTTGGCGCAAAAGTCGCCGTCGAAGCAGGATGTAGCGAACGCAGCTGCGCTACTCGACTATGTATCGGACGAATCTCCGTTTGCGCATCGTCATGCTAGCAGCACCGAGACCTCCTGGCGAGCGTCCAAGATGATGGCAGAGGCATTTGCGCTGGCGAGCAAGTATGCCAACGCACAGTTGGCGGCGGGAGCGACACTCGTGCTGCTAGCGTGTATTTGCGGAGGATTCGCAGGAGTGTATATCGAGACCAGACTCAAGTCGAGCATGTCGGTGGCACTCTCGGTTCGAAATGCCCAATTGGCTTCTTTTGCCCTAGTCACAGCTGGAGGAGCTATGGCTCTGGAAGCGATCGGTAAGGAAGGATGGCAGCCGCTCGCCAACTTTACCACCTTGGCTTGGATCACCGTCCTGCTTCGAGGAGCAGCTGGATATGTGGTCTCTGCGACATTGCGATACGCCGACACCATCATGAAAGGGTTTGCAACCAGCGTGGCCATCATCACGACGATTGCGCTCGAGAGCATCCTAACATCACATCTGCCATCCACAGTCCAAATTCTGGGCAGCATCCTGGTGATGCTCAGCACATACAACTACGTCCGCATCTAAAGCATGATGCTCAACTCTCGCATCACTTTGGAGGCTCACATGCTCCTTGAATCTTTCTCTTGCATATTCGACACTCCCTCATCGTTCCGCTTCGTTTATTTCCATAGATTCCATCATCTGTGTCCGCTTTCCTTCGCATTGCACCGTCTCGAATTCTTCTACGTGCAATCTCGATCGATGCATCCCGTAAATGGACAGGAGACGTTGCGACTTTCTGTACTCTCATCTAGCTGTGGTGCAAACGTTTGAAAGCGCCGATAATTGAGTGCTGGAACAATGCGTGATCGGCTCGGCCCCGGGAACCAAGTTTGATGCTGCCGTCCGTATGACAACTCGATCGCGACAACTATGAATGCGAGCTCTCATCAAGTGTGTTTTTGGCAGCCAACCAGATACGGTGCAGACAAAAGGGAAGCCAACAAAGAAGATACGATATAAAATAGGAGAAGAAAAAAAAGAAGCGGGAAGAGAAAATTGTTTTTTTGTTTTTGTTTTTTATTTTTTATCTTTTTTTTATTTCTTAAATAGTTGAACAAAAGGACATCTCAGGTGGCTGTCAGGCCAAGAAATGCGCCTCGGCGAACTGTCGTTATTCGTTCCATCTTATAACATTACAATGATAGCACCTCGGTGCACTGTTTGCCAGTCTTCCCGTGTCTTGTCATTTGCGCATAGTCTGGACCCTTACCCATCCATCAATGAGAGCTCGCCGACCAGTCCAAAGTTCCCAATTTGGTCGCAGAAGAGATGTGGCTTGAAACCAGTCCAGATTCAGCTCGGTGTTGATCCAGCGCTGTGTTATGCTGCCGCTCTACCTGCTGATCAGTCTGGGCAACAACGCTCTCTGCATGGTCCGGGTGTCGGCTTTTCTGCACAAGACCCTGGTCTAAAAGCGACACAGCCGATATCTCTCCTCCCCCTATGGAACATTCCCTCGCCACGCTGCACTGTCAAAGATCCTATTTCAGGGTTGGCAATGAGCTTCAGCACTTGTTTGTGATCTGTTGCAGAGCCTTCCTTATTCTTCCCCACCATCAATTCCTCCTCTTGATCGACATCAACCTCAGGCGAAAGCATGTCATTCACGTCGACTTGGACGTTTTCCTCAAGCAGTCTGCGAATCCTCCGAACGAGAGTGGTGCTGTTGGTCCTGCCAGGTCTCGTAGCGCTGCTTTACCTCACCCACGCATATTACATTCGTGATCTCTCGACGGACCGTGTCGGATGGAGAAGCGCAACATTCGAGCAAACATCGAATCAGGCACAGGCACCAGGCAACAGGAGAACGAGACCGTCCGCCCAGGACTTGCAGCAGCAGAGCAAAGAGCGTCAAGCATGCTGGACTCATTGGTTCAGTACAGGCACAGTCTGTCAAGGACCACCAAAGCATTGGTCGTCACAGTACGAGCTTGACATGATCTGGACTTGGAACAACGCTACTTTGGCGACAACCGCCGAGTTCACAGGAACCGAGAACAGTTCAGTCAAGGCGTCCAACGAACCTTCTCAAGAGCGTTCATCACACGCCATTTCAAAAGATTTCCTGCGATACTCGTTACGATCAGCGCAAAAACACCTGCGCAATGGCTTCGGTAGCGTCACACTACTCACACCAGACGATCCCACTCCACACGAAGGATGTCCGCACATCTATCAAGATCAACAGAAATTGACTTACAATGGACAACGTCCATGCTGGCTCATCACGGCTGATCCTGTCTATGAACCGCCTCAGCTTCTTCATCATCGAGACGTTATCTGCACCTCTTCCAATGCCAATAAAGACGAATGCTCAGAGCAGCTCCTCACAGCCACAAACCCATCCATCACGCCTTATCTCGCTGCTCAGACTACCGATCTCTCGGACGTTCGCCTGCTCGTCTCACCTCATCACGTCTTCTCCTCAGACGTTTCCGCTTCTGACTTTTGGTCGCCCTTGTACGGTCCCACGTTCCGTCTGCAAAGCTTCACTGTCGTGCCTGAGGGTGACTACAACGCTACCGATCTCAACGATGCTGCTGCCGCTCGTGCCAGCGCTTTGCTCAACAAAAGGTTCGGAGGTCGTCCACGTAGATTGCTCCTCGATCTTCCGCAGCCCCTCTCACACAGCCTTTTCAAAGAGTTACAAACTACGTGGCCAAAACAGCTTGCGCTCCCCTCTTTAACAGCTTCGAACAATTCCTTGGATCTTCCATTTTTACTTGCGCATTACACTGCTGAGAGGTACCGCGAGGCCCTATTGTGGTCCTTCATGATTGCAAAGCACGATCGCGACGGAAACGGCGTCTTTTCTGTCACAGAGGCAGAGGCTCTGCTCAAGGATCTTGGCGCAACCAAGGACAACAATTTTGTCTTCCCAATGGCACGAGCACCTGTGCGAGACTCTCGCTCTTCGGTTGCCCTCAGCGAAACTCTTTCGGGTGCCCACTTGCCTATGCGCTATGGACAAGAAGCCTTGCAAACGTCGATGGATGGCAGCGCATTCTTTACGCCTCGCAGTCCTTCCAAATCTAGCACGGGACTGGGTGCTGCAGCAGGCAACGGTGCGGATGCTCTTCAGATCGATGCTAACGACGAGGACCGGGCTGTGCCTTCGTGCACTCTGGCAAGACAATGCCTTCTACCGCTCTTTGATATTGTCGAGACTTCAGGTGCTCAAACTAAGAGCCCTCGCACCACCGACATGTTCGCCCAGATCGCGTATCAGGCGCCTGCTTGTGGTGATTGTATGATCATGCACCTTGTTGGCACTTCTGGGGACCGAGGTCTCTCTTCCTTCCTCCCTTCGCCGGATCTCGAAATGGCTCCGATCGAGAAGCTGCCGCTGACACCCACCTTTGACGGTGTCGACTTCTCGCTCAGGCACTTGGCGAACTCCGAGACACCATCCGTCAAGCGTATCGATGCTGTTTCCAGTCTACTTTCTCGCTATGCGCACAATATTGTCATTCAAGAGTCTGTGGTGACGCCTTCGCTTTTAAGCCGGCTCGATGCCAAGATCAGTCTTACTGCACTCGAGTTATCCAACACTTCGTCCATCATGTCGTTCAAGCAACATGGTCAGCCGTCTGCACTCAGCCAGGCTCAAACCTCGGAGGCTCTCGCCTCAAATACTCTTAGCCAAGCAGCACAGGCACGAATACAAGACGAGGCCCCTTGGATCTGGGCTTTATATGTACGAGCCTGGCTTTCGATGCGATTCCCGCTTCCCATGCGCTTTGAAAAGCACTCCACCGAGCTCTAGTTGTTTCAAGTGCTAGATCCATCCTGTACGACACAACATCTGGAAAGGTTCAACATTCATTATCACAGTCGTTGACTGCCTCTTCTGCGTTCATACGACTTGTGTCTGCATCTCTAGCTACTCTTTGGCAGCCTACTTGCCTGCTTAAGAAAGGCAGAGAACTGAGCTTTAAATCTCTCAAACACTGGCTGCGCAGACTTGGCGGAGAAAATCATGAATCATTTGGCATTGCGGTATTGCAAGGCAGTGGGTATGCAGTATGAAGGTATGCAGTATGTGTAGTGCTTGCTCAGGTCGACAACGGTGGTGTGAAGGGGTCTGTCAACTGTCACAAGATCGGGCTTGTCTTCGAAGAAGCATCAATCTCTGTGTAGCGAGGTAGCTCATCAACCACAGATCGAGACAGGGCCTGTGGGTAGGCCAACGTCGTCGGCCAAGAGCAAGCGAATTTCTTGGGCTGGTCGCTAGTGTCACCATCCGAGCCATCATAGAATACGGTCAGGATAAGACGGTGCGAGAGGAGGATAGCAGCGTCGGAGCCAGGCAGCGTTGTTGGTTGCAAATCAGTGTCACTTGAAATGCTGAAGTCTGCTTCCAACACGTTGTTGTTGTCCAATGTCGACGCATCAGAAGACCTCTCGAGCTGCTTGGTGCGGCTCGAGTCGAACTCTTGCTGTTGCGACTGGGCTGGTGGGAGCTGGAGGTGAATGTAAGGTCTGGCATGAGTGCGTGTTGACGACGAAGAGGATCCGGATCGGGAACGGATACGAGTGTCTTGAACCACACTAAGCTCTACCTTCTGGATCCTCGATTTGGCCTCTGCGTCAGGCAGGCTGAGCAGAACTTTGGTGCTGCCCCCTAGCAACAAGGGTGAAGGGGATAGTGAAATGCAAGTGGATCCCAAGCCACCAGCGGACACATACTTGATCTTGGAGAATGCGCCAGGCTCGATTTGAGAAGCCTGGACCACGAGGAGAGGCTCTTCTGCGGTGATAGTCTTGGCCGGCAAAAGGGACCTTGACAAGAGAGTACTGGCAGATCGAATCTTGGCCTTGACCTGGGCCTTGTATTTCATGCGTCCGTAGAAGAGCTGGACGCTTGGTGACATGGTGGTCGGGTAGGGTAGGTTGGCTTGGAACTTGTAGGTCTTGCCTGGGCTAAGGATGAAATGTGGGGGAACAGGGATACGGACGTTGACATTGATGGGCCAACTTTGCTCGAACTGTCCACCTTCAAAGGAAAGTGACTCGGAGCCGACGAATTTGGCTGTGAGAGAGGTCAAAGTACTGCATGACGATTCTGAAGCTACTTCCAAGGTGATGTATGCAGTCAGTGACCTTTCAAGTGATGATGTGGACATAGATGGATGGAGTAGCAACGATGTCGACGAGGCACTGGAGCCAAGGCTGGATGCGAAATACTGAGGTGGAGCGTCAAGGACATTGTGCTGGCGGTGAAGCTGGTCGTCGGTAGCCGGCAAGACCAAGACAGAGTCGGACAAAGCTAAAGTTAAGAACATGTTGGCAAGTGGATGTAGCACGAAGTGGGATGCGTGGTATTACGACTTTGATGCGGACGTACGTTGATGTATTCTTATAGTTTTCAGGAGAGAAGAGGATGGTGGTGAGAAATGTCTACTGCGGGCCTGCGAGGTCGCTCTCACTGCACACTACTGTGATGCTTGAAGAGTGCAGAGCAGCCTCATCTGAACTGCAACAATGAGTGAAGCGAGTAAAGCGAGTAAAGCGGAGATGATGACTCGGGAAGCACACAAGTTGCAAGCACACCATACGAATCGAATACAATTGTCCGATGGGTGACCGTAGAGTGCTGGGCTCCAACGAGACGGCAACACGCTGACCAGGTCGGACCGGAAAGCACGAACCTTTCCCGACCGTTGGAAAGTAGACGACAGAAGGTCACTGAATGCGCATGCTACAGCTCTACAGTAACTAGTGCACTGAATGACAGCCAAATGCAAGCTTGACACAAGGAGCCTTGACGAAGGATGGCAGAGCCCCGCGGAGATACTGGAGAGATTGTCACACTGCATTCCAATGGAGAAGTGGTTGATTGCTGAGCATGACTCGGTTAAGAAGGCCGATGTTTTTTCCGATCAAGAGAGCGATATGTACTGCACAGCACAGCACAGCAGCATGGTAGCGGTGAAGCGAAGCAGTCTTGTTGCTGTACCCTGCAGCAGACACCATCATTGACAGCAGCGGCACAGAGTCCCCAAGTCTAGATCGTTTTCTCCGATCTTTCCGACGACAAGTTTTGCAACTCTACTGGTACTCACACCACGTTGCGACAGTAAAGCGAGAAATGGGACGGCTGCTGGCAAGAATCATGATCGCCGACGGATGGCCAGATCTGATAGTGGAATGACGAGATCGGTTACAACAGCCACATTGACCCAAAAGCAAGGTTTCGCCGATACAAAACTCCGAATTGTCCGATGGTGTCACCAACACTCGGGAGTCATGATCTCAATATGCAAAGTAGCGTCCTTCGAAGTTCGTTTCAGTTGTCTGTCGTCGTTGTTGTCTGGAGAAACTTCTGGACGAATCTCTGGAGGAAGGCCTACCTCCGCACACGCCTCCCTCTTCTCCCCACTTTTCCCTTCAATCTTCTTTACTTAACGCAAAACACCGACTGTCGATGGACGAAGACAGCAAATAAGACCCGAGCTTTGTTGTCTTGATGTCTTGACCACCTCCCATCCTTCGATCATCTTTTTTCTTTTTATATCATCATCATCCACAGAGCAGTTGACAGTAAGACCTAGATGCAATAATGACAGGTGTGTACGCTGCGGCTTGCAATGGTATCTGCGAGGAGGCAAGTACTTGTTGATGACAAACCTACGATCTCTTTGCTTCGGTCCTCCTACGTGACAGTCGAGACAGTATCGTCATCACCAGCGTTTGACGCGATCAGCTTCACCATCAGCGTTGCCAAGCCCTCAGACGCTGCTGACGTTGCAGCTCTGGGCGGGGGCGTCTTTTTCGAGTCATTCGCATGGTCGATGCCGGCGCAGGACATGGACAACTATCTCAAGAGCTCGTACAGTTCAGATGCCATTCGCGCCGAGATCCAAGACACGATAACATATCGATTCTACGTAGCACGTGATAGCAATGATCCCGGTCGCTTGCTGGGCTTCGTCCAGCTCAATCGCTTCTCGGATGAGCCATGTCTCAAGATCAAGCCGCCTGACACCATTGAATTACAGCGCATCTACACCGACTCGAAGGCACACGGACGAGGCGTGGGCACTGCATTGATGAAAACAGCATTGGACTATGCCATCGAGCAAGGCTACAAGGCAATGTGGCTCGGCGTGTGGGAACACAATCTCAAGGCACAAAAGTTCTACCAGCGCAACCACTTTGAAAAGGTCGGAGACCACGATTTCAAGATGGGAAGCTGTGTCCAGACGGACTGGATTCTCGAGCGCCACTTCTGAGCCCTGCTTTTGGCATCTCATTGGCATCGCATTGCACAATACACCTCAACTCTTCCGTCGCCTGACTTCATCTCACTACGCCTGCGTCATGCCCTGGATTGATGTTCGCAAAGCAAAAGTTTTTGGATTTCATTGGTTACTCGGGCTGTGCATCGGTCGAGCCCGCCATTCCACCCGGCGTCATGGTGGTCGCTAGACTTTGTAGTAAGGGTTCGTCATCCATCTGATAGGGCCTCGGCAAGGCTGCTTTGAATGCTTTCAGTTCGTTGTCGAGCTGCAGAATGGCCTGGTATGTCATGTCATGCTGGTCAGAGAAGAACAGGTCAAGGACCTTGTTGACAATGGCACTTAGGTCGTGTCGTACGCGTAGAACCGAGGGCAAGTCGAGTAAGGCTGAATCGGCTCTTCGCGATGTCGGCGCCGCTGGAGACTCTGTGTCGCAATAAGAGTCGTGGATCAAGGGCGCTTGACCCACAATGAGGCTCGAAATGCGATCTTCATAGTACAGATGCATCCAAGCTATGCGTCGCATTTGCGCCTCGGTGCTTTCATGTTGATGTTCTGGTAGGGCAGCACCAAGACGGTGTAGACCCAGCATCTGTGCCTCGCGGACTGCGCAGCCGAGTACAAGCCAGCTTTCCCTGCCCAGACGCTGTAGGATTGAGAATCGAGCTAGAAGGAGGTGCGAGAACACAATGAAGAGATCATGGCATTGTAGACTGGCGGCAAGCATGTTGCATTTGCGAGATTGATGGCTCATGTGCACGGCCTCAGCTGCAACACTCGCCTCGCTTCCGTACTGGCGCGGCAGTGATGAAAAGGTGAGGGCCAGCACGGAGAATAGGAGCGAGATGACCGACAGGTGATTGGGACCATCTTGTGCATATGAGACATCAGCATCGGCCCAGATGACATCGACCGCCGAGTTGACAGCGTCTCGAAACCACATTTCGTCCAAGGGAAACATGAGCGGATTGATGTCGCGAAAGAAGATGTCGAGCAGCGTGCTTGTCTCTTGCTGTGAAGGCAATGCTGAAGCAAGATTGCGGATCTCATCTCGTTGCAGACTTCCCTCGCGCACGAGACGTTCAAAATGGGCAGAAGGCGGATAGTTTTGCGTTGAGGAAGAGAACTCGAGCATTTCGCTGCCAACTTGAGCTCGGAAAGGTAGCGATGCAGCGGTGATGATACCTAGGTTGCTTTTCCTTCTTGGAGTCGAAGAGCCGTTGCGCCGCGAGCTTGGAGTAGATCCTGACGAGGCTGCATTATTATGAGGCGATAAGCCTGACTGAGTTCCTGCATGTTCATGAGTATCTGGAGTGAAAGCGTTCGAAGAAGTAGGCAGCTCTTGGGGTCGATCAAAACAAGATCGACGAGGATCGTTACGGCTAGCTCGAACGAAACGAGACAGGAGTGCCTCAAGCCGACGCATGCGATCGTGAACATCTTGTGCGCTGCCATCATGCGGAACGCAGGCATCTGCTACACCGCGCTCGACGCATTTAGAGCATGGAATGTTGCGGTCACACTTATGCTTTCGACGATGACACTCCGCGAGCTGAACCTGATTCGCTTGCGTCTCTTGCGCTGCCCTAGCACTTCAAGTGCTTCCGCTTCAAGGCTCTCAAGACTTTCTGGTGGTTGGTGTGTTGCATGCTGGTTGGGGTCGGCATCGTATGAATCGGGAGCTGTGGACAATCGTGTGTCTTGAAGGTTGTGGAAGGTGCCACGGCTGGTGCTGCCCTGATCGTACATCGCACCCACGATTGTTGAGGGGCCAGCTCAAGATGAAGGAATCATCGGCGGTCTTCTGTTGCTAGCGCAGCAGGAACAAAGTCCTAAGGGAAGTTCGAGATTGGAATGCATTCGATGATGATGGTGCAGAAGCAAGTTCACGACAGCACGTCGGCAAATTGAAAGGTATAGTTGCTGAAATTGACGATCCAATGATGACGCTGAAGAGCGACGCAACGTCGACCAGATCGGAGATCAGGCAGAGCCGATCCGATGAGGTGGCAGATCTGACTGGAGATCAAGGATAACCAATCTCACTAGAGATTGGGGACAACAAAGTCCCACTTGTTGTCAGGCTGGATCATTAACCATAGCAACTCCCACATTCAGCATGTGCTGCTCACATGTATATATATATCTTGCAGAGAGCACTAGGCTCTTGCCACATCCCTTAGTCAATTGAGTATATGTTTCTGCCTTAATGGAGTAGTGACATTGTACTTAGACTATCCCCAATTGCCAGCTATCAGGACCAAAATGACTTCAGTTTCTAACAGGTTATGAGCCCAAAACCAAGTGCTACCTCATCCTCAAACTCACCTTCAACAATGTCTGAGATAGACTACTTGACATATGATGACTTCATTGACTCCATGCAGGATCTCCTTCCATGCCTGCCGACAATAGTCCAAAACCGTTTCAATCGGGTTATGACCAACGAATTCTATGGTGTCAGAGGTCTCGCACCTGAAACCTGATATCTGTAATAGAAACATGTCTATTACGAATCTTGTTGAGATATGTAACAATGTGTGATGTATTACTGTTCTTGTCAAGATATGTAATAGAGAAGCCCCTATGACTTTTCTTGCCCAAAGATGTAGTAGTTGTCAGGGGTCGCGTGCCTGAAACCTGGGTCTGCTCGTCGTTCAGCGACTATCAAGTTGTGCAACAGCTATCAACTTGGGTGATGACAGCTAGTGGTGTTTGATATGAATGATGTATGCTATTGCAGGTCTTGACTGACCACTGTGGACACTCCGTCCAGAGGTAGCTTGGCATGATCAATATCAATATGAAGGTTGTGGTGACACCAAGGTCTGGTGTGAGTGTTCTTGTTGGTGATGAGGTTGGTGGTGTTGATGATAAGGTTGGTGGCATCGACACGAGTGTCCAGTGTGTCGACTAGTGCTTGAGGTGATCCCCAGACCGCAGTGGACTACTGCCTTTGGTTCTATCTTAATCTGGACCACTGGTTTGCTATGAACCACCTTCGGACATCAGTGAGCAGTGATACAACACACGCGTGTCAGGGGTCTCGCGCCTGAAACCCAGGTCGGTCTGTCGAGATACTCAGTGACTATCAAACTGTGTGACAGCTATTGTCTTGGTATCGGTCTCAACAAGCTAGCTGCTTGGCAACTATTAAGTTGCACAATGACAGCAGGTGTCATTCATTGTATATACTATCATAGGTTTTGGCTGACCTCTGTGGACACTCTGTTCAGGGGTAGCTTGGCATGATCAATATCAATGCATAGGTTATGATGACACCAAGGGCTGGTGTGAGTGTTGATGATGATGAGGTTGATGGTGTTGGTGATAGGGTTAGGGTTAGGGTTAGGGTTACAAGGGTGTTCCTGGCGAGACCCTTGGAAACATGAAATCTGTACTAATGAGATATGTAGGGATACCCTAGGACTATGTGTATGCAAAGTCTCACGGTACCCTGTTCCGCGGTGGCTGAGATATGGGCCATCAAAGTTTGGTCACTAGGTTTGAACTTTGGTGAACCTAGGTAAACTTCAATGAACTGAGGTAAACTTTGATGAACCTAGGAAAACTTCAATGAACCTAGGTTAACATGAATGAACCTAGGTAAATGTTGATGAAGCCAGGCAAATGTTGGTGAAGCTAGGTAAACTTTGATGAAGCTAGGCAAACTTTGGTAAGCCTTGGTAAACCCCAGTACATCTATGTTCAATGTACCTCAACCTCTGTGAACCTTAGCAAACCCTAGCCCTAGCCCTAGCCCTAGCCGGTGTGTCTTGCTTGCGGGCAACGCACAATTGCGCTCTGCCAAATTCGAAATTCACGCGACTGCGTTGACCCCCAACGCACTCGAAATTTACACTGCTCAAGTGCCGCAACGCAAACAAATTTATTTTTGCTGGAGCAGCGCAAATTGAGCAACGCACAGCTGGAGCAACGCACTCACAGCTGGAGCAATGCACACTCTGCTGGAGCAACGCACACTCTGCTGGAGCAACGCAATCTGAGCAGCGCACAGCTCGAGAGCAACACACTGTTCGAGAGCAACGCACAGCTCAAGAGCAACACACAGCTGGAGCAACGCAATCTGAGAAGCGCAATCTCATCAGCGAACTGCTGGACAGCGCACACTCTGTCGGAGCAGCACAATTGAGAGCAGCGCAATTGAGAGGAGCGCAATTGAGAGGAGCGCTCACTCTGCTGGAGCAGCACAATCGACATGAGCGCAATCAAGACGAACGCAATCGACAGGAGCGCAATCGACAAAAGGGCAATCAACAGCAGCTCAATCGACAGGAGCACAATCAAGAGGAGTGCAAGCGACAGGAGCGAGCACTGTGCTGCAGCAGCGCAATCGAGAGGAGCGCAATCACGAGCAGAGCAGGAGAGAGGAGCACAATCGACAGTAGCGCAAGAGAGAGCAGAGCAGGAGAGAGCAGCGCAATCGACAGTAGCGCAAGAGAGAGCAGAGCGAGAGAGAGGAGCGCAATTGAGAGGAGTGCAATCGAGAGGAGAGCAACCGAGAGGAGCGCAATCGGGAGCAGAGCAGGAGAGAGGAGCGCAATCAAGAGGAGCGCAATTGACAGGAGAGCAATTGACAGGAGCTCATTCGACAAGAGCACAATCGACAGGAGCTCAATCGACTGGAGCGCTCACTCTGCTGCAGCAGCGCAATCGAGAGGAGCGCAACCAAGAGGAGCGCAACCAAGAGGACCACAATCGACAGGAGCTCACTCGAGAGCAGAGCAGGAGAGAGCAGCGCATTCGACAGGAGCACAATCGACAGGAGCTCATTGCAGAGGAGCGCAATCCACAGGAGCGCAATCGAGAGCAGAGCAAGACACAAAAGCGCAATTGAGAGCAGAGCAGGAGAGAGGAGCGCAATCGACAGTAGTGCAAGAGAGAGCAGAGCGAGAGAGAGGAGCGCAATTGAGAGGAGCGCAATCGACAGGAGTGCATTCGACAGGAGCTCGATCGAGAGCAGCGCACACTTTGCTGGAGCAGCACAATCAAGAGGAGTGCACTGCTGGACAGCGCTCACTCTGCTGGAGGAGCACAAGTCGAAGGAGCACAAGACTAACCATCATTTCAAACCCGATCTAACATTTGGAGCACGTTGACCGACATTTATTTTTGACATCAGATTCAATCTAACATTCTTGAGACGCGTCTAACATTTTGTGACCTCTATTTCGACCTCATATTTTCGTACCTTTTGTTAAATATGTGTTCTTTGTTTCGATCTAGTATTTTGCGCACATTACTGATACTTTGAAATTATTGTTTCGATCTAACCTTTTTGGCATGTGACCTGTGTTATGTAACCCCTTTTTGATCTAACATCTACCACACGTGACTGATATTTTCCTCGTGCCTCACAGCTAGCAGCACACTGCTGGACAGCGTAATTAAGAGGAGTGCACTGCTTGACAGTGCACACTCTGTCGCAGAAGCACAACTCAGAGCAGCGCAATCAAAAGCAGAGCAAGAGAGAGGAGCACAATCGACAGGAGCGCAGGAGAGAGCAGAGCAGCTGAGAGGAGCTCTATCAACAAGAGCACAATCGACAGGAGAGCAATCGACAGGAGCGCAGGATGGAGGAGGTCTATTGACAGGAGCACAATCGATAGGAGTGCAATCAACAGGATTACAATGGAGAGGAGCGCTAGAGAGAGAGAGCAGAACAAGAGAGAGGAGCTCAATCGACAGGAGCTCTCACTTTGCTGCAGCAGCGCAAATGAGAGGAGCTCAATCAAGAGGAGGGCTCACTCTGCTGCAGCAGCGCAATCGACAGGAGACCAATCAAGAGGAGCGCAATCAAGAGGATCACAATCAAGAAGAGCACAATCAAGAGGAGTGCTATCAAGAGAAGAGCAATCGACAGTAGTGCAATCGAAAGCAGAGCAATCGACTGGAGCGCAGGAGAGAGCAGCGCAATCGACAGGAGCTCATCAAGAGGAGCGCAATCGAGAGGGACGCATTCGAGAGCAGAGCATTCGACAGGAGCGCTCACTCTGCTGCAGCAGCGCAATCGAGAGGAGTGCAACCAAGAGGACCACAATCGACAGGAGCTCACTCGAGAGCAGAGCAGGAGAGAGCAGCGCATTCGACAGGAGCACAATCAACAGGAGCACAATCAACAGGAGCACAATCGACAGGAGCACAATCAAGACGAGTGCAATCGAGAGGAGCGCAATCGAGAGCAGCGCAATCGACAGGAGCGCAATTCGAAGCAGCTAACACTCTGCTGGAGCAGCGCAATCGAGTGCAGAGCAAGAGAGAGCAGAGCTATCAACAGGAGCGCAGGAGAGAGGAGCTCTACCGACAGGAGCGCAAGAGAGAGGAGTGCAATCGAGAGAAGAGCAGCAGAGAGTAGTGCAATCGACAGGAGCTCTATCGAAAGTAGAGCAGGAGAGAGGAGCGCAA